ACATCAAAGCAGAGAGGCACCGTACCTCGTCATCTGCTTCTGCTGCTGCTCCTGCTTGTTCCTTGTTGGTCAGTCACCCATATACGGCACAAGAAAACTTTCTTTTTCATCGTTGCACCGTTGGAACCCTTGACCCGTGACCCTTGACCCCCTTCCTCCCTTTGCCTTACTATACGAGCCCGGAACCACCTCCGGATGGGAAGGGATCTTGAGGACATGGGGAAACCCTCTTAATGAGGGTCTCTGCACCGGTTTCGGTACGATGCATGGTTCCCAATGACGGAATATGTCGTTGAACACCCATTGGGGACACTTTGTCTCCCTACGGCACGGGGGATCAATGTGATCAAACTCTGGATAAATATAACTCATCCTCGTGGTATGTAATCGTATTCTCCAAGTATCCCGTTTTAGAACAGGACGTTCTTGGGCGCGGGCAACATGGAATTGGGGCCGAAATCTTTTTTTTTTTCCTCTTGGAATATTTCTAAATTAGCTACATCATCGCCCAGGAACCAACAAGTATACTGGGCAAAATGATCCAAATACGAATAGTAATTCCTTTGACATCAAGTTGATTGTCGAGAAACCGCCAATTGAAGCCAAGGGACAGTCAACTTATTATTGAGCAATTGCGCATTTAGAAGAGATGATTCAACGAAACACTGATTCAAGGCTTAGGAGCTTGATGATAATTATGTTTTTTTTCTTTATTCCGGAAGTCATACAAGCTCTTGACTCCCAACTAAGATATCTTCTACTGGATACGGCAATGTGTTGATTCCGTTGGAGATCCAAGTGGCGATCCCAATCAGCCCGAAGATCGTGGATGAGAAAATCATCATGCAGAGATCATTTAGAAGACCCAAATCCTCTTTCATTTCCATTCCCCTTTCCATCCTCTCCCACGCCTGGACCGCCCAACAGGCAGCAAAAAGCAATCATACGAGATCCAAATCTTCTTTCCTTTTCAGTTCCACTTCTTCGTGTTTAAGCATGGCCTTGTCCGCAGAAAATAGTGATTATAGGAGAAAACCGTGTAGGAAAAAAAAAAAATCAAAAATCAAACAGTGTGCTGAACGCTGACAACGGCGTGTGTGACGATAACTCCAAGAACCCATGAAAAACTTTAAACCATAAACGCCCGACACATCAGGTGCCATGTAACCTGTAATGTGTTTGTGGTATCCTCGATGAAATGATAATGCATGTTGCCATTCGCAAAAACTCCTAGCCGCGGGCTGTTGTTGTATATCCGCGCGATGAATATGCCTCTGGGCATCTGTTGTTCTGGTGCTCGGCTTCCACTCCAACCGGCTGCTTCGTCCCTCGCATTTTTTTTCCGCCTCCTCTCAATAACCGACCCAAGCCTCTTGCATCCCACCAACATCGTGTACTGCTGTCGTTCCCTTATATGCTGGTTGCGCGACCCGAGTCAGACTCCTCAAGAGCATGCCCAAGTTCAAAAGCCGTCATGAGCGTGTAGGCCAAAGGCGGCACTAGGCGGCAGGGTCAACCTCGCGACGAATTTCGGCCTTCAGAATGACAAGTCTGTCACGCATATCAAGCAAGTCGTTAACCTGGTCTTTTGGTGGGTTCGCCAAGCGAGTCAACTGATCGTGCAGTAACTTGTATTTCTCGTAGAACTTGTCGAATTTATGGGCCTTGTCCAGGACGTCTTTCGTCACGCGCTTCTTGGTCGCTGGAGCAGGCAGCGACGAGACTGGTTGCGACTCAGCAGGCCGCTTTTTGGCGACCGAGACACCGTTAGGAGTATTGCCATTTGTTGTGCTGCGGCCATTGACTCGAGCCGCCGGTGCTGAAACCTGGTGCCGGTCGCGGTCGTGATGTTGTGACTGACTCGACTGGCTATTTTCATCAATGTCCGAGGCATTGGTGGGAGGTGACGAGGCAAGAGGCGATGACTTGACCGGCGAAGTATTCTTGCTCTTGTATGATGCGTTCACGGGTGTCGCGCGCGAGTTTTGGGATGCGTCTGATGGTCTGTGCTTCAGCGTGGTGTTGGAGAGTGGCTTTGCTGGGGCCTCCTTTGGCTTCATCCGCTTCATGAGTGGTGCACCAGAGCTCGAGCTGCTGTCATCTTCGTCACGTGGCCGCTTTGAGGTCGAGCTAGCAGTAGAAGCTTTGCTGGTCGTGATTGAAGGCCGTGGTGCTCGAATGACCGACTTGGCAGGCTTTGGCTTGGGGACAGGTGCTGGGGATCGTTCCTTGACCTTTGTGACTGGGGGAGGCGATCGCTCCTTGCTCTTGACCGGCGGCGGCTGTGGCTTCTCTTTGGGCTTCTCAACGGCCCGTTCAGGTTTTCTTTCCACAGGCTTCTCCATGGGCTTCGGCTTGGATGTAGCAGTCGTGGTAGCGAGCGGTGCTTCATCTTCGCTACTCGAGTCCTGCACGAACTCCTCAGACAAGAACTTCTTTCCTCCCTTTTCTGCACCTTTTGAGGCTCTGCTCGTAGGTGCTGCCTTCTTTGTCGTAGTGGCCGGCTTCTTCACCGTTGGCTTGTTTGAGAGCAAGCTCTTTGTCAAGCTCTCTCGCTCGCTAACCTTCTTGGACTTTGAGCCTACTGGTTGCGAGTTGGACCTCGCCATTGCTTCGCCACCTGCCTTGCTCTTGGCTCCCTCATCACTCGAGTTTTTGCTGCTGGACTCCTCAGCCTTGGACTGCTTAACTGCCGGAGTCATGTTGCCCTTGGCAGCGATCTGAGCTTGCAGCTTGCTCAAGATGATACCCTTGCCTCTGTCCTTTTCCTCGAGGAGACGCTCCCATGCCTCATGTGTAGTCTCCAGCCGTTGCTTGTCATACTGCTTCTTGGCGTTTTCGATGGCTTTTTGTCGATTTTCCGAGGGCTCATACTTGTAATTCCACACGTCAAGTTCTTTCCAATAGATCTTCTTCATGCTGTACTTTTCGCCGATTTTATCTGCCACCTTGCCCAAGGTGCTCTTCAGATCAGCTTCTGCCCCTGTCCACTTCTCTTTTAGATAGTCGTAGGCTTGATCACCGACGGCCAGTTCGTGCACGACGACGCTGCGCTGCTCCTTGTTCTTCTCGAGCTGTTGTTGCGAGGCTGCAAATGCAGGGTTGTGCATGGGCGAGCCAACACCAGTCAGAGCAGGACTGGTAGGTAGCGATCTCGTAGTGCTGGATGAAAGAGCCATGGACATGGCGGATTTGCCTTGAAGCGCCTTTGACTTGGATCCCTTACCACCTTTGGTGACGGGAACTTTCTCTACCCTAATGTGAGGTTTGAGGCTCCCTGGAGCTGGTCTCTTCAGTATCGACATGGTCGGTAATGGGAATCTGTGTGCCGTAGTCTTCGATTCATTCAAGTTTGTGAGGTAAAGGTCGCAGTCCAGTGACTCGGCAGTAGGCTTGAGTGGCTCCTCGTACTCTCCATATTGTAGGGTCTGTTAAAGAGGTTTGTTTAGTAAACAACATCTGTCATCACTGGGCCAAAAACGTGACTTTTGTATTCAAAGTTTGGTGATGCAGAAGAACCTGGAGGGCACACCAGTCACGATCGAAGCTCGGCGTTTCTTCCGGAGCAACTGTCGGCGAGAGACGTGGAGCGTTGGGGGGTGAAGAGGCTTTCGGTATGACCAGAAGGTTTTCTGAACAGAGGAGTTTCTCAACTTACGGGATTGCTACCCAGGAACAGCTCAATCTGGGTTCCCTTCTGGACGCAGTTGATCAAATCCTCAATCAAACTATCGTTGAGAGTGACGCCAAATGCTTGCATTGGGAGAGAGTCGCTCGACTCGGAGCTCTCCAGGTGGAGGCCACCGTCGGGAATCGTCATGGGCGACATGGTGGTGTAGGTGGTGGTGGTGGAGGAGGTCACCACGGGCGAAGTTTTAGGAAGTAAAGTGGTATTCCTTGTGGTGGTGAGTTTCGGCGATGAAGTCGTAGTAGTTGGCCGTCGCTCTGTAAATTCGAGGTCGTAAAAGTCCGTAATCGTTCTCTTTCAAGGAAAGATACGCTGCTGCACTCAAGCCAGCACTTCTCTCTGCACCCAGCCAGACTATCGAGAGTCCAACTTTGAACAATGATCGACTTCCCAAGCAGCTCCGTCACATGGTCGGGTGGACTGGATTGCAGCAGGAGTCGGTTGCGTACCAGACGAGTGCAATGAGGAGGAAAAACCGACCGGGAGAGGATTTGACGTTTCCCAGAGGTAGCTGCGAGGAGAGCAAAAACTACCAAGGCCTGCTCCTCAGCAAGATGGGGTTTGAGTCCTCGTGGGAAGTACGAGGTCGTACGGATTGGTCTCGCCGGTCCTTGGTCGAGGAGAGAAAGAAGGGAAGTGATGGCGGAGACAGACGGGTGGGAGTCGCTACTAAGAAAAGGTGGGGTGGGTCCTCCATTGTACCTCTCAGGTACCGCATCGGCCGTTGCTTAGTTCATCCGCTGCTGGGTGCTCCAGCCAGCAAGCAACTTTAGCACCCTCGCGGTCAGTCCAGTTAGTCGTAGCCCAGCCCCAAGTACCCAGAAGCTAGCAGGTCGGCGGCCCGGTCTAGTCCAACCATTTCATCTATTCACTCACGCGCTCTAATTTTTGCACCTTTTATTCAATCACTGGATTTGATTGTTCACGATGGGAATGGCAATAACTGTAGCAACTCAAGATACCTTACAGCTGAGACGGGGGAAAAGAGATGAGCAGGAGAGACACGAGGACTGGAGCCACCGAGGCCCATCATTTGGGTGGATATGGGCAGACAAAGTTTCTCCAGAGGCTGCTTATTTACAGCAATGCCAGGTGCCTACATGAATAAGCTCCATTCTGACGTACGTACCCTTTCAGATCGATCTTCCGCCGAGAGGGAAAGCCACAGGAACCAGACACCGAAGGAAAACAGCACACAATACCTCTACGTTCAAGGCTGTACTTGAAATCAGAGGCGCCGTAGGGGCGGGCGCCTCTCGGCTCATTCAACTCACTCATTTGATAATATTAGATGCGTCAGAAACCATGCCTCTCAGAGAAGAGTATTAGGTACGTATATGCATCGGGAAAAGGCTGCGCGAGTGAGTGAATGGGTGAGGGCCCCCAATACGGGGTTTAGTAAGATCCCAACGTCCTCCCTCGTCTTTTTTGGACTCAATTTGCGGCGACAATGGGGGAAGACTTTCTTGAAGCGCAGCAACAAAGCCTCACAGCACGAGAGGAGAAAAAGCTGGGCCTGCCTGAGGAACTGCCCCCTCGAGAGACCAGGATAATACCAGCTAGTGACATGTCAGGCTGTGTGTGTGTGTGTGTGTGTGAGAGAGACAGAAGCAGAGAAAGTGTGCGTATTGCAGGGGTCAGGGATCCAGTCAACCACGGCTTGATGGACCAAGATGTAGCGTACTATGTACTGTGTATGCATTTATTTTTTTGAGACCCATTCTCATCCGGACTGAAGCGAGCGAACAAAGAGTCAGAGAGCCCAGTGCGTTGCGGGCGTTCTGCTTGTCTGACTGTCTGTCTCTGTCTGGGTTGGGTGGTTAGTGGACTTTTATCTAGGCTGGCTGAACGATGCAGTTGAATAACTACTTGCAGATAGCTGTAAGTCAATGTAGGGTTTGTGTCTCGCCCGTAAGCTGCCCAACATTATCTGCATTACTCGTAGCTCGTCCCATTGTTCAATTATCTTCCAAAGCATGTAACAGTATGTTATGTATGTAGGCATGGTCAATCCATCAATGTCTGGTGCTCACATACCTAGTAAATGATCGATACCTGCCAATTGATTGATGTAGCGTGCACACGGTATGTAGCATTAGTTTGTACTTTGTACTTCCGGTGCCCAGGTCCGGCTGTTCGGCTGGCTTTCTTAAATTCTGCTACTCTAACCAAATGCAACACCCCTATCCACCCCGACGACTGTCTATGTACTGGCGATTCAAGCGAAGCAGGAAACCTTTCTTCAATATTGCCGGGTCGGAGACTGATGACTGACTGATTGATAGGACTGAGCTGGGCATCCAGGTACCGGAGGTGCACAGCATTTTCCCGACTGCAACGATGGTTCAACGTCTTTGACTTAGGTCCGTGTTTTTGGTGAGGGAGGTAACATGGGATGTAGGTAATCAAGTCGTCTCGTCTTCCCTTGTGAGACCTATATGCATCTTGCAGCGAATGAACGGATCGATCGGCCGAGCGCTGGGTTTCTCTGCTTGCTCAATCGAATTGTCATTTGACAACAATGTGACCTGGCTGAAGTCCTGATACGCGTCTCTCCTCTTTCTCTGTGCCGAACCGAGAGCAGTCCCGCTATCATGTTGTCCATTCTTTGTTCTAGAAAGCAAAGAAAAACGAAATACCCAGAAGAGTAAAGAAGAGGGCCCACGGGACGAACAGGAGAAGTTCGGCCCCGCCTTTTCGTGTTCTCGCAAATGAGCACCAATCTTGCGAGACAATTCTGTTTTCTTCTTTGCTGCTTCATATCGCACAGAGTGCAGGCATTCTATCTTGAAGGACCTTTGCGGCTTGATGGTTCATGCTATAATATGTTATATGCGTGATTGGGCGTGTTCGGGATTACATCATGAGTGGAAGCAATTGGTTTTGTAGCTTGTATTTCGCGCAATTGTCGTTCCCGCGATCACGGAGCAAGCCCCCGTGGCGCGAAACAAAAAGATGGTATCCGTCTGCTTCCGCGGTCTGTCTGTAATGTGGATAATTGACGGAGTAGGTAGGTAGGTAATGTAGATACCTTATGTACCTGTAGGGAGATACTACTACCTAGTAGCAACCCCCCAAGCCAAAGAATTCCAGCGACCATTCAATCCAGCCCATGCAGGCGGCTTCGACGTTGGGTCACCAACGCACCTCACCTGATGCCTTTGTCGGCCTCATTCGCTGCGGGCAGATTCGGTGAGCATGTCATAGTGGGAAGCCCTTTATATCTTGGAAATTCCTCGGGATCTTATATATACCTACATACACAGATACAACTGAGACCAAACACATAACGAGGCCAAGCCAGTAAGTATGAGGCGGGCTTGTTCATGGCGATGCATAACATCCATGGCCCATCTTATTAATTACCTACCTACCAACCTACCTAGTATCTACTCACTGCCTTCTGACAAAGCGCGCCCATTGTCACCCAAATTCTTTCGTACATACCAAACCAGAACCAGCTTGGTTGGGGTCCCACACTACAGCCAGCCATTTTTAGCCTGCTGTACCTGACGAGTACATACCAGGGGAGGAGGAGGGGGGGCCTTGTTACCCATCGCCCACCCACAATGCTGGGGTCATGATCATCAGCGGGCAACGAGACCTGGGCGCCGGTCAGCAAATCGCGTCCTCACCCAGTCCCAATCGAGCTATGTCAAGAGCTTATGCCTAACTGGGCTGACAAACAACCCTTCCCAAGCCTCTGGCCTTGATGTTCCAGGGACCATGTCGGGAGAGCAGCGCTTGTGTATGAGAAGTCTGAAACTCTGGAAATTCTTTTAAAACCTCTTTGCTTCTCTACATCGGTTCCATATACATACTGTATATATGTGTGTATATCTATATGCGCTGCAATTGAGTAATTGAACAATGGTTTGCATCTTGCTGCAAAGCATGAATAGCCCAACGAGCAGATTGGACAAAAAAAAAAAAAAAGAACTGTACTGAAACATGTTCAGCGGCCTGGAATGGCCTAGCATCCCGAATGATGGGCGACAGGGTTTCCATCCGTGCCAATCCACAGCATGCAGACTGTATTAAGCGAAGCGGAAGACGAGTCAACCGGCAAGGAGACTGAAGAGGGAAGAAGAAGAAGAGCGCCACAGCACAGTCGATCCCTTCCTTTGGAGTGGCTACTTTGTGCTTTGTCGAATCTTGATGCCATCTGAAGATTTGATAGTTGGGGAAGCCATTCATCCTGTCTGTTGTGCACCCACTTTGACAGGTCCGGGCTAGCTGGAACAGCTGAAAATGAGAGAGAATTCCCCTTGCCCAGGCAAGGCGTCTATTTCCGCTGGCTGATAGCATGTAGTGGCCCCGACATCTACAAGGTTCCCGAGAGGCTCAAGCAGATAAAAAAAAGGAACAATGGTTGTGCACCTACTGTGTAGAAACTTTCAGGTACCGCTGAAGCTTGCTCTCCACTTAGAGAGTCCTGATTTGGCGAGACCCCGAATTCTCCAACAGGAGAAAAACGGCATTGACCTCTTCAGATTCGTCGCATAGGAAGACCCTTAATAGGAGACCATTTCCCTCAGGGCTAAACTGTACTCACCGCCAAATTGCAATCCCAGCTCTCTCGGAAAGAAAGAAAAAACGAAAAGAGTTTTCTAATCACCAGGGGAGATGAACAGAGAGGCGAGATTCAAAAAAGAGAAAAGCTGTCAATTGGTGAGAATTGGGGATAGCAGCTTGTTACGTCGGCGAAACTGTGACCGGCCGCAGTAACACACAGTACACCAGGAGGTAATGCACGAATCCTCCTGCCATTCCTCTAGAAGCTTTGAGACCGCGTGCAACATGCATCCAAGCGTCTTGGGCGTCTGGCCTGCCACCGTCCAGAATCCACGATCGTGCACGGGTACCTCGAGGCAAAGTGGAAAGGTGACCTCGGAACGGGTGTCGCTCCGACGACTACCTAGACATATCCATTCACTGTTCTGAGAGGTTCAGCGCTTTAGAACTCTGATTCATCCGGAAGAAGAATTAGAGGCGTCAATTATCACAAAATGCTAGCTGGAGGTAGCTGCCAAAATCTTGCTTGCAATCTGTAAAGGATTCAATCGCGCCTGGTGATATTGGGTGATACGTACGGACCCCCCATGTCCAGTCAGCTTTCGCCTCGGCGGAACAATCATGTCTCGTCTCTTTCCAATGGGAATGCCGCGTCCTAGTTTCGACGGCACGAGGCGGCCGACTAGGGGAGAAGGAGGGGGGTAGGGTTCTTGTACATTTTCAGTTTTCGCTCAACCTACATCGGGCGAAGGGCCGACTTCACTTGTCGGAGTCAGCAGACAAATCCAAGTGAGAGATGTTCGTACTTGGAACAGGTGTGAAATCTATGGAGGCTGCCCAATGATCTGGCGCTGCTGACGTGGTGAATTCCCTTGTGGGAGTACGACTTCACATAAGTGCACAGTGCCGACGACAGAATTGTGTCCCGTAACTTGAATTACAGTACACCGTGACAGATTAGACTTTTGCAGAGACCGTCGCCATCGGCAAGCCATACTCGGATCCAAAAAGGCATGCGGAGATCGGACGAAGTGGTTGCGCCACAACACCCAGAAAAGCAATGTGATTCCTTGAACCCGACGCCCATTGCCCCACCACTTCTGCTGGCTGACATACCATATTGGAGGAGTACTGTCGCGCTCCCCGCGCCTTTGGACTGCAGAGTATTCCGTAGGTATTGATATATTGTCAATTACGCGCAAGCAATCATGTGTAATCACTGTAGAAACTGAATTGCGCTTCTTCGATGCAGTATAACCTGGATTGGTGCGCAACTGAAGCGCTCTTACATTGAGTCTGATGGTTGCTACCGGGAATTGGATCCAGTATTTGCCGCCTCCTATGCCTTTTGGCTCAATATTCAACTCGGTATATTGTATCGGGGGCCGCTTTCGTAGATTGAGTAAAGTGGCCGGGAATGGCAAGTCACCATCCATATTGAATGAATGCCAGGCACATGGGGGTTATGGGGGGACGCGTGCATACATTACCGAACATGGTTTCCCCTTCGCTGAACTCGCTCTATTGATACGTCCAGACCCCACTAGTTAATTGGGGGGAGTGCTACACTGCTACCCAAATTATATCTGGTCCACGAATCGATGTTGTTTTGGGTGGCAGGTGGGATGCACAGAGAGGGTCTGCCAGTGGAATTGTGTGACTTCAGGTGGCCACAGGCAAGGCACAGAGCATACGGGCTGTCCTCTCCGGAAAAGCCACAATATGGAAGCAACAAAAAGATGTTTTCAAAAGCAGCCGTTTCTCCACCATGAACAACATGGGAAATGACGTGGTTCGGATACAGGCGCTGGATTTTAGATATGATGATATATCCATGAGACAGAGGAGAGGGGGAGGGCGCGAGAGACTGACTGCGCCTAACAAGTGGCATGAGTGCATTGCGTGACGTGGTTACGATAGAGGACGTTTGGTGACAATTTTTGGCCTTCTGACTAAAAACTTGGCGATTGCAAGCCAAAACGGTAATCCGACCCGGGGTCTAGCGAAGGTAGGTGGCTACCTGGTAGTAAAGTAGATGCATAGCTTCAATTGTCGCCGGATCGCTATAGTGCTGGCTAGCCACCCGGCTATGGACAGTGTATGATTCAGCTTTCCTCGAGCAACAAGGTCGGACGGCAACTAGATCAACCTTGAATATCTAGTATCTTGCTCGACGTCCGCCAGGCAGATGAAAAATTGGGGCCAGCAAGCAGCCGTCTACACACCAAAAAGAGCAGAATATGGTACTGCAAAGACATCCGCTCGCTCGATTAAACAGATTACAGCACTCATCAGAGTCAGGCAATTAGCGGACGGACACGGAGTCTCCTGCCCGATGTGCGTGCTCTGAGGACGGGCAGGTAGATTAAAAAGTTATTATTGGCAACAAGGGTTCGACGGGACGAGAGAACGTGTGTACGGATGCGTAGAGTGCTGCAGAACCTATCGATTATGTGGTTGCGATTATGCAGCTAGGCCATGCTTTTTTGCTGCCAAATGATCATCGACGCCGCGCTTGACGAGCACAGATCGACTGCATGCGTAGGTACCCAAGTAGTGGTGGTGGTGGTGGGGGGGGAGGAAATCGGAAGCACAATTCTCATGGCCAGAATACCACCTACTTCCAAGACTTTGCCCCCAACCCCCATCGCTGGGTTACGTTGTAAGAGAGCACAGGTTTGGCAGGTGATTTTGTCGCCTTGCCGGAGATGAGAAAGCGCAGGCGTACAAGAGCGGAGAAGACATGAGACTCGGTTCGGGATCATCTGCCCTATTGACTGAGTGACCGACCGAAATCCGTATAGTACACTACTTTCTAGTCTGACTGATGCACCTTCTTCGCTCCTACGGATATGTATGCTTAATCATCCAGCAGCAGCAGCAGCAATGCATCCTCTAGGTGGACCAAATGCCCGGATAAACAATGTCTTCGACGAGATTTTGTACAGTTGTCCCGCATCAGTGCTTTTTGCAATGTGCATGACTGCTCTCTGCAAAGAAGCCCGACGGATCAGTGAGTAAATGTACATCACCCATGTAGCTAAGGTATCGTAGATGATCTTGCGTGGACAAGTTCCTCGGCACTGGTCAATCGACGGGCACACTATGGCCGTTGGTTGCGCGCTATCGATCATCTGCTTCCCTGGCTTCCTTGTGCCAACGACAGCCGGAGCAAAACACCACCAGTTGCAACCCCTCCAATCGAGGCGCATCGAGTCGAGGGATTTGCTGACCGGGTAGTCTATCTTTACGGTCCATGTTGGGCATAGCTCGCAGCGGTGGTTGTCGTGTCGATGCCCGGTGTTGGTTGGCGTTGTATTTGAAGATATGGAGTCCCGGGGGGCATCGTCCCGGCTCTCGATCCATTGACACATGCAATCACTACAAGAAATATTGAATCGAGCTGCCCGCACAAACTGTAAAAGAAAGAAAGAAAGAAAAAAATACATTATTTATGGTATGGAATATGTGGATGCGGCAATCGGCGGGGTTCCCGCGGGGCATGGAAACGGTAATATGAGATGTTCCTGGTCCCTCTCCCTTCCCTTTCCAGGCGATGCTAGCGAGGAGCGGGGAGCTTTGCCGGTTAGTTCCTTGTTCCTGATCCAGGGGAAGGGCACTGCCACGTGCTGAGTAAATGAGAGGTATTGCAATATGATCATCTCAGGACCACTCTTCACAAAGCTGAAAACTCCTGTAATACGAAACCAGGGACTTTACAAAACGTACCTATGTAATTGTCTTGGCTAGGCAATTGACAAGTCAGCACGGAGACGTGTGCGTATTTCCATATGGTATACGAGACGGATACGAGCCAATGATGAATTGCCAACCCGTATAATTGCAAATGTTATTGCGCATATCCGCAGTTACATTATGGCCAATGATTATTCATACCAATTCTCCGCTCTCTTTCCACACCAGTACACCTGAAGAGCCTCGAGCGACGACTTCCTGACCAAGTCCAGTCAAAACGTCTCAGAGAACGATATCGCCAAGTCTTTGCACGTGTGATCAAAGTGCAACTGACCTAATCGTAGCTGCTGTTTTCCAGGACCGGAGGCCATGTACAAGGAGAGACATCGTATGGCATCAGCCTTGCAATATGCTTATGAAGACGAAAGCATGACTATTGACCTGTAACCGTTGTGCTTTGACATGTGCGTCGCTAAACGCCGCCCTTCCTCGAGGCGATGGAGCCTCGCCTGGATGAGTCCATTTAGGCAACCCAAATAACCTGTAAGTGATCATGTTTCCTTCCTAAATACAAAATAATTAAAATTCTTGCTCTGACATATTTGAGAATTCGATGTAACCGCCATTATCGTGATGTCGTAAAACCTCTCTGCTCCACATCCTGACAATCGATGCACCTTGCTGGCGGTTACTGGGTCTTGAAGAGCAGAATGGCGCAGTGGCCGAGGTAGAAGTAGATGAAGTGCTTGGTCTCATGCGTCACGTAGCTGCCAAAGTTGCGGCCAACGATACAGTGCCAGGTCGGGCCCTTGCGATCGTCGAACTAAAGGACTTGTTAGCATGGTATGCTCATATCGCAGTCTAGGCTATCTCACAGTTCTCTTGATGTGCTGCGCAATGTCCTTTTCGATGCTGAACTTGCCCATCGCCTCCTGAGCTGCACAAAAACTGGTCAGTACCTCGCAGGACGACTGTGGTGGCTAGAACTTTACTTACCAACCTCGATGGCTTCTTGTTGCATGTCATCGGTCTGCGACTTGGTAAGCATGCCTACTGGTACGGAGTTGTTGTTGTTGTTGTTTTCTTTTCGTAACCTACCATGTCTGCAGACTTGATCTGAGCTGTTGCAAAATCGTCAGTATCGTGGGATATTCATCTATATTTACGCGCCGGGTACGCACCGTCGAGCTTCTCTCGTGCCGTGGGAGGCGGGGACTTGTTGTCATCAGCCATGATGTCGGTTTCGTAAGGTGTTTCTCGGTATGGAAATTGGTGAGAGAGTTTATGATGATTCTGTTGTGTGTATATGGAAGTCAGTAAGTGTTAACTTGAAAGAACTGTCAAAGCTGTTGTGCTTTTCTGCCACAAGCAAACGGGGCGCGACAACGAGGGGCAGACTGACCGATGAGTCCAGGTTGCGGAAGCGGTCAAGAACCAGTCCGGTTAACGATGGACGAGGCAGATGTGGAATTAATACTTTGCAGAGAAGCAGGCAGTTTCGAACAGATAACTGTGTGTCTTGCTTGTCGAAGGTGCCGGCGATTGAAGGCGAAGGATGCTCTGCGGTCGGCGAAACAGCTCTCTCGTCGATTGGAGTTGAATAGGATCTCTTTGCTGCCAAATTGAAGCGCCCGGGCTCCGGAGCAGGGGTCGGTCGGCCTTCAATGTTGGGCTGCTTCTCAGAGACGAGCACGGACCAGATTCGCGCTTGCTGGGCGAATTGCCTACAAGCGCGATTTGGTGGGGCAGGTGCGCTAGTGAAGAAATTCTTTAGAAGGGCTTAAGAGGAAGGGGAAAAAAATTATTTCTAAACGTCCCAAGCTTCTCACGACTTTTCAACCATCATTGTCTTCTTACCACAACATCGACACACCAGCACACGTGTTGCATGCTAGGTATAGAAGACAATATGGCAGCAACTTCCGAAGAGTCCTCACGTATCTTTGTGAGGAATCTTCCTCCCACCATCACCCAGGCGGACTTTGAAGCCCACCTTCGCAAACACTTCTCCAATGGTCACATCACCGACATCAAGCTGCTTCCTCAGAGGCGGATCGGCTATGTAGGCTACAAGACACCAGACGAGGCCAAGTCTGCCGTGAAAAAGTTCCATCGGTCTTTCATACGCATGTCTAAAGTCTCTGTCGAGATTGCAAAGCCTGTACGTTTGTCCATGACTGGCATCTACAAGTTCCCATTTCATACTAACCATATCCACTTCAGATAGCAGATCCTTCTCTCCAGAGGCGGAAGTACACAGACCATGCTGCGTCAGCGCTGCCTGGTTCCGGCAAGCCCAGTCAAACCGAAAGGTTACCCTCAGATCCCAATCAGAAAAAGAGGAAGAGGGACGAGCCCGAAGCATCGGACCCAAAACTCCAAGAATACCTTGATGTGATGGGAGCCACAAAGAATCCATCCAAGAAGACTCGGGAAGCCGATGCTGTAGACGTGGATCAGCCGCCGGTAGTTGTTGCCGAAGCGGAGTCTGATGATGAGTATGAGGAAGTACCAAGCCGGCAAGCCAAACCAGCCTCACAGAAGTCCACTCAAACTGCCATGCCATCGGAAGCAGGGACTTTGAGGAATCAGAACCAAGTCGATACCGTCAGCGCCGCCAATGTATCCAAACCGGAGTATGATGGTATGGACATTGACCAGCCTGGAGCTGATCAAGTACCAGCTGCCGCTGCTGTAGCGACTGCAACTGATGACGATGACTGGCTTCGCTCTAGAACGAATCGTCTACTGGATCTGGTAAATGACGATGAAGATATTCCCGTCGCGGCGCCCGTACCTTCGGCATCGTCAAAGACCCCCGTTGTGCTCTCCGCCCCTTCAAATGAAGATGCTGCTGTTCAGGTCGTCGATAGCTCCATCGAGGAAGTCGTCGAAGAACCTGCTTCAGATAATGAAAAATCCGGGAAGAAGCTCTCGGCTGTTGATACAGTCCACAAGACTGCGCGGATCTTTGTAAGGAACTTGCCATACTCTGCTACTGAAGAAGAGCTTCACGAGTATTTTGGCAAGTTCGGCGAATTGGAAGAGGTCAGTCACAATTTCTTTTCATCTTTTTCTTCTGCGGTTTTCTCCAAACCAGTGATTCTATGATGAACCCCTGATAGGGACAGCTTATGTCAAAGACATTTGATGAGCAAACCAGGGCCAGTATTTTAGTAGATGCTTCGAATCTGATAATCACACCTTCCTCTCTCTCAATTTGTTGCTGCATTCAGAGTCCAGAGAGGTCGCTAACTGAACCCAGATTCATGTGCCAGCGAAGAGCAACACGGCCAACAACAACCAGGGCTATGCCTTCGTCACCTTCAGCCAGTCTGACGATGCAGTCAAGGCGTTCCAAAATGCCGACGGTGCAACTTTCCAAGGTAGAATGTTACACGTGATACCTGGCTCGGCAAAGCGTCAACAGCTTGACGATTTTGCTTTGTCCAAACTTCCCCTCAAGGCACAAGCCAAGCTCAAGAAGAAGGCCAAGGCAGGTCAGGCATTCAACTGGAATTCCTTGTACATGGCACAAGATGCAGTACTTGCTTCGACCGCGGATCGTTTGGGAGTGTCCAAGTCTGAACTCTTGGACCCCACCAATGCGGATGCGGCGGTGAAACAGGCGCTTGCAGAAACATCAACTATTCAAGACACAAAGGCATACTTTCTGTCTAATGGTGTAGATCTTGACAGCTTCAAGTCTGGTCAAAGATCAGATACGGTCATATTGGTCAAGAACTTTCCATATGGAACGACCATTGAGGAGCTCAGAAATGAGTTTCAAGAGTTTGGACAAGTGCTCAAAGTCTTGATGCCGCCAACTGGAACGATTGCTATTGTCCTGTTTGCACATGCCGCCGAAGCCAAGACTGCTTTCTCCAAACTTGCCTATCGCCGATTCAAGAACAGTATCCTGTTCCTCGAAAAGGGACCAAAAGACCTCTTCGTGGGTGAGGTCAAACCAACACCTGCAGGTGCTGAGCTTATCGGTAAGGAGAAGATCTCGGCTAGTGACTTGCTAGAAGGTGAAACTACCGACGAGCCGGCCGAATCCAGCTCTATTTTTGTCAAGAACCTCAGTTTCAACACGACAACCGCGCAGCTTCATGACGCATTCAAGCATCTGGACGGTTACAGATCATCAGCTGTCAAGACAAAGTCAGATCCAAAGAAGCCTGGCCAAGTCTTGAGCATGGGATTTGGATTTGTCTCGTTTAGCAGCAAAGCGTCGGCAGAAGCAGCCGCCAAATCTATGGACGGTCAGGTCCTTCAAGGCCACAAGCTGGTCGTGCGCACCAGTCACCGTGGCCATGATGCAGCCGAGCAGAGGCGCAAGGAAGACGCAGCCAAGAAAGCTGCTGGTAAGAGCACCAAAATCATCCTTAAGAACCTGCCATTTGAGGCCAGCAAGAAGGACATCCGCAGCCTGATGGGTGCTTATGGCCAGCTCCGTACTGTCAGGCTACCCAAGAATGCACAGAACCGATCAAAGGGTTATGCATTCTGCGAGTTCACGACCAGTCGCGAAGCTGACAATGCCATGGCTGCTCTGAAGGATACTCACTTGCTCGGCAGGAAACTGGTGCTCGAATTCGCAGAAGCTGAAGACATTGATCCGGAAGAGGTCATTGCAAGAATGGCAAAGAAGACAGGCCGGCAAAATGCCAAGGTCACCCTTCACCAGCTCATAGGCGGCGACCGCAAGAAGATCACAATAGGCGCAGAGGAGGAAGGCGAGGGAGACTTTTAGCCCGATTTAGTTCTCGTGCTAATTATGTTCAATCGCAGGGGGGGCCTGGGCGCGTTCCAGTACGTACTAGGGATATATATGGCTCCTCTTGTGTGTGAGCCCTCCCTTGTTGTGGCCCGCTTCCCGCTCCCTTTCCCTGGAAACAGGGCAACTGTGGTGAATCTTCTTGGTGTGTCCATTATCTGTGCCCCTCCATCGACACCCCTCCCCTTGAATACATTGATGGCTCCTTGTCTACAAGTTCTAGACACATGATCGTCTATGTGCGCGCGGTAATCAAACTCACATTCCCGCCCTCTCTTACAGTTCTAGAGTGTCCAGCTCTCGTCGGCCCGAGCTCTACGACACGATGTATAGAACGGCAGATTGAACATTCTTGGGGTAAGTCTAGTGTTGTTACTATTCATATGTTTATCTCCCAGGGTTCCAATACACCCTTGCATGCCATTTGCGGCGATTTCTGCTAGGTCTTGAAATCATGTCATGATGCTAAATCTCGATGGGTGGCGTTTGTATCGGTTCTTCAGAGCGCCCTCGAGGAGACTCTGGGTGGAACACCAGGGTGTTTGCCCGCCAGTAGACTATTGTTATTTCCTCTCCTAGACAGACCACAACGGTTACCAAATAGCGATAGCGGTACTTGCATATGTTTATATCATTATAAGACATGCGATCTTCTTCTTTCATGCCTGAGTATGTATCTGAAGCTACGAGCCATATCCGTGACACCCTTTTGCCACTGCCATTCCTTACTACATATCTCATACTGCTCGTCAGCGTTCCTCAAGTTCTTTCCAGGCATTCACGAGAATTCTCAATCCTCTTACGAAACATTCTTTGTCTGGATCGCTGGTATCGTGAGCCATTATGCAACTGCCGTTGCGAGGGCATCCGCCTCCCCGATGCTCGCCAGAAGGTGATTACAGTTATGACCACACTCATCACGAAGTCCTCCAAAATACCCGGCGGCCGCTGGCCGAGTCTACAGGCAATGCTCAAGCACACAAGACGGAATCCTTGTCATTGTGCCAAACAAGTCACCTGTCGCTGTCGCCAATACTACACCCTATGCCTACACCTCCAATACTGCCAACACAATCAATAGCATCAACGTATGGCACCAGTTTTCGAACCAATCGTACATTACAGAGAAATGTGTCATTACGAGAGTCACCTATGGCTCACTCGAGTCAGGGTCGGAACCCCATATACAATAGAAAGTTCTTTGCCGACTATAGAGCCAAGGTGGAACAGAAATCAGCAGAGAAGGAGGAGCCAAAATGGCCAATGTGCCTCGAAGATTCCTTCCTAGATGGTGAGACCCCTGATCCTGTCGCTTCTGTCCAATTCCAGCCAACGACTTACCAAGCTACAGCCCTTTTGATTATCCCGTTCATGGGCCGGAAAAAGGTCAGCTCCAAGGGGAAGCTATATGGCCGCAACATGCTCATATCAGAATACATTTGGATACGTTACTGGCTCATGTTTCCTCCTCCAGAAGGTACCGAATTGCCTACGGGAAAGATGCGAGAGGAGTCTCCGTGGAAAGATATATTTCGTACAAGGAAGCAAGGGTCTAGCCATATTCAAGTCCTGAAGGGTTACTTCAAGACACATGTGTGCTGTATGTACAAACCTGCACAGATCCAATCTGGATCATCTTTCCACTGACATGATTCAGTCCATTTTTTCTTCCCCTGCCAGCAAGATGATAAAAGGAAAAAGAGTCGACATTACGCCAAGGAAGAGGAGGTGGAATCTTTCAAGAACAACACAGTATTGAATGCTTTGGCCGAGGGCCGTCTTCCAGATGAACGGCCCAATTATGGCTACTTTGCTCAACTCATGGCGGGCGACTCGGAAACATTTGTGATGCCAAAGGCATGCTGGATCTATGTTTCGTCTTCAGAGGTCACACTCAGCCCAGACTGTAAGGAAGCATATGCACGCGACGGGACAGTCTTGCGCGCAGATTCTCGCGCACCGGACGGGCAACACCTTGAGAATGGAGGTGCATATCCCCATCTTCTCCTCAACGGTAACAAGGAAACCCGAGCGGCGCTTCGCAGTGGCAGAGATGAAGAAGCTCCAAAGTACATTTTGCACGAGTACACAAAGAGTCTAACCCAGGTCGAATCAAGCTCAATCAAGGACATTTCGAGGGAATGGAAACATGACTTTCCCGAATTCTACGATAATCTGATGGCCGCCATGGAGGATACGCACCCATCACACGAACGCACATCTCGCTGCGTCGTCGGGCCATGTGATACCTTCCACTTTGAGGTAGTACTGGGTCTACATTCCACCAGCCGCTTCCCCTCTGGTACACATCTAGAGGGCTCGGTGCAACTACAAATCTGTCGGCCCGAGCTGGCAAACCACCGCTGGCGCTCCGTGACCAGCGTCTCAAAGCCCGAGGAGTTGGAGCACGATGCCAATGAGGCGCCCTTCTGGAATTGCCAGAACGCGTGCGAGCTCGTCGGCCGACAAAAAGACGTGATTGAGGTTCCCTTTCCCGCCACGAGTTGGGCGAGCACCTTTATCATGCTGTCCAAGTACGTCACGGCAGAGCGCGAGCGTGCAGAACGAGACCGCAAGGAGCGTCGATCCAAAGTCAAGACGGAAGAGCAAGGTGGTGACAATGTTGAGGAGAAGCAAAGTGGCGGAGGCAAGAAAGCCTCTACCAAGATGCCCACGCCCATGGAGCTACTCGAGCAAGTGGCCATGTACCAGGAGATCTGGTCGGCGCCCGACGACGGGTCCGAGAAGCCCGCGTGGACGCGGCGAGCCATTATCCTCTGGACGTTTGCCAAGGAGACCCGGACGGTCAACTCCAAGGGCAAGAACACGGGGCAGCCGGCGGGAACCAACTGGCGCTTCCTCACCAAGGTTGACCCGCTGTCGCCGTACCACCGACAGCGCACCCTCGTCAGCGGCCCCCCGCTCACTGTCTCGCGCGACGCCGTCATGTCCCCCAACCCGGCTTATGCCAACCACTACGCCACGGCCACCATGCACGAGAATTTCAACACGGCCGCGTACCATGACTCTGAGCCGTCCATGACGGCAGCAACACATGGCAGCGGCAACGACATTCACTTCCCAGGCCACTCGTTGCACTCATACCCGTCCTCACTTGGTCTACTAGACAGTTTCTCTTGCTCCTCGGGCGGCGGCCTCGCCACTCCTCCGCCGTCAACCTCGTTGTCGTCGTCTGGCTACGCCCACAGCTTTGACGGCGCCACTATTGCCAGCACCGACAGCCTGCACCACCACGTGAGCTTTTTGTCGGACGGTTCGGGAACGACGGCGGATAGCCAGAGTACACTCGTCGGCGGTAGTGGGACCAACGAGCATCATGACGCTGCCTTCCTGACCAACCTTGGAGTTGCTGGTGCCTATGATGAGGACCCGAGCTTGATCCAGCCGTGGACGAGCACATCGACGGGCGGCCTCGAGGCCCTCGAACAGTGGGCCACCACTTATGTCGATGGCCACCACCACCACCACCAACCCGCCATGGCGTGGACAGGACATGCCACCGCGAGTACGGCTGGAGGAATGGAAGTTACCAACAATGTCGCTTCCAATGACGCCACGCCCTGGGGCGATGGCAAAGATACTCTATGGGGCTCGAACCATACTGCCTCTGAGACAGGTACGGCCGCCGCCACGGATCCCGTCTTGATGGCGCCCCCGAACCAACAACACCATGATGATGTCTGGGCCACGGCCTCTTCGCACGACTGGCTACAGTCCATTGCGGCGACGGCGGACGCGACCCGTCACCACCACCACCACGCTGACGACGAGAACAGCGCTTGGGATCACCATACCCAAGAGATCCTGGGTCTGTCTCCATCAATAGCGGCGGCGGTCTCGTCCGAGCTTCAAACCACCGCACTCTACTCATCATCATCAGCCGCGGCACCACCCCCGACGAGCCATGGTATCCACCAAGTATCTCCAGAACCGGGACTACTCCACCATCATGCACACCTTGGCAGCAACAATGGCAGCGGCACCGGCAGCAGCAGCCGGAAGCGCGCAAGGGCCGAGGAAGATGATGACGAGGGCGACGGTAATAATGAGGGATATCCATGCTCGTCGATTCGTAAGCTGGCGCATGACGGCGACGATGATGATGTCGCGACCGACGGCGGCTTGAGGGTGCCTGCGGCCAACATGCTCGAGGACGACGAGCATGCTTCACTATTTGAGCTCTAAGTTTGATTAATCCCTTCACTGGCTCTCTTCTTTTTTTGCATCTCTCTAGAATTTTAGAGACAGAATTCAACTAAATCTGACTTGGGGAAATAAACCCAAGGTTATGGGTCGAGACGAGTTTGTATGAGTTATGAGATGTTGAAGGGCCAAAAATTCAATTCTTTGGGCGGGGCTGTAGGGAAAGTCAACCCCTAATTCTGGGAATTATTATACGGAGTTCAGGAAATTGCAGCATATGGCATATATGTTGGTGTCTCGAGACCTTTCTGGTGAGAGTTATTCTCAATGTCTGCGCTATGTTTAGGATGATATAACACACTCTTGTTGATCATGACCTCGAAGTTCTCAAATTTGTTCTGCTTGTTGATGTGTGGTGCAATTTGACATGCTACTCGATCGGACAATGTCAGCTAAATCAGCATGATCTGTCAGAAGCTAGAGAACCGTACACCAATTCAGGTTGGAAGTATAGGGAGACAGTCATATTTCTCTAATGCAAGTCTATGGGACTATCCCTATCGACAGCCGCTCCACTGCTATTATGTAGGCATGGACATTTTGGTCCAAGAATTGTCCAAGTCAGGCTGGAGTCTATATGCATGTATGTCATGCTGCACTGTCGAAAAGTTTCGAGTTCGTCCAATGTGCTTCATCAGATAGAGCTCCGGTATAGGAGACGGGAAGCGCCGTCTAATGTAAAAAGAGACAAGTCATTTCTTGTCAATGAGTATAGTCACTGCCGCTGGGTAAATCATGGACATCGAGGTGCAGTTTGTGTGCAAAGATACCGTTTGCAGGCGGATCGAATGGCACGGGCAAACACAACCTACCATTTTGGTGGATCTCCTTGACTGGGAGTAGCAAAATTATCATGCCACTCAGGCAACTGGTCATTCAGCGCTGCCGCCGCTACCGTTCCTGTGTAGCTCAGCACCTACATCTAGCTGTCGTACTTGCTCCCCCGAAGCGTTTCCCATTTGCATCAGAAGATGTGTCTGTTGCATTGGGATTTTGCGTACTATACTCTTGGTTCTATATCAGATTCCACAAGAAATCGTTTCGCAACAGATCTACGAAACAACGAAGCCAAGCTTTCGCAGGACCCACCAGGCCAATCGAAAGAGACAAGCAAAAAAGATCAGATCCTCCACCAAATAGTGTGGCGAGTGTGTTGGATAGCTCTGGGATGGTGGTCGATGTCGCAAAACGCTGAAGGGGATACCCACTATTCCAGGGCCGGAGTTGAACTGCTGGTTTCTTTATCGTTGCATGTTAATGACAAGAGTTGAGAAGACCGCACAGAAGACAGTCGTTTCGCGTTTCATAGAGTGATGAGATGGTTGGAGAGAAAAAGGGAGAGTAAGACGAGCGCCCAATCAGATAAAGAGCGCATCCGAGATATCTTGGCGCTTTGTTGCGCACGCGAAACGTGAAATCCCATGGCATCCTGGGTCGAGATCTACGAGCGAGGGGTGGAGTTTTTGAAGAAATCAAGAGAAATGGTTCCCTTGAATCCGGGGGAAAAGGTTGATGTGGGCAGGGATCAAGCAATAAGTCTTGTGTGGTGGACGAGGGGAGAGAGCAGCATGATCTGAAGTTCTGAAACCCCAAGTGTCGGGAACAGTACACAGGCTTAGAGTCTAGACGACGATATGACTTCCCAACTCGAAGGATTTTGCGGATCTGCGACTGGGAAAATAGCAGGGAAAATGCGTTCTTTTTACCTTTTAATGCAGGCATTGATGATATTCGGTATTGAAATTGCTGCTTGTTGATGTGTACAGAGAGAGAGATGAGTATTTGAAAATTTGAGGTTGGGCGAGTATACCCCGACGATCGTGCGCATACTACCTTGCTTGGCCGGACCTTGCAGTCTACCGTACAGAAAATACGTTCATCGTACGAGGAAGGAGTAAAGACTGGAACTCAGAAAGCATTTGAATTCGGCAGAGTGAGAGACATGATAGAAGCATCTTGTAATGACAAAAATTGAGACGAAGATCAACGAGATCACCGCATTTCTTCGCAGTGGCTAAAGTGGTTGCAGCATGGGAAAGACGAGCCGCCCGCCGGATGACCAGGATCAGCTTTGGGCCGAGATGGAAAGGCTGTTGTAGTATAGTACTAATCCCAGCTCGGCGACTGGGGCTCGTCTTGGAGCGCTCGGGCGTTGAGAAGATGGGATCCTGGTTCGCACGCGATCAGTTGGTATCAGATATCCGATGGGGTTTACACGTGTGTATATGTGTGTGTCGAGCTCGGCGTTGGGATGAATCGAGCTTGCGCGTCCGCAAGGGAGGGGAGGAGGTTTGGGCTTGATGCTGCCGGAGTATACAGCACGGTATATACTCGATGGGACTTGTCAGGTGTAGTGTGTATACCCAACGGCCAGCGCGACGGCCAGCGCGACGGCCAGCGCAGAAAGGAAGTGGGGACCTTTTTTTTTTTTTTTTTTTTTTTTCCGATTAGGAGCGCTTCGAACGTCGTGGCAGCGGGAAGAAGAAGGTCACGTCTGCAATGGAGCCACTCTGATTGTCGAGTTGGGGACTTGGCAGTACAAGACTGAATGTGTATCAAGAGAGGAAATTACAGTGCTCAATGCTCGGTACAACGGCGTTAGTGCAACCAACCAGAGACCAAAGTCGTCACAAGCAGTGCGACAACTGCTGCAGTGCGCTTAAAAGGCCAGTGTTGAAGGTCTCGGATTAAGGTGCGAAAAAGCAATCAAATACGCGTCGAAGGTCTCGAACACGGCGGCTGTTTTGAGCCCGAGGCCATTGGCGAGATGAGAGGTCAATGGACGAGGATGAGGACTGAGAGGTTTGTCGGCAATGTGTGGTATTCCAGGCATGAGCTGGTTAGCCGCCACAGATGTGGTGAATTTCCAGCCACTAGAAGGCGGCACGAGGGCCCTGGACGTGTTAGAGAATCTGCTGGTTAGCGGTGCATTGACTGGACGAGGGGCTCCCAAAGTCCAGGGTCCCGCAGGCCCCATAAGGCCCACGAGCGGCAACGAGAGATCAATTGTGGGGTCACTTGAACACACACCAATACAACACACACAAGAGACACACACACACACACACACCTTGACACCTTGTTCGCTGCTGGCTGACCTTGTCCCTGTGGCCTGTCTCTTTCTCTTTCTCTCTCTCTCCCTCGCCTTGTTCTCCTTGTTCCAGATTCGACCTGGAGAGCTCAGATCGATTGGAGCTAGCTTGTTCTTGTCGCTTACTCCCGATGCTTGTGTATCTATTTGCGTAGACTTTGCCCTACAAGGTACATTACTCACTTGCTCGCTTATGCTTATGTTGTTGTTCTTGATCCCCTATTGCTTGATGACCCCTGGGCGAGCCGTGCACTTGTGTCTGCCCTTGCAGCTTGCACATTGTGTGGCACACGAATGACTTTTCTCTCCCTCTCAGTTGCGCTCTTCTCTAGCGGCCCGCTGTTGATCACACAGAACAAAGAAAGCACAATATGCGCAAGAGACAAGAAAGCATCGTTGAAAAGACAAAAGGCACAGGGCTTTCTCGGAGACTGCTCGGTGGATCGAATGTTGAATTGTTGCTGGTGGAGTTTGAGAAGAACAAAGTCGGGACAATTCCTGTCCTCTCGATTTCGCCTCGGCTGGACTGGCCGCGTATACGGTTAGTTGGGCCTTGTCCAAACCCGCTCAACCCAAAGTCGAAACCACCACATCCAGTCAAATCTGGACAACTCTATATCATCCCAACTATAATCCCAACCCGCGCCCCACACCATCACTTTTCCGACAAGCTCCAGAACTTCTGCACGTCAGAAACATGAGATTGCAGCCCCCGAAAAGAAAGCACGATTGTATTCCCTATCCCCGTGTACTGTGTATGTGTGTTGGTGTGTGTGACTCTTATGTGTGTGCCTGTGTAATATTGCCTTGTTTCTAGACTGTGAACTCGACGAATAACTCAATCCTCCGAGCTCCACAACCGACTCTTACTACCGCCGTGACCGCCCCTTGGATCTTGGTTCCCATCTGAGAAGTTCATTTGGCCATATAGGCTGGCCGAATGCCAAGCTTTTTCGTTTCGGTTTATTCCACATCTCTTAACCGTTTGTCGACGCACTACCAACTTCTTCTTCTTCCTGTCCACATCAGCTCCAGCCTCCAGGGCGATAGAAATTCGTCGTCACCCGTCCAACGACTTGCCCGTCTGCCTAGAGACGACAACTCCTCGCTGTCCGCCGTTTGCAGAATCTAGACAGAGTTTTCCGCCTCTCTGTCAACGCCGCCTGGGCAACCTATCACCCTTTTCTCGGAGGCTCATTTGTTTGTCCCTCCATCAAAGACACCAAAGTCTTGTCCACTTCTCTTCCAACACCTTTCTTTTCAACACATCATGTTCTAAGCAACAAAGAACACTTTTTTCTATTTCTATTCTTGACTCAGCCGGCTGAACGATACGCTGCGCGTATTTTTTTTTTCCCCTCTACCCATCAAAAAGACTAGGTTTTTACGACCATCGTAACCCCGGTCAGCAATAAAAGAAAACCAAAAATAACGGTCGCGAAAAACGACGAGGGTTGCTGAAAGCACTTTTGACGCCCAGTCTGCCATAGGCGCCGAACACTCAATCCCATACACACTCCCCTGATACAAAGTTTTTTTTTTCCTTCTATTTTCATTTTTCCCTTGATCAAGCATCTCACAGCTTCTCTCGCTGGCGAGAGCTTCTACTAGATTTCATTCTATACATCAAGTCAGCTTCAGACTCACACCCCATCTCCTCCCTTCAAAGAACAAGGCAGCCAAGACATTTTCCTCGAAACAGAAACATGGCTTCCAAGATCGTCAAAACACTGGCCGTCATGGCCGCAGCCAAGACCGTTGAAGCTCACACCTGGGTGGAAATGATCCGTCGTATCTCGTCAAGCGGTGCCTTTGTCGGAGAGACTGGCTATGCCATGGGCCACATGAACCGCACCGATACTGGCTTCGCCGATACTGCCGTCCAAGTCAAGTTTCTCGATGTCACCTCAAATCCGGCCGTATGTGGTGATATTGGAAAGGCTGGCTACACCAACGCAGCCTACCCGCAACTCTCAGCATCACCCGGCGAGTACGTCGCCATGCAATATGCCGAAAACGGCCATGTGAGCTTTCCCGACCTGACGCCGCGAGGTTACCTTGGTGGAAATGTCATGATCTACGCCACTACCGAGGACGTTACCGACGTTGGCATCAACGACGCCCTGTACTCGTGGAACGCCGAGGGTACTGGCGGTAACGGCAAGGGCAAGCTCATTGCCAGCCACTTCTTCGATGACGGCCAATGCTTTGAAAACCCCAACAGCTCGCCCATCCGTGATGAGCGAGCCGCCAAGACCAACGTCAGCAGCTTGCTCTGCCAGAGTGTCGCTCAGCTGCCCGAGGACCTCGAGACCGACGGTACTGTCAACCTTTTGTGGATCTGGGACTGGGGCCAGAACCCCAACATTGCTGGCGAGAACACGACTGAAATCTACACGAGCTGCATGACGGTCAACCTCACGGCCAGCGACACGGACGCTGCCACCAGCGTCAAGGCATTTTCGTGGTCCAAGAATGTTGACATTAGTGATGCCGCAATTCCCGGCCAGATCTCGACTCTCATTGAGGTTGAGCAGCGCGGAACCGGTAGCGCTTCACCGGCAGCCGTCACTGATGTCCCCGTCGCCACTGGTGGTGCTAGTGGCAATGCTACCATCACTGCTACAGCTACCACGACCGCCTCGGGCTCCAAGTCCACCCACAAGTCCACCAAGACCCGCAGCCGGAGTGGCATCACGACCGTGACAGTGACCGCCGACGCCGAAACCGTCACCCATTACCAGACCATCACTGTCGAGGCCGGAGCTGGTAACAGCGAGGCCACCACCACTCGTCAATCTTCGGCCGCTGCCACGACGAGTGCCTCGGGCCTCAAGACTTCCGTCAGGAGTTCCAGCAGCTCCTCGAGCCAGGCTGGAGGCATTGATATCAGCATTGCCCCCTTTCTCAAGGCACGCTCCACAGGCCAGGCTCGTCGCTTGCAGTAAAAAAAAAAAAGCCATCCCCTGTCGCAATGAGGTTGAATTTTTCGCTCGACAATAAGAACAACAACTTGAAATGATTTTTCTTGCCTTTGCTCTCATTTCCCCCTCCTTGTGGATGCGCTTACAGCAAGCCTTGTCGGATAGCTTGTTTGTTGCTCCATAATGAGGTAGCAAATGCGAAATCGGGGGCTTTGAAGGGGTGTACATATGACAGCTGGCACCAACGGTGTTTTTACGATACTCGGACATGGACATGAACAAAGAAAAAAGAAAAGGATTAAAGACATACTTGCATGAGACAATGGCGTTTGACGACATGAACGAAGGGCTTGGAGGATGATACCCGGATTGCTTTTTTAATGAGAGAGGGGGGGCATACCTTTTTGCAGTTCGTCAACAACAAGGAACACGAGGCGTTTTGGTTTTTGCATCGACATGGCGCCATGTATACTATACAGGATCTGGCATTCGTACAGGACACGGTTTTTCTTGCTCCATTAGTTTTTTGGACTCGGGCATACTGCTGGTAGAGCTAGTCTCAGGCATTGTCAATAAAATTCATGAAAAATACTATTGTGCTTTGTTGATGCTTTTGTTTTCAAAGTGATTCGTGTTGATTCTACAGAAGCTATACTTTTCTTAATTATTCCATTGAGGCTTACTGTATCTGGCGTGTTAAAGATGAGCTTCATCTCTGCATAAGCAGACCTAGTGCAACAGCTCTACTATGATAATGGAGGGAATGCTTTCGTGCATTCATGAATCATGCACACCGGCTCCACGACTTTGTTCCCGGATTGAGTGTTATATTTCCATGCCCGTCTCAAGCCGCCTTGGTGAGTAACTCGCCAGCTTTCCACAGCAGATATAGACAGCTTCCGTTGCCAATATACCAAAAGAGGGCCCGGACAAGCGCCAGCGTGTCGTTCTCGACCAAGACGTACCAGAAGCCATAGGCGACGCGCGCAATCGAGTAGACCAGACCGGCCCGGTTGATGGCCTCGGGCGCCACGCCGGCGGCCGTGGCGAGGCCAATGGCGCCGACGAGGAGCGTGTAGTTCTCCACCGAGTTGGCGTAGGCGGCCTCGTTGCGCTTCAGCATGTTGAGCTGGCTCTGGGTGATCTTGCCCGACCGCACGGCCGCCTCGCCGTACTTGGCAATGTCGTCGCGCGGCGCGCTCTGGTGGTCAATTCCCCATAGCTGCTTGAGGTGACGGGATGCCACTATGTATATAGTTAGTGGATAGTTCAGGCATTTCTTTTCATCATTCGACCGCCGTCAAGCTTGATTGAGAAAGGTGGGAAATGGATTTCTTGAAAGTACACGTACAGGCAAGGTAAGACCAAGCAAAGTTAAAAGCTAAGTAACCGGCCGCATGATTGGGAACAAATGCGCCAGCAGAAGCGGCCCGGAGGCCGAGAGTGGTTGCGAGAGATGTCATTGGAGCCAAGAAGATGGAAACGATTAAAAAATAGTTGATCCCAAGTACACAATTCTTGGCCTTTTTCAATTTCAATCAATGACGACTTTTCAAGACTATTTATGAAAAGGCGAGAACAATTCCGCTTCCGTTTATACCCGACTGAGGCTGGAGAAGTAAGACGGAGAGTCATTCCTTCATAGATGGTCTCGCGGCGCAGACGCCAGTCTCAAAATGGACGCGTTATGGTCCGGTGATTTACAGGTGGTGAGATGGATGTGTTACAACAGCGACGCTTACGAGTGAGATTCACGTTATGCCCGGATTCTACACTGCCACTTTCTATTTATTACGAAATCATGCTCTGTGCATTGCACTCGCCTGGCTTCGTAGATTCAATGCACATTGGCTGTGCAACCTTGAAAGCTATCCACATTTCATAATTGTGCCGCCAATGTCAGATGGAAAATAACAGGAATGAAAAGAAACATGAGTCGATATTGCAATTACGGCAACCCCAAGATCTCCTAGGTAGTATATTCTTCTTGGCAAATCTCATAATTGTCTCATAAGCATATACACTGTATGTCTGCACCGCTCCTACTTGTTGTATGACAAGATACTGAACATTCTTGAAAGTTATACATAAATTTTAAACCCATCATCACACTGAGTCTGGGTAGCTATCAATACTAATATGATGCATGACGTATGGACAAGTTTTGGTCACCTTTCAAAACTCGAGAGCTGTGTGTCTGTTTATCTGGAACAAATATCAGGTGTTCCTGTTGGATTAATCGACAATGGCAGATATCTTCACATGTAGAACCATAAATCAGAAAACACCTGGTGTTGTTTATTCTTCTCCCAGAAGCATCTATGCCGTTTCCTCGGTCATATCTGCCCAATCTAATTAGTTCGGCCCTGGGACGTGCTTAATTTCAATCGGAATAAACAATTCAGAGCCCAAGACACTCTGTAACTCTTTAAACACGGTGAATCTAGCTTCCGGGGACACAGCCTCGCGAAAAACAGCCCTCGTCCTCATTTCCTCCGTTCCAGGAATTTTGCTCTTGATCATCCAGCCCATGGAGTCTGGCTGATGGCTCTTGTTGAGTCCGCCCAACTCTGCCCGCACACGTCCGTTTACTTCCTTGACTTCAGCAAGAAGCTCCTCATCAGTCATGTTTGCATGACCATCTTCCAACACGAAGACAACACCACACCCATTCGGGCTCTCACCACCAAAGGACCCGGACTCGTACGTCATTTGCAGATGATGCTGATCTAGCTTGGACCTGTTTCTGATGTCGTGAATGGTGGCCTGGATAATCGACGTCACTCCCGGGATGAGCAACTTATCTCGAGGCACAGCATTGACTTCGGGATTGGCAAAGTATAGAGTCACGCCAAGCACAGCAGGTGTATAGCATTTGCAGGGACAGGCCTCTTCGAATTTCCGGCTGTCTCGGGTCACCTGCAAGAAGGCAACAGATTCTGGACGCTCGGACATCGCAAGTGTGAAGAAGAGTGCTCGATTGAATCACCGAAATGAGTAAAAGTGTAGAGTATAGTGTTTGGTATAATGGTTCTTATGAAATTTAAAGCTGGATGTTGCGCAAGAATGAGATTGTATAGGTGTCTTGAGCATTCAATATCATACAGTATACGGTTTCCTGATGAGGCCCCTCTGGAATTGCAGTAATATATATATATGTTCCAGGCCTGTATATAGATACTTCTAGACACTTCTTTTTCCAGTATCTATAAATGGCAAACAGCTCTGGAATTCTCATAATATTGTTTCTTTATTTTCTCTTCTCTGATTGCTTTTGTAACCGCAGAGGTTTGCAAATTAGGTATGTTCAGAGGAACCAACAATTGATATATTCCAAATCCGGACAAGCACCATGCTGCATAGTTCTTGGTCGGTTAAAACGGGCTAGTACAAGCTTGAATGTGCAGCTTTCCATTGCAAGCTGGACCCATATTCGTTGTATGTTGCTGATATAATTAGCAAAGTCTTTGTTCAAGAAATAATGTACAGATCATTCATCAAGACAAACAAAAAGGAACACAAATTGATCTCTTGACACGGACGGCAGACTTCTTGACTACTAGACCATCACCAGTCGCATGTAATAAGGGAATATCGAGGACTGTGTTCCAAGTCATCAATTTTACATGTAAGTGGTAAGAAATCATTAAGAAAATCTCGACGGATTTATTTTGTTATTTCATGTCACCAAGTGACAAAAGCTTTAGTTTGAGGCTTCAAAAAGAATCTGAACGATTCTCTTGGGTATTGCCATAGAATCAATTATCTAAAAGCCTAGATTCAGTCATTTATATTGATCAAATCATCACATGTGCATCAAAGAATCGAGATATTCCGCAACACTCTCTATTCATCTGCTAGCGATACCCCTGACAGTTTCTAGGCCATATGTGAATCATGACCCTATTCTAACGGAGTGAATTCAATAGCAACCTCGTCTTCCAGATCCTTCGAGAGATATGTCTTGAGTTCTCGATTAACGTCAAAACGTCCAGCGAGTTCTTCATCGTCAGTAGCAACTCCATACTTCTTCACGTTGAAATCCGTGCCATGATACCAACGGGGATGATCTTGATCTATGAATATAACCGGCAAATGTAGCGGCTGATACTCCTTGTTCAGCTTTAGCAAGTCTTGCTTTATATCGAACGCCAAATCTTTGATCTGATGCAGAAGTTCCATCTTTTCGGAATGATTCCACACTCCGCTGGAGAAATTGATTCGCAGGCCCCACTGTGCCTTGGGGGGGCATAAATGTCCGACGCATAGAAGAAATCTGGCTTGCAGAGTTTCGATTGCTTCCCTCTTTCTCACATTGTGATCAGTAGTCTGGAGAATTCGGCGCAGCTTCTCCATGAGGTTCTGGTCGGTGTCACTTAAACGGACTTGCGGGTCCACATTGAAAAACTTGTTCATTATATCGCTTGACCGCTCGCGACATCCACACGGGCAGATCTCGAAATCATCAAGTGTTTGATTTGCCACCAAGTCCTTGGAGTCGATAGGCCCAGACGGTGCATTGCTCTTGGTGCCTGAATCGGTGTCGTTACTTTGCGTGGTGTCCGCCTGTAAGGCGCGCTCGTGACTTGAATCGACATCCATCGCTTGATCCGAGTTGTCGCTTGACATGATTTGTGATTGTGAGAAGCGCCCCAGTGTAGATTGCTGAGTCGAAAGGTGTCTGAAAGATGGTCTCTCGTATAATTGTTATAGTAGATTCTCAGGCCGAGTGGTTCTGAAAGAAGTCGTAGTCGGTGTGGTGGTCTCTGATCCAAATCTTCCATGATAAGATGCTGAATTTATGGCGACCCAGATGCCAAGTGATCTTTTCACAGAATTCCGGAGCAGTCGTTGTTACATGTTTGTTGCTTGTTCTTTTGGCTGGTTGCAGACACAGAATACCTGTGGGTCGAGAAGCCCTACTTATGTTCTGTTATTCGATTACTTATTTTTAGTGTTATAAGAGATGAAAAACCAATACATTTTATCTCGAGGGCAGTCAAAGCATCATGGTGTACAGTGTACTTTTCCTGCAAAGAATCGTGATGGCGGCGGTGGTGACGTGTGCTTCACATTGGATAATAGCGATCGTCTAGGTATTCTGAATTCGTAATTTAGAAGCTGTGCGATCACCATCAAAAAGTATCTTTGTTTTCTTTCACATAATAGCCCTTATGATCGCAAACTCAGGCCCCTGATTGTGCTGGAGAATGCTCAGTGAGAACCAACAGCCAACGCTTTCTTGATCCGGTCGAGTTCAATGCCACACAATCCTCCAGGGTATTGATGAGACTTGTTTTCCAGCTTGTTCAACCATTTTCCAAGTCCAGAATATTCTATTTCAAGAAGATTGTCAACAATTTGCAGCATTTTCTTGTCGTCAAAACAAACGATTGTGTCCAATATTTCCGATAGCATTTGTTCACAGTGGATGCATTCTTCACACATGCAAACAACAACTTTAATAAACTCTTTCATGTATTTTGATTAACCCCAAAGAGATTACTAATAAATTACTGCCGGGAACGTGTGGTACGGTCAATCACAAATCCAGAATAAGACAGCTTGTTAGTACTTGGCCTTTATATATTTTGACTTTGCACTTGGAAATTCCTTTTTGTGTTTTCCATAACAAGTATCTACTCAGCATTAAAGATTTTCGCTCGCAATATTGTTTACTTATCTCTTCTGTAAAAGTCTCGTGTAAGGGCGAGGTTATTTTATGTCAGTCCAATGATGCTAGCCTGGGCACGTCTCTTAGATGTTGCAATCCACAATCTCAACTAACATGAGGTGTTGTAATTAGTCGAAAATGGGCACTTTGGCGTATGCTCAAGGTAAACACATCAACATAGCAAGAAGAGGTCTTTGTATCACTAAATTGTTTTTGTATATCGATTGTGCTGCATTGAAAACTCCTGGCCTCTATGGCAAGAGACACAACTGATACAGATGAATCCTTGAAATGGTCTGATATTCGTAACAAACTAAAAAATAAGCCAGAGACCATTCCCTCTGTGATTATCCGACCTCATCCCATCCCTTAAAACGCCTCTTCAGCGACGCCGCGCTGTTCTTGATTCCGTATTTCTACTGGGTATCTTGTGAAATCATGCCAAACTTATTTCCGTCGAAATCATAATCCTGTGGGCAACCATCACAAGATAGCTGGATGCATACTCCTTGTGCCCATGACATTTTCGTACACACGTTTGCCCCTGTCCATGCCCGAGCTCTCTCTGGTCTTGCCGCGTAAAGCACAGTTCTTGAGACTCTTATATCTCATCATACTGCGCCAATGGTTGGCGGGACCACCCGGAATGTCGATTGGAACCAGGTAGTTCGACGACTCGGAGACTCTGCAATGAAGAACCTCTTTGAGTCCAAGTCGAGCTGGTGTGGAAGATGTTACCCCCACTCAAGGGGAGTCGAATACCCTCCTTCACCTCCATCCACCATGGTGATGTCCATGAACCCCAGGCTCGCCCCTGAGACCCCAAGCCGGCGGAGGTCCATTGTTGCCTGGGGCACCCATGGGCGGAATACGGTCAATCAGGTGACAATCCTCCTTATAAGGGGGAGGAGGCGGCAGATTCGAGACGGCACGGGGTCGCCGGCGCGGGCTCAAGGGCGGTCCATTGCGATGGTCATGGTGGTGGTGATGATGCGGTCCTCCGATCCTGGGGGATAGCGAAGAAGGGTGGTAGCCCTGGTAGATGCCGGGCGGGGAGGGTGACCTCCTGGGCGACGAAACCGGGTGGTGGCCGGCAAAGGCTGGAGAGAGGGGAGGTGCCGGGGGCATGTTGCCGGCGTTGAGATCGGGAATCTTGTCAATCAAGAGCACATTGGGCGACGGGCTGGCCGTGGCCGACAGGGCCCGCGCGCGGGATGAGGGCGGCGGCGGCAGGTGTGGGCCGCAGCAGCAGTGGTGATGATGGTGGTGATGGTGGTGAGAGTGCTCGTGGTGTGGGGGCGAGTATCTCGGAGGCGATGGAGGAGCGCCGAATGCGGCCGGGCCGCCGTGATGCGGTGCCGGAAAGGGTTGAGGTGGCGGCTGGTGGTGGTGACTGAGGTGCATTGTGGATGTTTTAATTGCTTGTTATTGATTATAGTATCAATAATTACCTAGTAGACAGGTGGGAGTCTTGAGATGAAAGAACAAGTATAGGACCAGGGCAATTGGATGGCCATCCCGTGTTTATGTATTATATAGGCACATGAACTATCGAACAACAAATTAAACATGGTTACGCAATCGGTAATTCGGCAGCAAATATCGTGTGTTTTTTTTTCCTCTCAGCTTTTTTTTTCTCTGAGCCTCTGCACAATTACGAGTCACGACGATTAATAGTCCACAGGGTCCACTAGTCAGCTAGACAAGCCAGGCTATGCTGACCAGACCAGGCGGGAACACTTTTGGCTTGGGCGGTCTGGGGGCGCTGCGGGCAGTCCATGGAGCACTAACCCGGCAGTTAGGCTGCGTACTATGAGCGCCAATGGCAACGGGAAATTTGGGAAATTTAGTGGACGCGACACGCAATGGTACGTGTGCCACGCAACCACGGGGCGTTGACGTATTGTAGATCCGAATCTTGCTCGGAGGTAATACCGGCCGGAACCCGCGAGGGAAAGAATTGGATGAATTGCCAGCCTTAAGCATAAAATGTTCTAGAAGCCTTCTTCCATTGTCGCGAGGCGAGGTGAGGCGGTGCGTTCGTTACCTACCTACTATTCCTTTGCTTGTCAGCTTACGGCCTGTCTTGTTATCATGATATCATTGTCGCTCGGATTAAGACCATGAACCCTGAAAATGAGATTATTACATACACAGTCAGCAACAATCATGACATTGGGCGGATCAAGAAAAAAGGCGTTGCCATACACAAGTGACAATTCAAGTTTATAGTAATTATAGCCAAGTACTATATATTCGAGTGGATACCTAGTCTCTCGCGACAGGCAATAAATCAGTAAACAGGAGATGATCTGTCTGGTCTGATTGAGTGGTTCCTTCTAGTATCTATAACACCAATTCGCTACTCCTGGAATCTGTCCAGAGTTTCTAAAGCAGTTTCTAATACCGCTAACAAGATTTGTTTTTTTCTTTTCGTTGCAGGGTTGTGCCCGATACCTCCAAGCCGTCACCCTATATGATGTACAAGATACTAATGCAGACAAATGAGAAGAGACACAGAAGGTCGTGTCTCTAATGTCAAGTTACACATGCACCGCAAAAGGGGGGTGGCGCATTCATGCCTAGTGTGGTGATGCATGTGTGGTGGGGTGAGTGAATGAGTAGAGTTTGTCCGCTTTACGACTCAACCTTCTTCGGCTCCTCCTTTGCGACCTTCTGGGCCACCTCGTTGCCATCGGCCTCGGCAGTCAGGGCCTCGTTGACTTGCGACTTGTCGACACCGGCCTGCTCGGCCGCCATGCGTCGCTCTTCCTTCTCGTCAATATCCTCAACATCGCGAGGTGTGGCCATGCCGGTGCTCTGGTTCTCCTCGTCCTGCTTGTTCTCTTCCTCAATGAGCTCTTGCTGCTCCTTGAGCACCTCGAGTCGCTGCTTGTTGGTAGCGGCGCCCTCGGCGTTGTGCACCTCGAGCTCGATCTCGTGGTACAGCTCCTCAGGAATCGAAGACAGCACACCGGTCAAGGCCTCAATCTGGCTGTGGAAGCTACCCTCTTCGGTCTTTTGGCCGTACATGTAGGCATTGCTCAAGACAAGCAGTGTTGAGGGAACACCATGCTTGAGACGCAGGTCAAGCCACGACTGCAGCTCCTCCCTGAGTTTTGCCGGCGACACACCGTGAGTCTTGATTCCACGAGATCCGCAGGCGACCTGCAATTCGCCGACGTTCAAGCTGTCGACGCCTTCATAGCTGATAGCTTTGTCGTCGCGCTTGATCTGGCGCATTCTGTGACGGATCTGGTAGCGGAGCATCATGTCTGTGCCAAAAGTGTTCAGGTTCATGTAGCGGCACATGGAGACGAGCTGCGGCCTCGAGAGGTTGTCAAGGGTCAAGTCGTCCCTGAAGATTCTGCAAACCTTGATCACGTCCTCGGTGGTTGGCTTCTCTCCTGTCGCACGCAGCTTACGGAAGAATATCGCAAACTCCTCCTTTTGTGTTGTTGCGGGGGTGAGAGGGAGACCAGTCTCCATCAGAGTGCCTCGCAAGAACTTGCTCACCTCCTTACGGGTAGCCCGAAGGGTGGCGGCCTTCTTGTCCTTGGCTTGCTGGCCTTCGTAGGTGCTGGGCAGTAGGTTCGGGAAGAGCCTCAGGGCAATTGGCAAGAGTGCCTCTGCAAACGGAACAATGATGAATACCGAGAAGGGGACCAGCCGACCCAAGTCTTGTACCGTCCTTTGAAGTTGCCGGTTTTCTCTCCGAGTAAGCTCGTACCCAGCAGCCATCTTGAGTGCTAGTCTGGTACTGATCTTGACCTCAGTGGCCAGCAATTTGGTACCGTCCCAGTAGTGCTGAATTTCATGCTTGATTTTCTGTCCAAGAGTCATCTTCTTGCCCTGCTTCTCCTCCACCTTTTGTGCCTCTGCCTCCTTCTTGGCAGCCAATTCTGTCAAAGTTTTGGCTTCAGCAGATGGCTCATTGGCCGGCCTTTGCGCCAAAAGAGCGTCGTCTGTGTGGTCGGCTTTCGATGTTGACTCGGCTGCCGTCTTGGAGTCTGTCTTGTTTGTGTCTTTGGATAGTGGCTGCTTCGCCTTGTTGATATCAAAGCCGGGTGGCGGCCCATTTTGGTGTCCGGTGGTGTTGTGTTCAGTAGACACATACCTGCCGGGGATAAAGAAGGCCACTGTGGTTGAGCCGGAGTTGTTGACATTGCCCGCGTGTCGTGCAAATGGAGTGGATGAGAGTCCGACGCCAGGTCGGAGTAGATTTCGGCCAGCGAATGCATGCGACGCCACTGCCCGGCGGGCAGCAGCTCTGCTTGGAGCGCTCATGGCGTTCGTTATATTTCTATGCTTGGAAACTCGGCGCAATGAATGCAGGGCCGGAATTCGAGATGTCTGATTCGAGACGGAGGGAGTATTACAACGAAGGAAGTGGCGAGAATACAGTGGGTTGAAAAAGAAGCTTGTTTGCAAAATTTCAATGATGTATAAGTTTGGCGTTGTCGAATGTAAGCGACATGGGGACGGGTCTGCCCTTGACTTATTATTGCCCTTTTCTGACGGGCAGGCGAATGGTCCAGAACTGCGGGACCTCTTAGGGAGGGAGAAAGGCCGGTAAATCCGAGACGGGCAAGGAGCCGTGTCGGCGCGGATTATTCTTTGGCCGAGCTCTATTCCAAGATTGCATACATAGGTACCTGGGTACCAGGATACTTCAATAGGCACCTCCTCATCTCCTCAACCTATCGGGGATCCCTCTTCTTGCCAGCCAGCCAGGCTGTGGGCGGTGACTCAGGAGGTCAACCAAAAGCACCCCAAATTCCCACCTGTACAGCCTAACCTCGATCTGGTTTGAGCCAGAAAGGATCATTACCCCTTGTTGGCTGTGATGCTGTCAGCACACTCAACGAGCAGTATACACGTAGCTAAACACGTGGGTCAGACGGACAGGTTGTGCATTGCAGCTCTGATGCCGACATGGCGAAACCAGTTGAACTCTCTGTACTCCATCAATTCTTTCTGTTGCTGATGCAGTAGCTACTTTGCCATTGTACTTCATACTTGCGTGTAGACCAAAAAACACCAATCAAAGTGATACAGAGTTTCCATTATTCTAATTGGCCATGTGTTCCGAGCAACCGATCTGGGGGGTATTTTCCAGACAGAAAATTCTAAATCCCAGGAAAGACAAGCAAAAACCAAAAAGCAACACCATCGCCTGACTAATGCTACGCTATGCAGTGAAAACACGAACTTTGTGCAACTCGTGCAGTTGCTTGACTTTCCAACATGTCCAAGTCAGAGATACGCTGCCATCGAGTCATGACATTTACCTTCTCTCTCCGGCACGTGTAATATTCGGACCCGTGCCGATTCCGGTCATGGTTCGTACGAACCAATGTAACCAGCTCTCCGTCTCCAGTTGTGCCTTGAGCTCTTCGGCCTTCTTCTCGACGCCTTGCACTTGAGCTTCAAATTGCGCAACACCATCCTCCACGTCGTCCACCCTCGAGACAAGCGCCTCAATTTCGTAGTCAAGTCTCGCTACCAGCACCTCAAAATCTTTGATAGCGGCCGTTATTTGATCCCGCTCGTGAGCAAGTAAATCGTCCGAGTCTTGCTTGGTGTAACGACACGACTCGGATAACTGGTAGTATAAGTTCTGCAAATCATCTTGCTGTTTTGTGTAATAAGCCTCAATGGCTTCAATGGATGCAATCTTGCTGTCGACCCATGGCTCGATAGTCTGCTTGACTTGTTGAATATTCATGTATAAGCTCTGCACGACTTCTGCAAGCTGATACTGCTTCCCCAGCACTGTTCTTGCGCTTATTTCTGCGCCATCGTCAACGATGGTCAGCTCAGTCCACCTCAAGACAGCCTCTTCAGCATCACCAAACGAGAGCCTGCGCGGCCATCGATTTTCGTTGAGACGCTTCTCTTCAGGACGCATTCCCTCAATGCTATGTCGTCGGTAAACCTGAGTCCCAGGTTGATTGAATTGTCTCTTGGTCGTCGCCAATGGGCCCTGGGCCTCACGTGCAGTCACTGCTGGGTCCTTGATAGCCGTGTCGAATTTGACTTCATGTCGGCTCTCGGGTATATGCGAAAGCCGTCTCGAATCGTCACTGGGAGGGCTGTCGTCCTCCACTGGCTGTGTGACTGGCCGACTTGACGATATTGGTGTGGCAGAGATGTCGTCTTGCACACTAGGTGCCGATGTGACATCTTTGAAAACGTCTCGGTACTCTTCTGGCTTGTTCTTCCATGTGAAAGCTCTGTTTATTCCACCGGGAGTTGGAGTAGCTGCCAGACCAACCGATGATCCCGTGTGGACAGACGGTGTGGCGGCAGTATATCCTGCCTCGGCAGACTCATCTCTGGAGGGTCTGGCCGCATGCCCACGCAAACCGCCTCCACTGTATACGGCGTCTTTGAAACGTCCAAACCCCGAACGTGCATCGCCAAATTTGCCAGCCACACTCTTGAAGACGCCTCTTTTATGCGCATCCTTTTCGCTTGGATTCTCCACTGCTATGCTGGTGGCAGAATCAGGTGCCGGGGAAGAGTACACACCTGAAGGGTCATCCCTTCTTTGGAAATCTAGTTCTTCATCCAAAGGCATAGACTGGGTTCTTTTGGACTGTCCTTGCTGTTCCTCTTTGCCAAACAAGATGTTGGACATGTCTGGCGTGGACTTTTCGTTGTGATCAATCACCGTTCGCCGCGGCTTGCCAAGCCACAGCCACTTTGCGCGCTCGCCTTGTGCGAGTGAAATGAATCTGTCAAGGTCCAAGGTTTCTATGTCGCCTATACCGCCCTTGTCGCGCCCACCCACCATCCCCAGGACTATCTCACCCCGTTTGCCACCTATTTCGGTGACAGTGGACTTGACAGCTTTCTGCACACCCCACCCCTCGCCCGCTGCTGCTTTGGCTGTGACCTGGCGAAGTTTGTACAGAGTCTGTCTGTCCAGCCTTCGAGTTCGCTCCAGTTTCTGGGATTTCTGAAAATAGCCTATTCCTCTCTTCGTGCTGTCTATATCAAAGACATCCTTGCCAATGGGAGCGCCATAATAACTCAGTCGATTACGCGATCCCATCAATAAGCCCAAGAGTGCTGCAACTGTACTGGGTCCAAGTATGCCGTCTGAGGGTTCCATGTTGTAGTGATCGGCGCCAAACTCTGTCCACCAATCTGCAACGGCTGTTTCCGTCACATCGCACAAAAGCCCGTCAATGTACTCCTGCTCGAGCTTTCCGAAGATGAAGAGGGCGACTTGACAGAGCTTGACCAATTCCACCACAGCCTCCGAGAATGGTATCTTCTCGTTGGTCTTGTAAAGTTGGTGGAATTTGGCCTTTGCTGCAGGCGTAGGTTCAGACAAGGTCATGCCGGATCGTCCAGAACATCCAAGGCGCTTGAGGTTCTCGTTTACAATGAAACTCTGCCGGTATTTCTTTATATCACCCTCGGGAACTGAAATGACGGTAAGAGCAGAGGGGAAGCTGCTTAAATTGGTGACCATTAGCCACCCCAAGGCTGTTTCTTTCGGACGGGCATGGTACTGTTGTATGGCTTCAAAATATACCTTGAGCCGTGGCGACCATGCAGCCTCATCTTCGGGCACACTCAATACGCCCACCACGATTGAATGTCTCTGGTCCCCTGTGTACGTTGCTATGACCAGCGTTGGCGACTGCCGTGAGCAAGCCCACTGTTCGACTAGATAGAGTTCGTAACCGCTGAGAATTCCTTTGCGCTCGACGACGCTGACGCAGGGGTCCTCTTCAAGATATCTATACGCGACGGGGTCTGCAAAGACGACATGGCGGCGATTTGGGGGAGGGGAAGGGGTTGTTGTTACTGTTGCTTCCGTGGGTTCGACAGGTCTCTCGGGAACCGGAGTCGTTGACCCGTCGACCTGGGCAGATCTGTTGCTGGACAGCCTATGTGAGGCACGCCGAAGTAAAGTAGTCTCCTCTTCTCTATGAACCCTCCCATCCGAGGTAGGCAGTGGGAGTCGGAAAGACATGGTTCAAGGGCGTTGTTGAGAGGGGCGTTCGGCTGCGGCGCTCGGCTTCGGGGTGGCCATCCAGTGGCAGCATGTTGGAAAGAAGAAGCGATCATAACATGGTAGGTTGAGCAAAGTTTCCCCTTGAGCGCGTGTATGGGCTGTGAGGGAAAGGGAGTAAACTAGCTGGTGATCTTCGAAGCTATCCTGTAGCATGTGATGGTTAGAACACCTAGCGACGGCCCCCTGCTGCAGCCAGAGACAGCAGCTGAAGACACGGACAATAGAGGTTGAGTACCGCCCTGAAGGCCCCTGTCAACGATCCGCCACGTAGGATGGATGTCGGCTAATCCGCACGCATTGGCGGGGGGCACGTTCGTTGGTGGGGTACTTGGTGCGTCATTGCAAGCAGTCCTCACACGCTGTGCCAGCACCCCCGTTGCAGCAAAGGTATCAGGTTTACCAGAGAATAGCTTTCATATCACCGGCAGAAGAGTGTTTGCTAACTAGTGACCACTCATGTTTGTGAGAGAAATAGTTATCATGATTATGACTTGCTGTCAAACAGGTAGATTCACGTCGAAAAATCGTTTGCCAAAAGGTGCACCGAGCGTTTGTTTTTCTCAATCAAAGTCTCCTACAAACGTACCTTGCACTCGATGGTCTAAGACAAAACGCAGGCGGAAGTGATTGATGATTGACGTTGCGGTTCATAGTTAATTGAATGCGTTGAATTGTGCTGCCGTACCGCCTGTACGACGATCGACCGCTCTAGCTAGCGCCACAATGACCTTCTTGGCAGCATTAAGCCTGCTGTGAGAGGCCTGTAGCGCATGCTGCTGCCCATGTTTGCCCGACAAAACCCCCCGACTCGCGCCAGCCACCAGTTGTAGCTTAACCCACCTGTACCTACAAGTTCCCAGCAGTAGCTGGGCCAATCCATATTCCATACGTACAGAATACACTATTGCTCGCCATCACAACCCCACGTCCCCGTCCCGGATTCGTCTTGTCGACATCCTGTCTGGACGTATGCACTGCACTGCTTGGGAAACCCCAAGTGCCAACTCTTGTGTAGAAGCCTGGTATGGCTTTTGAAGCCTAAAAGTACTGCGGCGGCCAAGTATTGGCACCAAGACGAAACCAAAGGGCCGAGAACCGATGAGATAACAACGTCAGCCAGAGCAGACCATTTCCTGTCGCAAAGCCTCTTCAGTAGCTGTCACCGCAGTTCTACTTTGCCCACCCAGCTGGAGAAGGGAGAATTGCAATCATGGCCATGTTAGCATTGGAGAAAGAGCTCGAGAAGCTCACCAAGACGGCGCGTCTTTCGAATGCGCTCGCCGATGTCGACAAGATTATAGATATGTTGACCACAGCTCGGGAAGAGGTCGAAAGTGGTCAGTTGCATTCAACAGCTCTACCTTGACTATAGTAACTGACTTGTTTGCTACCCATGCAGCAAACGACCCTCATGCCACCAGCATTACCCTTACCAAGTTGCAAAACCCCATACAAAAAGGGTTGGAAGCCGTCAACGAGGATATTCGGAGTGTATACAAGGGTCAGTCCAAATTCGCCAAGGCTCTTGACCGGGCCTTTACTGGCGAAAAGGTCATCAAAGGTGGTCTTCCAGAAGACCATGACCCTATGGCGGAGCATCCGACGCTCATCAACCGCGCAATCGCTATGCATTTGTTACGGGAAGGGCAGTTTGGAGCGGCCTCGACATTTATCAAGGAAGCGCAACCACAACAGCCGGATACATCCATTTCAAGACTACAATCTCAACTGTCGCCATCGGCCGTGGAGTTTCCCGAGTCGCCACGATCTGCCACGCCGACCGATACCCACGTAGCCGATGTAGACGACGAGCTGTCCACGTTGCAGTCAGAAGCACTCCAGTCATCCTTTGCCGACATGTATTCGATACTTTCGGCCCTGAAGCAACATAATCTAATACCAGCCATAGAATGGGCACGCTCAAATGCTTTAGAGTTGGAGGCTAGAGGCTCCAATCTCGAGTTCGAGCTCTGCAAGCTGCAGTTCATATGGCTCTTCAAGGGCCCGTCAGTGAACGGCCTACCCGACACGGAGCAGAATGGTAGGCAAGGTGCTTTGCAGTACGCGAGGGAGAACTTTGGAAGATTCCAATACCGACATCTCCGTGAGATACAGCGACTCAGCTGCGCCATGGTTTACGCATCGAACCTTCCATCATCTCCATATAGATCGATATTCGACATTACCATTGCATTCGACGAAGTAGCGGCATCCTTTACGCGCGAGTTCTGCTCGCTGCTCGGTCTCTCTGCCGAGTCTCCCCTTTACGTTGCCGCAACAGCTGGCGCGATTGCTCTTCCGCAGCTCATGAAGTTCTTGAACGCGGTGAAAGGCAAGGGCACCGAGTGGACGACGAGTCAGGAAATGGCTTTCGAGACGCCCTTGCCCAAGAGTATGATTTACCACTCTATATTCGTCTGCCCAGTGAGCAAGGAGCAGTCGACAGTCGACAACCCGCCTGTTCTGATAGAGTGCGGGCACGTGCTCGCCAAAGAAAGTCTACAGAAACTAAGCAAGGGCAGCCGATATAAGTGCCCGTACTGCCCACAGGAGGGAATGGTGAAGAATGTCAAGGAAATCATCCTGTAAATCACTATGCGCCGTCACATTACATACCTACATGCTTGCGATGGATTTACTGGCGTTTGGTGGATATTAGCGTTTGGCAAACTCGAGTGGGCTTTTTTGTCCCCCGGCTTTAGGATTGAGACTCCCCTTTTCTCCATGTACGAGGCATTACGCGTCTAGTAGACGCTGGCGTTATGGGTGGTATCTTCAACTTTCACTCACTGGACATCCGGTGCTCTGTGTATTTGATATAACTGTCTCACATTTGATTTCTTTGACAATGCAGTCAACATGTCCATATATCACGAACAGCTGAAGTTTTGCTGCAATTTGAACTTGACCAAAACAATCAGGGCGGATGAAAACATCGCTCTAATCGTATTTACAGAACCACGTTGCTGACCTCGAATGTTTGAATCTGATTCGTGGCAAAGTACGACCAGAACTTGGTGCCGTTCATATACGTGTCGCTAGCAGCAACGTACTTGTCGCCGCTGCTCCCAATCATGGTGCTCCAGCGCTTGACGAGGGCGCCGCTGGTCCCCGGCGTGCTAAAACTCGACAGCTCAAAGTTGAGGTACTGGGCCGACCCCCAATTGACGGCGACAATGATGAGCTTCTTGTTGGTGGCGTCGTAGGCGGCGACGGTATTGTCGCTCCCGCCGTCGAGGATGCGCATGCCGGCCCGAATGTGGCGGGTGAACTGGGCCAGGACGTAGTACTTCTGGGACACGGCGCCCAGGGTGGCTGCGTCATTGTCCCCGTCGATCAAGCCCCAGCCGCCGCCGTCAATCATTTGCCAGTAGACCCATGCCGTGGGATGAAGCCAGCGAAAGTCCAGGATCAAGTTGCTCGCCAGCGACGAGCCGGTTGCGTCGCTCTCGCCGTATTCGCTGTTCCAGAGCTTCTTGCCGGCGGACTGGGCCAGGGAGTATACTGTAAAAGATTGGCGGCAATATCAGTCATACGAGTTCATTGGTTAAGAGGGAGGATAGTATGGCAAGATCTCTTACGGGTATCACGTCGTCCAGACGCCTGCTGGTATCCGTGTACATTGATCCGGCCGACGTTGCCCGAGGCGCCGGCGCTGACGAGCGAGTTCCAGGTGGACACGGCCACGTCGTACGAGTTCTCGTCCGATGCTGATATGATGGTCGAAGACAGGCCGCGCGAGTTGAGCTCGGTCCGGAGGTATCCTAGGACTGACGCCTGGGTGCTGATACTGAAATGGCAGCCTTCTTGTGTTCCGGTCGACGACCTGTTGAAGAGTTTTCCACACGTTAGCCCTGATCAATCACCACTTGCTTGGTGACTCGGTAACATGGTTGGATTATCATGGCATGTACTTACCACCAACTGGCGCTTGGCTCATTGAAGGGATCGACCGAGTCAAAGGTGATGCCCCAGTTCTTTGCAGCATACTGCGCAACATTGGCGAGGTAGATGGCATGCTGATCATAGTTCCAACTCTGCAGGTTGTCGTTGGCACCATTGTCCGCGCCAGCCGGGTTATGGTTGATACACATCCACCACATGGGACTGTTGGAAAAGAGCTCGAAGACATCGGCACCTCGGGACGCGGCTTTTTGCATCATGGTCCGCTGGTTGGCGTCGACGGACCAGTCCCAGCTCGAGGTCGACGGGTCGGTGCTGTCCCAGTCAGTCCAGTAGCCGTCCATCTGCCGCGAGGGAATCATGTTGGACGAGACGACCATGGACTCGCCGTCGATGCTGTTGGAGCTGCACGCCCCGGCATTGTACCGCACAATGTTGAGGCCTAGTCCCGGCACGCTCGCGCCGTTGTACGTCACCGAGTTTGTCGTGAAGAAGATGTTGGCCAGGTCATCGCGCGTGCCAAAAGCACCTGCCCACCAGGCCAGAGAGGTGCCCCAACCCTCCCAGGTGCCCCAGTTGGTGCTGGAGCTGATGGTGGTTGTCGTGTCTGCTCTGGCCAGCATGGCCTGGCTAGCCAGCACGGCGAGTGCTCTTACACTGAAAGACATCATTCTCAGTCAAAGGTGTATGAGCCCGTGACAGTCTCATGCTATATTACCCTTAGACCTGGGGAGAACCCATCTTATAGTCATGGCTGTTTTTCAGTTGCCAAGGCGTGGGATATCCACGGTCGGATCATTGACGACATATGGTCGTTGAAACCATCGAAAATAGATAGATGGTTCCTGCATACACTGGATTTATCCTCCAATAATTCGAAATCCATGACTAGCTAATCCAGCAAGAAACCATTGTGGTTCGCCCGTACGAATATCCAATATTAGTTCTCGGGATTTTGGTCATGTGTAACCATTAGGTACTAGAATTTATCTGAGAGCAATACCTGAGCTATTGCCCAGAACGCCTTAAATCCCTCGAATCAGCAGACTCGTGGTGCATCTATGAGTAGGCGGCAATACGAAGCAACGGTGACATTGTCGCTTACCCACTCCTTGATTCTCAGCCGATTCAGCAGAGTCTGTCACGGGGCATGTGACAACAGCTTCCCTGGAATTGTGTATCCAAGGACTTACCCCCAGAGCCATGGGAGCAGTCCATTTCTCTAGTTTGGCAGAGATAAATGGTGCTCGGGGAAGACGGAACCGAATAGAGTTGATAGTTTGAGCTGTCAAGGGCGGGTGAATGTGGAGAAGCAACCCCAATGAGTATCGTTGGGGGTCGTATCCCATCTATTATCTCTATTTTATTGGCCGGATGTTCTCCATTTGGGGAATGCGGACCTACAGAATACGACCTACCCCAGATTTACTTCCCACGAAGCGACGCTATATGTCGGCAATGGTGGAAATACCGCAGAAAGTCTGCTTTTTTCACCTCAAGTTTAGTGCAGTACACCAGCCTGCCTAGAAGCCAGGACGGACAAATGCGGAACGAGCAGGATTGTAAGTGGACCTACAGCAATCCAACTTTGCCTTCAAGAAAGTCAATGGAGCCATTTGTATTCACTAATCACTGTTCTAGACCCTCAAAGTGAAAATGGAAGCAAAGCTATGAGGGCAGCTGTTGTTCATGAACACGAGAGACGTGGGGAACACACTGTGATTGTGACGAAAGTCTAGAAAATATACACAGTATGATATTAGAAATATAATTCATATATCAAGATCAATGATTGCATCAATCCATGTCTCATCACTCCTAGTTTCTTCTTGATCCTCTATAACGCAATTTCTTCCGAATATTCCGTATTATAGTTTGTTCTTGATATCCTATATCATATCGACAGCGTCGACGGAAATTCCAGCGCTCAGGTAGCCACTGCCGGTCGAGCCAGAAATAACCGTAATGGTCAAGACCTGCCACTCGCTGGTGCTTTGTATCCATGCCGAGGCCGGCACCTCCCAAGTGAGCATGACATTGTTGCCACGGTACGTGCCGACGGTCAAGCTGCGGGTACTGGCTTGATTCGTGGCGGCCGTGACGGAACTCGTCCAGCTGTTCACGCTAATCATGGGGCGGCCATTGATATAGGCCTCGGTGATGCCGATGCGGATGGTGTGCGCCGAAGCCAGCTGGTCCGATGTGAGCTTGAAGTAGACAATGTGGTTGTTGTTGATGTCGACCCAGATGTAGCCCGGAAAGATGGAGGCTGTAGAAGTGCCGATGATATAATTGCTGGGATCCCACGCCGACAGGCGTACGTCTGACGGGTGCATATATGTCGGCTTCATGGGCGTGTCGACAAAGTTGAGAAACCCTTTGGGCGTCCCGTCCCAGTCGCCGATCCGCCAGATGGCCGTGTCGTCGGTCGGGTCGTCGCAGGTGATGGTGTGTACCGCTGTGCCGGCTCCGGCTGTAATGGTAACGCTGCCCGTGTATACTTCAAGCTCCGACTTGTAGACGGTCAGCGTGTAAGTGCCCGGCAGAACGCCGTAGATGGACCATGCGCCGCCTGAGCTGGCGGCGGTGCCCCAGTACTGAGCGGCTGAGTTGGAAAGGCCAACTACGTAGGTGTAACCCGACTTCATGTTGGAGAGGCCAACGCCAGAAGCGTAACCACGTCCAGATGAAGGGACCCAACCGTCGATCTTTTATTATGTATCAGCATGGAAACAATTCCTAAAAAAGAAAAGAGAAGGAGAGAAAAAAAGAGAGTAACGGGCCACTTACTCCGAGAGTGTCGAACCAACTCCAATCAGCCTTGCGAGCAAAGAGACCATTGTTCGGCGCACCACCATCAGTAAACGCCAAAACACTCGGGCCCTGCAGACCAAAGCGCTCGACATCAGTGTGTCCCATGTTGTAGTGATAAATCTCATAGATGTCGGAACCGGTAGGACTGCCTCGGCGGAGCAGAGAACGGAAGAAGGGACCGCCGGATGCCTTTTCATGGTTGCTTCGGACCATCCAGCAGGCCACAGATCCGGTCGTATAGCCAACGTAGTCATCTGAAATAGTAGTCAACCAGACTGCACTTTAAATAATTTAATCAGGCAGGTAATTGAAAAGCACTTACAGTCAATAACTCGCCCGTATGTATTTCCAGTGTAGTGTTTGCTCTCTGTATAGCCACTAGAGTCCTCGGTGATATCGGACGCCTCGATAAACGTGCTGCTGTCGTAGTAGTCGGCGTCGAGGGTCGAGTGTGCGGCATCCCAGGTGCCCGCGGGAAAGCGGGCAATGTACCTCGACACGGTCACGCTCGAGTCTGCCTTGTTGGTGAAGATGTACACATTGTTGTTGCCGTAGCGGACAAACAGGTAATGCTTCAGTGTGCCGTATACAACCGTAACTTTAATAATGTAGGCTGGCGACGAGAATTGCTAGATTTAGCTCTTTGATTAGACGATCTTCTTTTGATCCGTTATCAGGGAAAAGAGCTAGATAGAACATATTAAAGCTTACCTGAATAGTGACGGTACTAGTTCCTAGGCCACTCTCCACTTCTGTATTCTTGCCATCGTAGCCATTATACTCAACTCCATTATACTTCATGGAAGTGATGTCACCGTTGGTCTTGCTGACCTTGATGACCAGCGCCGCGCCCGAGTCTATCACATAGTTGGACCCATCGTCTGTGTAGCCAAAGGCGGCCAGAACAGTGGCGGGCAGCCACAGAAGGACAACCAGGAGGCCGAGAAACAACATTGTACCGGTTGTTCAGGCGATGTATAAATACACCTGCAAACACCTGCATAGGTAATTCGCACGCAGTCGGAACTCGAGATCACGGGGATCGTCAGAGTCGCATGGAAGATGCCATTTTATATACGTTCCATGACGGGAAAGGGTTACAGCATTGCGATCTCGCCGCAATGGACAGATACATCTTGGCCTGTATATTCCGTCGCGGAAATCCAATCTCTTCTCGACTCAAGCTCAAATGTCCCTACTGCCACCTGACCGTCCACTATTGGTGCAACGGTGCATGGGCAGCACCGTAAACCTCAAAATAAACTGTCACGCTGCCCACTCGGCCCCTATCGCTAAGTCGGCACGAAGCGGATCAGCGTTGCCTTTGGAAAACTAGAAAAACGATGGAGGAATGGAAGGCAGCCGGGCAGTACGTCCAATACCGGCCGCGGAGCTATAGTCCGCAGTGGTACTCGGAGCGGGACCCGAACCTGCCAAGAAGACAGAAGGAGGGTCCAGTAATACGGAAAAGAACAAGGGAGGATCCTAACCCATTTCCGTGGACCTCATGGGTTAGGGGTTTCCCATTACCTTTTCCACTCCTGAATGGTGGAAACCAGGCATAATTCTATGGCTTTTCGCTTATGCACCCCGGAACTTACACTGGCGCTATTGGTCGGAATATTTTCACATCATCGGTATTGGCTCGTGCTGGAGTTCGATGGCGCAAGAGCAGCTGACATTTTATATTCATGCCAATGAAAGGAGATTCGTGGATCATGCTGGCCAAAGCCTGATCGTCAGGTACCAACATGCATGTCAATGCTGCTCTGCGCGGGTGGGTAAGCACATCATGCGTCACACATTCTGACTCCTGCATGTCACTGCTGAGGCTTTTGTCAGCACAACTCGAATATTCCCATCTTCAATCAGAAGCAAGCAGAGCGTTGCGTCTGTCACATTCCCGGGGACCCGGTCGAATGGATATCCCCCATATACATCAACAATCAAACAGTGCACTGTTCCTTTTGCCGAGATTTGTCGCTGCAATGTCATAACCACGTGGTATTCTTCATCTAAACCTTGTGAAACAAGATACAATACGCGCATAGAACCTATCCGTCGATAGGACATCTATACTCTTTGATCTCCCTTCCATAGTCATCCACTGTTCTATGCTTGTCTACCTTCTGGGACTGTAATAGATCCAGGCAGCTTTGGTGGTATATGTGCCTGCAAGCCAGCACAACTAGTGGGCCAAGAGCTTGCTCCCTGCTCCGGCCCTCGCCGCCAACTGGCTCATTTGATGACCCCCCAAGTTCATCGTCGGCCACTCGGTCAGCTGCGTCCTTTAGCGGATCCCTCGGCCCGAAGAACTCAAAGTATTCTCGTGGTGTGGTGATTGGCGTAGGTGCCTTGCCCTTATCTCCCCTCTCTTCAGGCGCACCAATAGCAGCCTTTGCAGCCTTCTTCTTCTCTCTCTTCCTCTCTTCAATGGCTTGTTTTTCTTCCCACGCCTCAAAAACGTTGCCTTGTACGCCTGGACCCCATATTCTCCGCCCACATCCTTCACAGGTGGAACCTTTGGGTCGCCATCCACGCTGTCTTAGCTGTACGGCAGATTGGACATTTACAAAGAGCTGCTGCTCCAGTAGGCGATTTGAGAGACGCAATATGGATTCTTCGTAGGCATAAGCTGAGAATATGGAAGAAAGCACCGCGCGAAGATCTGCCAAGTTGGGTGATGTAGCTGCCGCCTGAGTGAGGAAGGCCTTCAAGATCCTGAGGAAAGTAAGTGAACCGCCTGACGTAGAAAGCAGGCGAGAAGACGATGTCGGCGAGACGCTTTGCGCCGAGGTTGCGGTAAGTAGAGCAGTAAATGTGTGTTGGACCAAAGATCGCAACAGTGCCACCAGTTTTTCCGCATCAAAGTCATGTGCAGCAGCAATCTTGTTCTTCTGGAGAGGCGATGCCACAATAGACGTGAGCCTGCGGGTGATTTGCACAGTTGCGTCTATCAAGCTCAGCCAGAGCTTCTCCTCAGCATTGAGATCATTGATTGCAGGTGAGCTTTGCCGTCTCTGCAGAGAGGTGAGCTTCTTTGATGTCTTCATTTGCCCTTGACAGAGCCATATGCCAACATGGGTATACTTTTGCAGGCCGAGAAGGAGATCTTCCGCAGCTTCTTGAAGATTGGCCTCTTCGCCATGCCCATTAGAACCAGCGAGGAGGCCCTGCAACGCTGATTCAAGAGTGTTGAGATGCTTGATCAAACGGTCCATGGCGTCAGAAACCTGCCCTTCACGAGCCATGAGGATGACAGCCGCGTCAATGACGCCGGTCTCCTCCATAGTCGGCAATAATCTATCAAGTCTCAAGTTTGTAGCCTGGACAAGGCTTACGTAGTCCGAGACATGGATAGGATTATACTGACACATGAGCTGAACATATTGTTCAATGAAGTCTTGATCAATTGTCCCATTGACGTCAAAGGGTGCTTCGTCTTCGGGTTCCAGCAGTGTTTTTAAGTACTCGTATTGGAGTTCAGTGCTTTCAGACAAAGAGGTCAGGACATGTTGATGCAACTCGGGGGCATACGTGCCCAGAGTTTGAGCCGCCTTATCTGCGCTGAGCTCAACGAGATCCCTCGAGTGCTGCTTGATCACTTGATGGACCTCCTGGATCTGCCGTTTCGTAACCCCAATTTGAGCTCGAAGGCATTCTCCAATGCAATCAAAGACTTCTTCCTGGTCTTCGGGATCCTCAAAATATGTCTCGAGGAGTTTGCCGTATTGCTTATCGTTCCTGTAGATACGTTTGAGAATGCGAAAGAAACCAGCTTTCTTGAACAAAGGCATCAATGGCTCCATATCTGGAGGATGGTGTATTGAAAGGAGATACTCGGCACTCAATTGAGCATCATCAGCGAGGTCTGCACCGGGATAGTTGCATAATCCGGTGACAACCTTGTTTAAGATTGATCCCGGCAAAATCAGGTATTGCGGGAACTTTGGCAAGTTACGCGCGATAAACATATCCAGGTAGATTGTATCCTCGGACGCAAAGTCATCCGGATTCATAATCTCCAGAAGAATGGAGATTATGTATTGGCGATCAACCGTGAGACCAAATATTTGCTCTTCTGGTAAATCTTTGCCGGTACCTCCGTTCAAGTGTTTCTCCTGAGATTCATTGAGAAACGAGTCTTCGAAAGCCTCATTGAGTGCACTCAAGAAACTTGGGGCATCAAACTTCAAGATCATACGTAGGTACGGGAATGATGGTTCTTCGCTCTGGATTGGCATGGTACGAAAGACTTTGTTGCTGCCCTTGGGCCACTCAACGATTTTGCCAGAGAACAAGAACCAATATATCTCGGCTTTGGCCTGAGCAGCTGTCTGGTCATCCATGATCTCTCCTGTAGGGTATACCCTTCCGGTCAAAGTATATGACAGATATGGAAACATTTTCAGTGCGTTTACACCGAAAATTTCATCGTTCATAAGAGTGCCGGAGTCAGGATTGTTGTCTTGTGTGATGGGTATGAGAAGAGTGACCAGGTCGATCATTGGCGTAACGTAGTCCCTGAGCGCCTGGTTCCATACATAAATCAGAGCATCATACAGACCATGTTGCTTACAAAGCAGTGTTACCTCGTCAATGTCGAGTGTCGCCGTCTCCATGTGGCAGATCAGCTCCTCGAGTCGACTTTCCCAGCCTTTGCTCACATAGTGGGTGACCATGGCCTTGACAACTGTTGGCGGCACGATCTTGATTGTTGCATCCAGAATATATGGTTCCAATGTCTCAAGAAAGATGCCTTCGGCATCGCCATCTTCGTACCACTCCCACATTTCGTCAAAAAGAAAGTCCAAGTCGCCAATACTGTTACAAGCAACAAAGCAAGTCTCTGCTAAGTCTTGTAGATGCCCGTCATCAGCAGAGGCAAGGTTCTTTTGTCTCTGACCAAAGGCATACTTCAGGGACGCACTCATGATTTCGACCAATTTATCATGGACCATCTTGTGTCGCAGCTCTGTGTCCTCCGGCAGACCGACAGTAAGCTTGTCAGCATCTCCGGTGTAATATGAAGTTGCTAACTGAATCGCTCCAACATAATCACCATTTTCCATCAATGCAATGAGACGGTCAGCCCAGTTTGACAAGGCACCAATTGATACATCGTTGAAGCCCATCAGAAACATGCGCCCCTTGTAGGCCTTGAGACTCATGTAGAAAGCATCCGCGACAACGCCATGCATTGATGTATCTTCTTCGTCGAGCTGTTCGACCAGGCTGTGTAGCTGTTTCGAAAAGAGGTCGGTATGATAGATGTGCTTGTGAATAAGATCAAAAGCCTCCGTCATTCGCATACTTCGATCCTCCAGTACGATGAGCCGTTGAGAAATTGTCAGGACCGTCAGGACCGAGCGACTAAGCCATTGAACGGCGACGATCGCTTCTTCGCACTTCCATCTGCTCCTTGCCTTGAATTTGAGGGCCGGTGGCTTGTCCTTGTCGGTTGGAATCTCATCCACGTCAAGGACAGTCAAAACATTTGACCAACAGTATACAAGTTTGGCTTTGGACATGGTGTTACCGGTACTTGGATCTGGCACCTTGAGTTTGACGGCTGGGAACCATGCCAGACAACCGCTCATAGCGCTGTGAGGTGCAACATCTTTGGGCCGTGCTGATTTGTGTTGTGTCTGCGCTACTGGTGTAGTAGACACAATGACCAGGAGATACGGAGTCAACATCGCTGTTAGCCCCATGGAATCTGTGGCGCGATCTACGTTCCCGAGTGGGAGAGGTGCAAATGCCAGGACCGTACTGGGCTTTAGGGGTTTTCCGGGTGGTGGCGGAGCATGAGGGTAACGTCCGAGGATCCTCACTGTCTTGACTGTCCTTCCCAAGGCACCAGTACCCCTTGTCGCCAAATGAGAAAAAGCCATGCCCTTGTCATCAGCGGAAACTAGAGCAGTGTGTCGAGTACCCAAGAATCCTAGGTGGGTAATGGCAACATCAGGCACATGGCCATCTACCGTCCTGTTCTGGAGCTGGTTTGGGTCCAAGTGAGGTATCGATAGAAATGGCCGCGACGCCCTGCTAGTGTCCCAGGTGAAGATGTTGCCATTTGCGTGACCTCCAGCAAGTGTAGTATGGTCAGCAGAAATAGCGATTGCGGTGATTGGTCCCGACTCAACAGCTAGGAAGAAATCAGCATATAGGAGTCTGTAGGGAGGCACTCAGAAACACCCACCTTTTGTCCCAGGCCCAATAATCATTTTCAGGTTCTGGTTGTAATCAAACATTAAGATTATGCCCTTGGAAGTGCCCAGGACTATCGAAGCAGAAACGGCAATACATGTAGGCAACCCAAAGTTGCGCTTTCCAGCTTCTGAGAAGGCCTGCGAGTTCAACTTCTTGAGTCTTGTCCATCGAACTACTTCCCAGGGGGGAGAGGGGGTATCCGTTTCGCCATTATCGAGGAGCATCTGGCTGCTCAAGGACCCGGTTCGGCTATGGCCGGTCAAGAAAGCTGGAGACGATGGTCGTGGTGATAATGTAGATGGCGATGCTATGCGTGATTGGAATCGTCTATCGAACGGCCGGAAGGAGGGTGTTGGACTGCTAAGGCCCGGCCGTGAAGCAAGTGAAGGAAGGATGCTGCTACCAGGGGAGCTTATACCAGAGCCCTGCGAGACTTGTCAGTCGGCACGCCCTTGAGATCGCAATCAAGGACTCACTTGGACCGAAGGGCTGTCGTCGGGCACAGAGAGTAGCGAGTCAATTGGGCTGCCCACTCTTCTGGGCAACCCTTCGGCGGACCCTGAATCAGAAGTATCATCTTGGTCTCGCAGCAATTGACGATATCGAGTGGCTATAGGCCCGTGGCTCTCAGGCGGTGCAGTGGCAGCATCTTCTTGTCTCTCTTCCTCAAGTATCTCAGCAATATGGTCTTGATCCTGGTCGCCCTTGATTGTTTCCTCATCGCTAGAGGTGGCCGGATCCTCGGTGGGCAGGGGATCTGTGTAGTTGTCGGCCATTGTACTCGTTCATCGTCCTCCACTGGTTCGAATTTCTCATTGACTCAGCATTGTGCGACTCATGCTCGTCCGGGAAGAATAGTTTTGGGTTATCGCCCGTTCGCTGCGGGTGGCTTTATAAAGGATGTAGCCCCTGCCTATGTAGTTCGAAGAAGCTTGAGATTAGAGCCAAGTGAGAGGTACTGTTATCTGGGCCAAGTATCTCGGTCTGGGTTGTATGATCCCGAAATAGAGTAGCACCTGTAGACTTGTGAACAAACAATAATCGAGGGCTAGGGTGACTACAAGTAATGCGGCGAATAAGAGGCTCGTCGCAAGCCGTGAGCTCTTTTGGAGTTCTGCCTTGTCCTTCTTGCCTTGCAGCAGCAGCGAAGCTCAGCGCCCTGCAGCGCCCAATCAGCAACTGTGCCGCCCCCGCGAAGCTAGCACACAAGCACGGGCTTGTCGGGGTCGCTGATCATCCTGGCCAAGCACTACATCATTGGCCAGTGCTTTCTTTACTTTACAAGAGCGACCGAGTACCTGTCGCGTCGCATTGCGAATTCCAGTTCAGCAAATCAAGTTAACTTATCACCTCAGAAACTGAATTGAGCATCTTTCAACATCTTTACTTAAAGAAAACGGCTCTGAACAATTGTTACAACATCTGAGCAGTAACATTGTCAGAGCTTGCATCAATATCTGTCAAACATGTCCTCTATAGGACCTCAGCTGCCGGCGCATCTCACCAAGCGCAAGCGCACTCCAGAGGACGAGGGAAACCCAGACTCGCCTCCGCCCAAGCGAGCCCCCACAAACCAAGATGAGATCACATTAGGTGATGACTCCTCGGAAGATGAATATGGTCCTTCGATACCAAAGGCCTCGTCGGGTCCTTCTGCCGGGCCAACAATAGGCCCTTCCATAGGTCCCTCGATAGGTCCCTCGATTGGCCCAACTTTTCCTACTACCAACAACAATGAAATACCCCTCGACGACGATGATGAGGACTCCGACGGCGGCCCAGCACCGCCGCCAGCGCAAAAGCCTACATCAAAACCGATCGGCCCCTCAGCCGAACCACCGACAAGACGTATACTAGGCCCGGCACCACCTCCGGGGCCACTATTTGAACGGCCGTCGGGATCACCCAATGACGATGACGACAACAACGACTCGGACGATTCGGATGATGACTACGGCCCGGCCTTGCCAACCTCCAACGCCCACTTGGCCCGGCAGTCCCAAGCACTTGAAGCCGCTGCCCTCGAAGCCGCCAACCCCAAGGCTCCGCAGCGCGACGACTGGATGCTGGCGCCGCCCACGGCCGGATCCGCGCGAGCCGCGGATCCCACCAAGATCAAGGCGCGCAAGTTCAACTCGGGCCCGCGGTCTGGAGGGGGTGGTGGTGGAGGTGGTGGTGCAGCGGGCGAAATCAACAGTATATGGACCGAGACACCGGAGCAGAAGCGGCAACGACTTGAGAATGCAGTTCTAGGCCGCGGCGGCGCGGCCTCGAGCAGTAGCAATGGCGTACAGAGCGGCGGCGGCGGCGCAGACCGACTGTCCAAGGAGGAGCAAGCCAAGGCGGATCAGATTCGGGCAAACCTGGAAGCGGCGCGGGGGCCGAGCCTGTACGCCGAGCACCAGAAGCGCGAGGGAGGCAAGGGAGGGCGCATCGAGGCAGAGGAGGACGATCCAAGCAAGCGCGGATTTGACTGGGAAAAGGACATGCGGAGCGGCAGTAAAATTGGCACTGCCCAGCGCAAGGAGCTCATGAATAAAGCGGCCGACTTTGGCGGACGGTTTAGTAAGGGGAAGTTCCTGTAGCTCCCCCACGAGGATCTGGAATGTACCTACCTCGTGGATTTGGCGAGCTCGCCTAGTGTATCTGGGGCAACTAATTATTAGGCTTCGTAGATTTCTACTCGGTTTATTCGAATCATCTAAAGGCGACAAATATTTTTACCGACAGAGCTAGAATTACTCATGCATGGAAATTAAGAGGAATTCGGAACAAGTCACGCTCTTCAAACATGCAGAACAAACTGGTAGGGCGTATCATCTGAGCCTTGCAAAGGTAATTTGAGAATAATTTAATAGTAGTAGAATTCCTCTCATGCTAGAAATGTTGCTTGCTTCGCCAAACTCCAATTCGCCATTACCCTTCCCTAGCAGGAGGCAACAGAAAAAGACAAATCCTCTCCTGAGTAAGTAACCTCGAGATGCAATATACCACGTTGCAGAATCCCTACAGCAGGGAGATATAATTTCCCCCAACAAATCAGAAATGCACCATAACAGAGACAAACTCCCCGCTATGTCCAAAGTTCTATGAATATCCGTAACATTCCCGCTTCACTCAGAGTTGTCACAAGGTACAGTATAAACGGAATGTGCACTTGTGAATGAGTGCCGCTTCCAAATGGAGATAGCCGCGGTGTCAAAATATTTCGTCAAGGTCGTGAATTGGTACAGACGAATGTGTGTGTATATTAAAAAACAGAATCTCAGCTGGCCGAACGCGTACCTGCCTCGAGCTGGGACGGCGTAGTCGCTGCTGCCGCTGCGTTGTTGGCACTCGCAGCAGTTGGCTCAGCAGCGCTGGCATTCTGTCTAATTGTGGGAAGTCGATTCCTAACTCGGCTGAGCCAGCCACCCTGCGATGCTTGTCCCTCAGCCGAGGCGGTCGCCGGGGCAGTAGACGGCGTGGTCCGGTTGGAACGACCATTGCTGCGTTGAGTCGTACGACTGTTGCCCTGGCTATTTGCTGGACGTCTCCTATCGCGTCCGCTCCCTCTCGGCTGGGCATACCTATCTGTGGGGCTAGTTCCGTAACGCCCCAAGATGGAACGCGGGCCATCCCTAAGAGTCCAGCCGGCAAGGGATCTTTGTGGCTGGCGAGGCATGTTCATACGATTGTTGTTCCTGCCTGGGTCGGCAGAATTTGATGCTGCAGGGTGATTGGGGTCACCGTCAGCAGGAGGCGGTCTGGGCTTTGGTGTATAGTAGTCAGCCTTGCAAAGTGGACAACAAGCCCTTCTGTTCGTCAACCAGGGATCGAGACAGACAGCATGGAAAGCATGACCACAAGTCAGACCACGAACATCGTCATCGTCCTCGAGACCGTCGATACAGATGGCGCATGTGTCTCCAGAGGTCGCGAGAAGCTCAGGTGGAACAGCAGCATTGATGTGGTCATCGTCCTCTTCGTCGTCGCTAGCGTGTGCCCGATCTGGATCCTTGGTCATGATACTTCCGCGTGTTTGAGTCTGAGTGAGAGCATTGTCATGATCATGAGTCGCATCCGCAGAATCCGAAGTTCTGGGGACATCTGCAGCTGTTTTAATGTCGTCGGCAGAGCCCATCTCCTTGGCAGGCACATCGGGAACAATTCCTTCCACGCTTCTGACGCTGCCGGCTCGACTTGGTGGTGCTGAAACACCTCCTGCCGTGGGCAGGCCATCCTTTGCACGACCAGCAACCCATGTCTTGTACTTCATCATGGGGAACTTTTCGTTGACCTCATCCATGGTCATGAGTTTCTTCTCACGACGACGACGGTGAGGCCTGGTGGGCATATTCTCCAGGTTGATAGGCTCTCCATTCTCGTCAAGCCCACGCAATTGACGGTTGCGAGCATTGTATCGGAAGCAGTACTTAACACCAACAATGATCCTGGTAGTTTTTATCAGCCTAAAATTCATCGACTAGTTGCGGCGGAGAATCTTGTCCTCCTGCTGCGCAGTGATTTATTCTTCTTACCAAAGATTTGTGAAGACTACACCAAATCCGAGAGCGACGAAAAATAGCAGGGGAGAACTCGTTCCCGAGCCACCACTGTTTCCATTGTTCGGGTTTGAGGTGGAGGTTGGATCAGTAGAGTCACTTGAGGTAGATGTAGGCGATGCCGCCGAACTGGTGATGGATGATGCATCTGCCGTGGATGCTGCCGATGTGGCGCTGCTGATGGCCGAAGAGATGGCGGACGTGACGGCTGCAGTGGTTGTGTCTGTGGCCTGCCGCGCGACAGCCCTTGCGACGGCATGGGCGCCGTCGAGAAAGGCCTGATCGATGATGGCCATCTCGAATGCTGATGGTCGAGCGAAAGCTGGAAGATGGAATGGACTCTCAAACCCGTAAAGTGGGCAGGTTGGTGGTACGAATGGTACCAACGAACCAATCCGTTTTGGCGGAGTATTGCTCGCAATCACCGGCCCGCTTCTTTAATATGACCTTTCCATTTAACTACGGGGGAGGTGGACCTTGGCAGAAATGTCGCTTATGTGTGGATATGTGCGCGCGCGTGGATGCAATCGCTTTTTCGTACAGTCAAGTAGAAAAGCAGATCTGAAAGAGGGCGCGGCGACGAGGCGACAGAGGCAAGATTTGGTTGTGGTGACGAGAACCGCAAGAAACCAGACCGGGGCGGGCGGGCGCTGCGGGCAGGTCGGGTGGGCTAAGTCAAGAGCGTGAGAAAGTAGCAGCAGCAGCGGGCAGCAGATAAGTAATGTATTTGGGAAGGGGTGGGCTGAGGTTATTAAGGTCAGACTCAAAACGGAACAGGCTGGAAGGTGGAGTTTTGCAGAGAGAGGCACCCACTTTTTTCTTGCTGCTCGCCAGGCGCAGTTTCGTCAGCACAATTGCCGCGTCAAAGGGTGTGTTATTGAAGGGGAAGGGAAGTGAATGGGAGAGACTCGGAAAAGACAAGATGGAAAGACTAAAAAAGAGGGCGGCTTGTGTGTGAAGAGGGAGGGGGGGAGAGGCGATGGATGGGATGGGATTGGGGAAAGGAATGTACATGTACAGGGGTCTGAATCGAGGAAATCGGCCAAGGTTACGCGCTTCATGATCTGGGATGCGAGTGTGGGCTGGGTTGGTGTCTGTGCATACGCCCAAAGGGAATGGAATGCAAGTTACAACTCGATGCGCACTGCAGCTTAAGAAGCACTTGTGGAATGTGGACTTTTGAGGGCCTGACCAGTCACCAAACCGACCAACATTTGGAAGAAAACCCGTCGCTCGCTCGCGGGGTGGTCGGGCTTGGACTTGGGTACGGCCTTTTAGCGCACTCCTTCTAGCGTAGTCGGAAACTCTGAAGTTCTGGGAACCGACCGTGCATCCCAGGGCCTCTTTCTCCATAAACTACTATTATTGTGGCACGCTGGACAGGGGAGCACTGATGGATGAGCGACTCGATTTGTTCGTTGGCTGGATATGCGCCCCTGCTTTCCCTCTGCATGGGTTATCTGCAGGCTGTTTAATGCCTTTGTTCGTGCCTTTCTAATAAGAAAGTACGCTTGTATCTATTGCGGCTGTGGATGCGGAAACTAGATGCTGTTTTCAGCCTTTTTGGTTCCGTTTCGTCAACATCTTCATCAGCCAGAAAAAACCACATGGCATGGACTCGGTCATTCATCTAGTAGACTTGTGAAAATCCGAGTTATCCCCAAAAGAAGAAGCCGGAATTCACAATCGAAACGGGCGGAAAGCAGGCGCCTCTAACTTTAGCCTCCCCGTCGATTCACTCTTAGCTCGACGGCCTCGTGGTCCTGGTACCGAAATTTGAGCGTCGAGAAACGCTTGGTAACTCACCAGCGCCGCCACCATTGCCCAAACTACTCATCCAGGGACAGAACGACCGACACCAAAGTGCGCGCTATTAATCCACCTGCGCTCCTCTACACAATCACACAGAGACCCAAAGCAGTAGCAACTGCACGGCTAACCCGAAATCTAGGCCCTACTGACTCGAAAATCCAAAAGGGCACGGGGGTTTTTTTTTTCCCCTTCTCTTCCAGTGTGACAAGATTGTCACCTTATCAACGTACTGCCATGGGACATGGTAAAATGAGCTTGTCTCTCATATTTCTTGATTTCAATATCGGCACAGATGCAACTTCAAGCCATCCGTCGGTTCCTGCAACGCCTGCACGACAATGATAAAAGTTACGCTTCGGAATCCTTGCGGCAGGATTTCTTTTTTATTTTAGTGCACCTTGTCCTATCTTTCGTAAAGACTGCAGGGCTGTGGATTTTGGTGGGAACTTCTTGCGTCAGAACACCCAGGATCGTCAGCAGGGCCAGGAATAAGGCGGCCTGTCAATGCACAGAATCGTGGAGCTGCTCGAGGGTTCACGTTGATTTGCAAGATTCTTCTTTTTCTTGTATTTCTTCTTTCATTTTGACTTCTATGTGTCTAGGGAGAATTACAGTACCCAAGGTTCAAATACTTTGCCCTACCGCGCAACGGCTAGGGGGAATTCAGTAGGTCTCAATCTTGATGGGCATTCTGAAATGGATACACAGGATCTCGCTGTTTTAGCATTACTACCGGGCACTCGGCTGCGTTGCCAGTAGATTGGCGCATTCGCGCATCCATGGGCATATCTGTCATGCGCCTGAGCTGAAAGACTTGGTACAACGAGATAGGCATGCCTTGCGTTGCCCGGCTTACACATGATCAGCGGCCGTCGCTGTCGTTCTGAGGCACCGCAGGGGTCGAGACCCCGAAAGGCTGAGCAGCCAAAAGGGAACCATTTCGGGCTCAGCTGTTAATTTTTCCATTCCAATTGTTTTTTTCTGGCGGCTCATGTAAACGAGATTGCTTGCTTGTCCCGAAACCCAAAAATCCTACGGTCCAAGGGCACGTTCCGAATGACCATAAATATCCCAAGACCGTATACACACGCAAGGGCTTATTTGACCATTCCGGCAGTCATGTTTGCAATACTGTGTTTGAAAACTCATGTGTCCATGTGGCGCAAGGCCAAATGCAGGGCGGCACGAAAGAAATGGCAGCTCCACGTCAATATATGAAACCCGTCGAGGCCCCACTAGCGACCATGTGTAAAAAGTACGTCTGTAAGTTTCAGAAATTTCGAAAATATAGTTTAATCCCGTGAAATGAGTAATGCTTTTCGCGAGTGCAATTGCTCTCACATGGCGAACATGACAATCATGGAAGTAATTGACTAATATCACCACGACTTTCTTGGTCTTGTTGAAGATCACGGCTCCTGCGGCAGAGGCTGAGGACCTGTAAGCACAGAAAGATGCTTGCGCACCATTGAGGAGTATTTGGAATGCTCTTGATCTAGATATGGAAGTACATCTTGTCCGGATCTACACAATAACCATACCAGGAAGCCCTTGTCAGCAGTATAATACACTACATTGTGGCTTTGTTCTTACGTGATTCATGGAGACAAGCCTCAAGGGGCAACCAGGTCTGATAACGCAGTATTTGCGCATGTGCGCCCGCAGCAAAAAGACGAGAATACCTGCCGCAAATGGGAACTGTGCAACAATCAACCCCAGACTTCAATCAAGCATAAGGCTAGTAGCGCCGTTACAACCTATAGTAGGCAGTTTATCGCCAAAATGCCAGGACATGCTCTGACAGACTTGGCATTTCATGAACCGCCCGCCCCCCATTGACAAATCAGTAGTAAATCTCATACCGTCCCAAACAAATCGTTATTGGGTTGGACCGTTGTTTCCACTATCATTACATTTTGACATGCGGACTTGGCAATTTTGACAGCACGCTTTTTGACTTTGCTTCCATATATATCAGACCAGGCTTGCAGTGTCTTTGATAGTGTCTACGTACCATAAGTAATGGCATGCTTCTTCTAAGTAAGCGGGCGTCGGAGTGCTTTCCGTGATTGCCGGACGGTCAGCTTTGTATCTGTATATGTGCAAGTCGGCGCGTCGGCTACGAGGGAATACCGGCTTAGCATAGAATGTTGTGTGCAGCAAGGGCAAATAAATCCATACTATTCCCACGATGAGCACCCCTTAACCCCCCACCACTTGACTAGAGATGATGCATTCAAGTACTATAGTAGTATACGACAAGGGCTTGGCATTAACAGACATAGCCCCCCATACCCCAGACTGATACACGGTTGGTGGGTAGGTAGGCTGCAGAAAACTCCACGGGGTTCACGAGACCTTTGAACACGACACTACTACCAAATTTGTTATCCTCAAAAGTCGGAGTCCACAAATTTGTGTTCAATGAGGTCATGCGCGTCGAGCCAATAGCAAGAGTAGGTAGGTAGTAGCCCACGATCTTCTAGCCAGAGCGATAAGCCGATGATCTTTGTGTGTCAACAGCAGACAGTCGCAGGAGTTGGTGACTCGGAAGACAGATAAGCGACAAGCTTTCCACCGTCGTGTCTAATGTCTGCCCAAGGACAGACCAGTCGAGCCCGGTCGGTTTAGAATGTTGTACCTTGGCTTGTCTGGGCATGTCCATCGTCTTTGGGGTCCTTTTCAACTGTTTGTGGAGTTTTCATGTGCTCATGATTACCTGAGCAGACTTGCTTGCTTGGGAGAAGGATCGCCTAACGCTTTTTAGAGGGCCAAGTCAAATCCCCGGATGCCTCTCCATCCGAACAATTTGGTAAGGAATTTGGGAGTCACCAAGGTGATTGAGCACTCTTCAATGTGATCTGATATCATCACCGTCCCCAAAGTGGCACATGGTGGTTGAATTTGGAATGAACCTACTGTCATGTGCGTCCAAAAAGTACCGATATGCAAAACAACTGCAACGTCTTTGCTCGCCCTCCAATGTGAAAATGTGACAACCCCCATCGACGTTGCATACTGCTCCAGAGGGACAGCAGTTTGCAGAAGAATGCCCCGCGTTTAAGTGGTTTTGCCTCTGCCTGCCCGCATCCTGCCCCGCGCTCAGCGCTAACGCAGCCGCTACTGCAATGTCCAATCAAGTGGGTCGCCTCCCGGCTTTGGAGCAAGCTTGAGAAAAAAGATGATTCCAGTTCCCGAGCGGGTTCCCCAACCTCGTTCCAACGCCTCACACAACAGACAGACACACCCGAATTCTAGTGGCCGGATCCCTCGTAGTGACAGATATCGGAGCGCCGAAACGTTGGGAGTTTGTTTTTGGCAGGACGAATAATCAGTGTCAACCTCTGCCCAGCCGTTCTATTCCACACTAACACCACAGCATAACCATGGCCCCCACTCAGCTCCCTGCTTCGGGAAATCCCTTGTGAGTTTACTACCGCAATTCTTTGCCCGAGTTTTCTCCCTTTGGCGGTTTCGTGCTGTCGTCTTGTCGATCCGATCGCCGAACACTTACCGTTGTGCATGTGCAGAACAGCAGCAAGTACTATCATGTATGAGGGAAACTAACGCACGTACTCCAATACAGGGTCTTTTTCGATATCACCCTTGGAGGTAAGTAGAAGCGCCTAGTCATTCCCACACATTGAACCTCGTTGGTTCATACTACCGGTTTATACTACTCCTTGGAGTGTCACGTGACACCCTATACCATACCACATCATTCGAGGTGGACGCATTGGTTCTGACCTCCAATTCCTCACAGGTGAACCTCTGGGTAGAGTCACATTCGAGCTCTTCCAGGATGTAGTCCCCAAGACAGCCGAGAACTTCCGTCAATTCTGCACCGGCGAGTCCAAGAACTCAATGGGCCGGCCTCAAGGGTACAAGGGATCAAAGTTCCACAGAATAGTAAGAAACACGCATGACTGGTTCAGCGACGAATATTTGTTAACAAGTCTAAACCAGATACCCAACTTCATGTGCCAGGGTGGCGATTTTCTGAATGGAGATGGCACCGGCAGCACTTGTATCTATGGTACCAAGGCCTTTGCCGACGAAAACTTCAACCTAAAGCACGAGCAGCCCGGCTTACTATCAATGGCGGTGAGTTATAAAACCCCCTATGCAACGCATGACCGAGATATCTAACACGAAACCCCAAGAATGCTGGTCCCGGCACGAATGGTTCGCAATTCTTCATCACCACGGTGCCTACCCCTTTTCTCGACGGCAAACACGTCGTCTTTGGCAAGGTGGTTGACGGCATGGATATCGTAAAGAAGATGGAAGCTACCAAGACGGGATACAGAGGCAAGGACGTTCCCAACATGGACGTGGTCATCGCTCAGTGTGGTGAGATGTGATGCGATTCAATAACGAAAACATGGAATGAGGCACATGACTTGGTGGCACATGGCCCAATGTCAGGAGAGATAATCTCTAGGGTATGACATTCGAGTATGTAGCGTATCGCATACTATAATTGTCCAGTAAAGGAAACCTCCTTCGTTCCTTGTGATGCATGTGATGAAATTATGGTTTCTGCACGAATCATTCGCTTTTTGTGAACAATTACTTGCCATGATGAATGTGGAGTGTATCAAGACTAGGTGCCCCCTCGTTTAACATCCGGAAAGTCCATGAATTCCATCGTCTTCCGTGTTGGAACAGGAACCCACCAGCGCCTGACCACCAGACCCTGTCTCGGTCATATTATCAAAGAAGATATTATAACACGGGTTCCGTTTACTGCAGCTCAGTGTCGCTGTATTGCCGGATCCCGAGAGCACACCGTGGAAATCCCGCAGATAAACGTCCGAGATGAGCATGTTGCTCGTGCCCTTGGTGTCGGAGCCATTGTTGCCATTGTTCTGGTCAATGTAAAAGGGCCGGGTCGCGCCCGTCACGTCAAAGTTGGCCAAGGTGATGTTGGTCACGTTGCCCCAGCCGCCACCTCGTGGCTGGTTGTCGCTCTCGTAGTTGTCCTGTACCACCAGCTCGCCTACCCAAGTCTTGATGTAGACGCCGATTTTGGTGTTTGGTACCTGAAGAGATGGTCAGTCCAGGAATAACATGACTGGTCATATATACAGAAGCTACTTGCCTTGGTGTTTTGAATAACAACGTTCTCTACGCTCGAGTCTTCAAGGTATTGCCCCAGACTTCCAATTGCAATGCCGTTGCCACGAGTGCAAGTAACTCCGTCAATCAAAATGTCGTAGGAACGCGGCTTGACGGCGATGCAATCGTCACCTCCGGTATATGTGAGATTTCTGAGTGTCAGATTTCTCACATCCATGGTATCTTGCTTCAAGTCAATAAAACTATTATGTAGTCTCCCAGACTGGAACTCACCAAAGCCGTCAGTGTTCTGAACCCAATTATACCCTGAAGGCGCTTTTTTTGCAGTCGCGTTAACATACAAGTTTGTGACAGAAATGTTTGTTCCATTCATGATGTTGAACGACCACAGTTGGGGCTGCCAGATGGAAAAGTCTTCGACGACTACATTTGACACATTCCACAGTACGAAAGGCTGCAAAAGGTCAGAAATATCCAGCGATGCCCTTGTTCTGTGCACATACCATAGGACGTCCTGGCTGAGTCGAACCGGCCTCTTCCGTGTACCATACATCGCCATTGCCGTCGACGCCACCAGTGCCATTGCCATAGATTGTGATGTGGTCGCCTGTCAGTACAAAGCCAGCCCAGTGGTTCTGGAAATGGATGGGATATGAATTGTTCCTCCAGTATGTGATGTTATCGGAAAACTAAAATATGTTAGTATCGATGGACTCATTGCATCAGTCATGGGTCCACCTGCCTTGAACTTTCCGCTCCAATTAATAAGAACATCATTGACTACAGGGTTCAATTTCTCGGCGATCCAATATTCTTGATCTTCTGGAAAAGTAATGGTTCCCGAGGTACCGCATTCATCAAAGGCTTCCAAGATATTTGGCACGTCGTTGATCTCGTCGCCATTCGCGGTCACTTCGCAATGCGGTCGTCCATTGACGGTGGTAACATTTACACCTCCGGCGTTGCTAGGTACCAGCAGCGACGTGAATGTGACTAGTAGAACTTTTGTTATCTTCATTTTTGTTGTATCGAGCGCGGTAGATGTTTGTCTGTCATGATGTCAAACGTGATGGAATGGTGATTGTGCAAGTCTATAAATGATTTAGCCTATACCGAGACTGACTGGCTGATTGGCGGATTCTCTTAAACGAGTTCGCGACAGAATAAGGCGATTATAAACACCAGTTTATGCGGGGTGCATTTAGAGACTAGTAAATCATAGCCAGTGCTCGGTCCAGTGGCGCAGATCACATTGTACTCCGTCACATAGCATCACGATTGCTAAGAGACTATTTTCGCCACGTCAGTGTGTTCAGCGGACAATATCTTGTCACATTTATCGATGGCCGTCGTGAGAACTAGGTACGAGAACGATGCGGCCGCCGCTTCCTCTGGCGCGTGGCTCATCAACAGCTTTTGCGGGACTAGGTAACATAAACCAATCATCTTTTTCGAAGAGTTTTCATCCCTGATATGCCTTTGTTTTGCCAAATCATCTATTCAGGGCGCCGGCAACTTATTGCTATAGGAACATCAACATGATTCGCGCATCATGCCTTGAGCAAGCATCACGTCGCAAATCGAAAGTCCAATCTGTTATTGTTGATTAGTGGACGAGGACAAACAAGGTAAATACCTGTACATACCGTTTATTCCCCCGATCAGATGTTGTGAGCCTGTAGTTCTCTTGTTCTTCTGCGGTCATCGCATCCCACTGCCTGGTTTTGGAATTATTTCTCCAACGGTAGTAAAAGTATGTACCCGGGTATTGTACAAGCTTATTCGTTGTTTACAATCAATATTTTCTTTCTGGATTCCAACAGAGAACGAGGATTCTACTACTTACACACATCCAAATGCAAATTACGAGTAAACCCTTGTTTGCTTTATAATATCGCGGCTTGTCGCTGGCTTGATAGACTGGTGGTAGAGATGAGTAATAGTCTTGGGACCGGGAAAGGTAAGGCGACTCACTGTTTGCCCCTATCATCCCGCTGACTTGAACCCACATATTGTAAAGACTGGAGAATGGTTAGACATGGAATAAGTTTAACGTGGAAAAGGTAGCATACGAAGCCGAAACCGTTCTGTTTTGGACTGAACCTGCATTACGGCTCGTCCAAGCGACCTGAATTGGATGAGTGCTGGGTACATCAGCATTTATAGATCAAACCCTCCCAGAAAAATGGCTCTTGAACTCACTAGGGAAATGAGAGGAGAACAGTAGCGATAGCAAAGTATTCCCAGCCACTCGGATCCGGAACAGTCAGGAGTGCAATAAAGCAAGGGAGTAACCAGGCGTCTTCCAACATTGATACGAAGCTCCTGTTATTCACCAATTCGCTGAGGGCAGTGACGAGTAGCATGGTGATGCTTGAGCCGACAATCCAGGGAATCGAGAGCAGGTTCGTCTGTACAACATTGAACCCAAGGCTTCGAAAAGAGAGCGTCAGGTATTGATTGACCGGATACTTTGGAATACCAAACAACAAGCCGAGTGCATAGAGCGGCCACATGTCGTAGTTCTTTGCACATTCCCAGATTTGCGACACTGATAGACCTTGCCGATTGAACATTCCGCCTTTCTGAGGATCATCGCGAATGACTGCAAATGTTAGCATGGCATGACCTGAGCCAATTCTAGAATGACTCAACCTACCCGAGTTGACAATAATTTTCTGCTCTTTCTCGGTAAAGTATCCTTTGGGATTCCACCAACTCTTAGTTTTGGCCGGACACTGAGGCATGAGAAAGAATGATGCAAGACCGATTGCGACTACATCACATCGTTGAGCAGTTGTTTCAATTGGGGCATGGCAGTTGGTGCTTACAAGTAAAGGCACCTTCGATCAAAAACAGCCATCGCCATCCTTCGTAGCCCAAAACACCGCGCATTGATACCAAGCCAACAGCAGCAAACCCTACACCAATGTCGACTGCAGAAAATCATTAGTCAACCAGTCGAAACTTGACTGCCTGTGCATGAGCTTACCCAGCTGAGATGACATCCAAAACCATGCTAGTCGAATTGGCAACTGCCGAGGTCAGCAAAACTGTTAAGGAACAACGATTTGATTAATATTCTCACCGCCGTGCCTGTGTACCAATAGCTCAGGTAGAGTATTGTGTCGCTGTAACAGGATTAGAAGTTGTTGGCGGAGCACGATTCGCCGGCCACTTACGGAATGAAGCCACCCTGAAATGTTGCACTAATCTGTAAGCACCATGATATCGTCCAAGGACCAATAAACATACATCAGATAACGTGTCGCCAAGAAAGAAGCCCGGCCTTTGAGAAAGAACTGCAAGCCAGAAACCGTGCTGAAGAGACATATTTGGATCGGAATCCAAAGGTCGGGGCCGATCCTAAAAGACTACATGTAAGCCTGTTGCCGTATGACGTTGTACGGATGAATTACCTTTTAGAAATAAGCTGAGAAGGGAGCTCTGCGACCAAGAAACCGACTCGAGAGATAGTTTGGCCAAGATTCTGAAACGTTTAGCAACAGACACAACGATGGTTTATGTAGCTAAAGATTATCGCAAACTAACATAATCAGCCTGACTAAGGCCCAAGTCATCGAGCATGTTGTCCGAGACGGCATTGGATATGTTGCCCCGATCAATGTTGAGAGCAGCAAACATGACACAGACCCAAACCTGGATTCTCAGCAGTGAACAGCGACGAAATAGCGAGAATTCTCAATACTCACCATGATCTTCCAATCGACCTGGCGTCGTATTGCGCGTTCTTCTCTCCACGTCCAGCGAAAAGCAGGATCGAATGCCGACCAGTTCTCCCACTGCGGATGTAGATATTGGGCCTTGTACTCTTCCACATTTTCTGCATCCCAGATGCTGGGCTGAGTCGCAATCTGATCTGATTGTCAACGATAATCTTCCAATTTACTGATTGAATGTCGGGAGATCGTACCGCATCGAGGTCGTATACTTGTTGCTTGGGACCGTTTCGGATTCTCAGAAATCGGAGGACTGCATCGCCAAGTGCTGTTTCCATTCGAGTAGTTTCTTGTGTCGCCAGTCCCGGCTTGGCAGAGGCAGACGCGCCTACCAGAGGTTTATTATCGCCTGTACCCTCTCGAGATCTCGAGTCGCCTTGATGCGAATTCTTGGGTAACCCGACGCCAGAGGAAGATTGATTCAGCGGTGCAGAAGTCATGTCTGAGTCGAATAAGCGGGAGCAGTAAAGTTGCCGTGTCAATTCGTTGAGATACCGAGCAGCTCAATATGGCTTTGCAATGAACTCTTCAATGCTAGATGAAGGAACAAGCGAGTTGAAAATCTCCAGACATATATTTATTATAAAACTTTGGCGAAAGCCTAGTTCTATAGCCCAAGTTAGTAGTAGCACACTCTATTATCAAATTTCTGAAAGCCTTATTGATCAGTGCTTCAGGTCGTTCTTGCGTTCAAAAAAGCCAGTCAATTTGACAACCATAAAACTGGAGTGCCCCCCTTTCATGGCTGACTGTAATTCGACAATTCCATGGTTTGCAGAGATGGCGACATAGTCTTGGCTTAGAATTACGGTCCCCAGCGGACATTTTCCGAGGAGATATGCCTGTGTTACTGACGAATGACAAACGCCAAGCAGGTCACGCCATTGAGATTCATCTCGCGCCATCAAGTCTCTATGCTTATACATCAACCCCATTTCTATGGATAAGCTGAATTGAAGATGCTATTTACCGAACTTTTCGATCAAAATTATGTACATTTGGAAATATTTCAAACGGAGCGCAGCTCTTTTTGTAAAAGGTTGCTGCATGGCAACAATGACCCAAGTCATGGCTTGATGATTTGCTTTCCTAAAGCATGCATATCATCCCTGGGGTTGCCTTGAAAACCTGTCACAACAAAACAGATCGATCTATCGACCACAAACCGGAAGTGCTATTGCATCCTCATGTAATCAGAGTACCGGAACACTACAGAGTGTTTCCAGCCGACGACACCACGGAGCTCTGGATCGACGAGACGTCCTCAGCCTCGGGAATGTTCTGACCCGAGAACTGCGAGAGGAAGGAAGTGTCGTCGCCAGTGAGCTCATCGGAGCTCGAGTAGCTGTTGGCCACACAGTCGCGGCCCAAGTAGGACGAGCAGGTCGACAGGTTGTCCGAGGTGGCGGCAAACATGACGCCGCTGTAGGAGTCGATGACGGTGTTGATGTCTTCAAAGTAGTTGCCCTCGAACAGACCCTGGCCGCCAGTGGAGCCGCCCTCGATCAGGTGGCCGCTGTTGGAAGAAAAGACATTGTTGACGGCGTGGAAGAGAGTGGTACCCGACAGAGCTGGGCTGCGGCCAGAGGTGTAGTAGAGGTAGTTCTCTGAATTAGGCGTTAGATAATATCCCCTACTTGTTCACGAATGAAGACATACTGTAAAAGGTGATCTGATCGTCCGAGCCGACAAGCTCAAGACCCCAGTAGGTGTGTCCATCGCAAGATGCCGAGTAGTCGGTCTGACCGTTGATGAAGCTGTTGGAAATGGTGATACCTTGGCTGCTGTCTGAACCAAAGCTGTAGTGTTGGCGACCGAGGCTTGAGGTCTATACGGAGAGCACCAAAAATTAGTCACACGTACATCTTTCACTAAAGAAGTGGATCATGAGATGAACCCATGACTATTGCCAGGCTGAGAAAACATGATACTCATGCAGGATACTCACAGTGACGTGGTCGATCCAGATATTGCTGGTACCCGAGAATGAAAGAGCATCTCCACCCCAAACGTATTGCGGGTTCAGTTCTGTAATCTCAATGTTCTGAACGATAATGTTGGAGACGTCGACAAAGCGCAGTCCCTTGCCGTAGAGCGTCGCACCGTCCGTACCAACGAGGGTCTTGTCCGAGGCAACATTGATGCCTTGGTAGGCTGCCGTGTCCAAGGTGACGCTATATGTCGACGTGGAGCAACCGTTTAGAGTGTTGAGCAGTGCTTGTCCACCATTGTCCGGCGAACACGAGTAAGCGTCGCAGGCGTCGTAGTCGGATGTGCCCTCTGAGCCCGAAAAGTCATACTTGCCGGATATGACGATAACCTGTGCCTCATCAGAAGTGAGGTACTCCTTCAGCTCATCGATAGTGGTCGGGTAGACTGGGCTGGCATCACCGCCACCCGTGACGGAGGATGCAAAACCGACTGGTGTGCCGGTGACAACTGATGAGATGGCACGTTTATTGTAAATGGCCGCCGCAGCTGCGTAGTGGCTCAGAGCCAGAAGAATAGCCGAGTGAGAAGATTTCATTTTGAAGAAGTGAAAGGGAAAGAAATAGTGGCTTGAAACGAATGTATTAAGTTTTTCAGAAAGAAGTGACCAGAACTTCTGTGATCTGACAAGAAAATCTGGTTCGAGGACTGCTCAGCACTATATACTTGAAAGTCTTTCCCAGAGTGCCCACGATCCACACTGGAATTATCTCTGGGGAGTAGATATCCGATCGGCATAGTCTGCGATCGTTCCATTGTTTCCTGCCGTAGCATCGGACAAACAACATGCAAAGGCAAATTTGACGTGTGTCAATTACATCAATACCGCGGAGTCGCAAGCCGATTCTGTACCTGAAACTTGGGGACCAAGACGACGCGATCCTGTTACCAGGTATAATCGTCCAATGTAGTATTGCGGGGCGTGCAGTACCGAGAAAACTGGAGTAGATGCAGGGTCATTGCGGAGAACAGCCAGGGTGTATAAATGAAGAGGCTCTGCACTCTGCACGCCAGACTAACACACCTTGAAGCGAGTCAACGAGCTGGCAACTGTTTTTGGATATGGTTCACGTCATCCTATACAGAAAGGGGACCCAACTGCCCTAAAATGTGCGGGCCAGATTGAGACCGACGATTCGTCGCCCGTTTCTAGTACAACGGTCTTGGCAACCCTCTACTCCATGAAAGTTTTCACTGTACAACCTGAATTACCACATTTCAGTGGGCGTTTCCCGTTCTCCAAATCATCGTGACCTCGTTTTCAAACCCGTTTCCTCATTGGTGCAACAAAGTAGCCGGATCTGCATAAATGTATACTGATATGGAGAACAACCCATAAGATCCACACTTACTTGTCCCGATTTGCTTGCCAAATGGTAGTAGCACAATCAAAAGGCAGAACGATAGTCCATGAATCAATCACCTGGCTCGGTGACCAAATGTCATGGCCGTCAAGTATCCAAATTGTGCCAGGATCGACAATCCAGAGAAGGTGCATTGTATCCGATATTATCGACAGTGAACAAACTAATTCCCCAAGGGATTAGCATTGCTGTGTGTTGATAGAATGAAGGGAGTGCAAGACAGAATGTTCCAGTATTATCCGAATTGAGCGAGCCTCTTCTGGTATGGAATTTTCAAGAGCCCACATGTCATCCTCGGTATGCCATCTACTCCGTGTATCCTAACCATTACTCGGTTGCAAGCCCACCAAGCCTACTACCGACAAACAGAGCCCCCAGAACATATTACGTGTATGGACCAAGAAACTCTTTCGGCCAGGGATTTGATTTTAAGTAGTAGCATAATGGGTTTAATATCACTAATATGCGGCTCTGCATCTGCTGACATCAGTGCGCACAATGTAGGTATGCATGGCATTATTCTACTGGCTTGCGGCGTTACATCTAGGCTCATGACAACATCAAAGTCGCTGTAGACTCATTAGCTTCTGCCAATGTGAGCTGCACGATGACAGCGAATCTGTCTATAACTAGTCCGGCCCGTTCCGCATTTATCTGGCGAGTTTTCAAAATTCCAGGCCATGGAGTACTATTATAACGAGCATCCCATCAGTGACGGATGCCGTGCCCTTGTTGCTACGTCAGTTGGCAGAATCCCGCAAGAGGTCCGGCAACGACCCAAGTCGGGATCTGTATACCATTGTAGTACGGCCATTCCCCGCGCCCAGATACCGAGAGTTCCCAGCTTTCGGCTCACCCTGTCCATGAACCCTGGATCATTATAACTCTGACCACATGGTGCGGTCCCACTCTGTGATTGGAGCGAAAAGAATATAATTATTTTAACGATACTCTAGGTTTGAGAAAGATCGACCAAGGCGTGATCCACAGCATGAATGTTTCTGTTGTTGTTATTGCAAACATTCCCCTAATGTACATGCTTTCTACCGTCTGACTTGAACTCATTTGTAAGTGCATTGAGACCTGCAACAAGAAGAATTGCACCGATCTACAGAATGCATATCAAAATATTGTTGTCATACAAGAAGATAAATGCCAAATGCACGTTTCAGACAACAAAGGGCTTCTACTCGTATTCCAATAGCGCCAAAAGAATTCAGTAAAGTGATATGTCTGAAACAAGACTACGTGCGCTAAACGCCGGACTATAAATATAGTTGGGCATGATGTTACCAGGATCCCGGGTCAAGCAATCAATCTCTTTCCCCCCTTTTTTTCGGCCGACGTCTAACCCATGTCCATTCCCCGGAAGTATCCGTGATATTCACACAATTGGGCGATTCAATCTCGACCACCACGAAGAAACCAATCGCTAGACGATGAGCTGGGGCTTTGAGGTTCTGGGAAACCTCACGACCTCGATAGTCAACTTGGCGGGAAATGTCAGCCTTCACGGCATAGAGGGGTTCTTCAGTGTGCCAGAGCTAACTTCATGGCGCGTAACTCCCGACAATCCGGTTCGCTATACCGGCAGCCTCGACGTGGAAAGATGCGCGGCATTACACAATGAGATTCTATGGCATGGCTGGAACAAGTCGGGCGGACGTCCCGAGGACTTTCCGGGCGTCAACTGGTACGAGCAGTACCGCGACGACGGGGCGGGCGATTCGCGCAAGCGGTTCTCGGCACCGCTCGCCGCTTTTCTTGACAAGGCGCTCAGCACTAGCAATGTCGCGCATAGCTTCTTTTATCATTTGTCTGGTCTCAATGCGCCATCGTACATGTGGGATAACCATGAGTGGTATCAGGATGACCCGGACAAGTACCGCTATTTGACGCTGTACTTGGCGCATTCCATGGCCTCACATCCTGATGGATTAGTGTAAGCTGCGACTCACTCGAGCTCGTTGAATGAACAGTGTTCTCGCTCTAACACGGTGCTTGCAGCTACGATCAGCGAGAGCATAAAGCCATCATGCAAATGTCTATTCATGACCGTGACGTTGCCATGAACGGGCGCCAGGAATGGCTCCCGCTCGAAGTGATTTTGACCGGCTGGCTCGACATGCTCGACGTCGGCAAGGTCCAGGCCGTCCCGGACGACGTCGAATGGCAGCCCTGGATAATGGTGCCGTACAGCCAGAAGCAACTGGATGCGACCGTGGCGGCCTTTGACCGCTTGGTGGACGCCATCGAATCACGCATGCCCAACTACCAAGGACCTTCGGTAGCGGAATCCCAACATGTGCTCTCTGCCAGTGAGGAAGTCTTGTTCCAACCTGTGCTATCCGTGGACGACGTCGAGGCTGCCGGCATCAAACCCGGTTTTGCGCATTCCTTTCTGACCAAAGCCAAACGTCCTGGCTTCCGCTATATCGCCCCGGGTCTGGCGATCCCCACACCCGAGACCCTCAAGCTGCAACCTTTTGCAGACATCAAGAGACCGCGTGATTCCTGGCTCCCTGAAGATGAGGAAATGCCCGACGAGCCCTATCCGCTCTTGATCTTTTCGTCCTCGGAAAACTATGAGACCTGGCGCGACCCTCCACGGCATCCCAAATTTCCAGACAGCGATCGGCCGTTTAGCTATCCGTACCACCAGCTTCCCTCCTTTAGCGCGGGCCTATACTTTTCGCCGACTCACGGGGGACCATTTGACTTCGAGGACGGGGTGAAGCTGGTCCTGCCGGAACCGATTGGTGCCTTTGGGTACGCGAGAAAAGCTGATGGGTCGCGGTTCGGCGAGAACATAGCGGATGCTACGGCTCTCGGGGGCTATGGCCGGCGAGGAGGCACCTTTAGCGACTTGTTCCAGTTGGGATACAATCCATATGCAGAGATGCACGACGTACAACTCGAACAGGTTCTGGACGCCTGGTGTGGGCTTGTGGAATCCGGCGAGTGGATGATCGGAGAAGACGGCGTTGAGGATACCATTCAGAAATTCAAAGATGCGGACACGAGAAGCAAGTGGAACAAATACGTTGTACCCATCAAATGGTAGCATTTTTCGACTTTTTACTTCACTTGATATAAAACGAATGAACATGTCCAGAATATTTGCCTTCTTCATGGAACCTCGGTGTTTCAAGCCATCTCCATTGCTTGTGATCGCCACCAATTCTTCTCCACTTGAATACCCTTTCCCTAGACCTTGACGGTAGAGCCGATGGGACCAAAGCGAACGTTGGACCAGACGACCTTGGCGTCGGGAATCTTGGATTCGACATCCGAGGGGACGCCCGAGTCTTGGGCACAGTCACCACGGGCGGCGCCGGGACTGCCCTCCTTCTCTGGCGGGTAGGTCGAGTCGAGCCAGAGCATGTTGGCATAGTGCTACACATGACTTAGCTTCTATAATATGGTAAAAGGAGCGGGAAGGAAACTTACGTCGTCCCAGATGGACATGACGAGGACCATGGGCACCTGCAGAGCCTTGTTGAGCTGCGGGAACCCACCGACCTCGGAGAAGCGGTCTCTGTCGCCAAAGGCCTTGAATTGGTTGGTACAAAAGCCCGGCGTAATGGAGCTGCTGTCCGAGATGCCGTCGTAGGTGGGCTTGGGGATCTCAATCTTCTTGCCGTTCTGGACCATGAACTGGGTAATCTTGTCTGTCTGGAACTGGGTGACGACACTGAAAGAGTCGTCATTAGTATGTTGAACTTGCGGGGGGCACGTAGCGTTTTGAGAAATGGAAAACTTACGTGAATTTGCTGCTTGTATCGACAGTCTTGCCCTTGCCGTAGAAATCCTGGTTGCCCATGCGGTAGGGGTTATAGTCGCAACCATTGGCATCACACTTGCCAGCGAAGCGATCCTCCGAGTATGTACCGCCACAGTTGCTGGTCTCGCAGACGTGGTAGTTGTTGTCAGTACAGGCGTGAGGGGTGAGCGCAAATGAGTGCGAGTTGGACTCCCTGATCAATCATAAGTTCAAGCTTATTTAATCAATGGGTGTCGGTTAACATACCAAACATCAATCTCGGCACAGCAGGCACCCAAAGGTCCGACACCGGCATTCTTGTCATTTGTGGATGGCTTCCAGCCTTCGACATTGGCCTGTTCTCTGTTATTAGGAAACCGTCATATAGGAAGGAGACCTTGACTATACCTTGCCGCCAACGAACTTCAGGTCTCTGGCGCATTGGGCGTCGCAGTATCCGGTTCCATACTTGGCTCCGGCCTTGTTGGTGGAGTAACTCTTCATGCCTCCATCTTCTTCCATGGCAACAAAGTACAGGGCAGCGTTGAGACCGCAGTCGACTGTGGAGAGATCGACGTCAAAGGCGAACTCGTTGTTCATAAGTGTGAACATCTGTACATTTCAATCAGTGTCTGAACACTGGCCCTTTGCAGGGATGCTGCCCATCGTCTGCTGGGATAGTATGCTCAAACCATGGATGCAGAATTGTGCCATGTGAGAAAGGATTCTTCTACTTACCTGGTACTTTGATTCGCCATTCATGAGGTAGAAACGTGAACCAATGTTGGTACCGTACTCATGCTTGGTGACAAACTTGAGTGTCAACGCATTGCCAGAAGTCGAAGCACCATAGGTCTTTGAGTAATCAGCGCCCTCGAGAGCACACTTGGACGCGCAGTCCGTGGCCGTGCTGCATGCCGATGTCCACTCGTTGCCGTCATAGCAGTTCGTGGTGTCGCTGGTCCCGTGGAGCCAGCGCCAGTTGGCATCAATGACGACCTCGGCGTTGGTGCTCGTGCAGCTGCCGCCGCTGGTACACTTGCTCCAGCTGAACTTGGGATGGGTTTCGGTCTGCTCTTTGCCGACCTGTTGGGCATGTGCGAGGCCAAGAAGGCCTGCTGCGAGAAATAGGGACAACATGTTGGGAATCTTTCAACGAATCCTAGTCTGGTGAAGGTGGTTGCAAGGCGGTGAACTGCGACACCAGGGCATAGGCATGAATATATAGGATCCCTCGATTCCAACCAGGCACACGAGGTCGGCAGACAGTTCCTAGATTCCATATTGCCACCGGAGCAAGACTCTCCTCTATTTCACGACTGGTGACACGAGACTGGACTCTCAACCATCCAAACGGTCTAGCCAAGATGCGATCCTCGACAAGATATATTCAACTGATATTGGAATAATCTCATGAGTTCTACTGAACCAATCGGCTGATTAACCTCTGATGTCTTCTTGGAACTACCATTTGCGGCGATGTTACATGATTCTCCGGTCTTGGAGGTGACGAACATGCCGATGTTCCATGGCTTATATGCCGGCCAAGTACAGTTGGGGAAGCAATATTGTGGCACTGCTCAGGAGCAATGAGACGCCAGAACAACGCGACTGGTACTTCTCTACTGTAATCTCATTCCCTTCCAACAATGTTTCATGAATAAGTCAAGAGTTGAAAGAAAGGTGGCGGTCTTGGCACAAATCTCATTGTAACTGTGCATGATGGTGATGATGTGGTTCCATCCTCCAGATACAACCATCGTGTTCATAATGTGCCGTCTATCAATAGAAGCATCGTTGGTACCAAGTTATAAGCCAAGCTGACTTATGATGGAACTGGAACCCCTCCGGAAACCAATAAAGTATAGTACGGCGCCATGCATCCATCTCGAGGCATCCCCCCGACATCCGCAAAGCTGGAATCAGAGTCTTGGTATGACTTGGCGGTCCATTTAGCCATTAGCCGCGGGCCGGTAATTATTGCTACAATTGTGGTTGGTATGGACGATACCGAGCATGATGTCCGCCTTGCGGGGCTCGACACGCCGGTATTGGGTGCTCGGTTTGACAGCCTTGATGCTTTTCGCTTGCGCTCAGCGGACGTCTCGGCGTTTAGCGAGGCATGCTCGTGTCGGCGTGAAGTGGATATCCTCGGGAGGTATAAAGATCTAGGAGATCACATTTTGTAAGCATTCCATGTACATTTTTTTTTCTAAGGAAGAAATTTTATCTTCAAAGACATGTACTGCACTATAATTATTTTCTTTTTCTCAAGCGGTCGTCGGCGTTTGTTGCGACGCCGGGAGGGAATCGACTTTCTTTTCCATTTTAACAAAGTCCTGCGAATCTGCCTTACTCAGCTCGCTCGCACAAGATAAAGATGGCATATGTGGATTGTTATTGGTTTAAAACCAGACTCGCTTAGGGCGCAGTCATGTGCTACGGTGTTACCCCAGCGTAGACCTCAAGGCTGAAGGCGGGGTTTGGACCGGCTGTGAAATGAAAACATTTGTCGCGAAATCTCGCCTCCTGCTTTCCAAGTCCCCTCATGCCCAAGACTACAGTACTCGAGCTCTCGGTAATGGCGAGCAACATCAGTGAAGGCGAGGAGCGCATCATCGCTCTGCTCGAGAAAATCGCGGAGAACAACGGCAACGATGATTCCGACAGGTTGGCGCAGACAGCCAATGGCTTATCCACTGCCGCCATGACCGTCTCTATTGTCGCGCTCGTGATTGCTCTGCTCCAAGCACTGCTCGAGTATGCAAGCTCCAATGAGAACCACCGGGAAAAGTGCAACGTCGGTGCGATTGGGCGTGCTGCCATGTTGCCAAGAGGGTCCAAATGGTCTTGGCGTCATTGGCGGCGCAAATATACGTATCCAGTTCTCAACCTGAGCGCCTTACGCGTTCTGGAGTCTCTTCCTGGTGGGGACGCTGATATTGAAAGACTTGAAAAAATCTTCAGGGATGCCGCCGCCTCGCCCTATTCTCAGTCAATTACCAAGGATGATTCCAGACAACCACGACGGGCATTCGTTTGGCGAGAATGGAAAGTGGAAAAAAAGCATTTCAAATCATTCCTAGTTTGGTGAGTTGAGAAATTAATTTCAGCTTATAGTGTTTGGCACTATTAACAAAGTTTGTTTGCAAGCTACTGGCCTTGGGTGCTGTATCACTTGGATACAAATGGCCGGGGTTCTCTGCATGTGTACCGTCGGGAGCTTCCTCCACTCCAGCGGCTGCGGTGGTATTGGTTTTCGCTATTTCAAACGCGAAACGAAAAACTGCATCCCCGAGCAACGTGGGCACAGCTTCTTGAAGCGTTCAATATAACCGAGCTAGAAAATCTGGCTGCTGATCGCAGAATGGACGCGGAAAATATCGCATCGTCTGTTGATGTGCCGACACAGAAAGTATCTCTTCAAGACCTCGGTATTTTGGCCTTTCATCTTGGAATGAGGACTGTTGATATCAGTGTAACCGATAGGACCATCCTGGCATTTGGTCCGAGAGGCTCAATTTCCACTGAAGACCTACCCGGCTTTGGCAAGGTTGTTCGATTTCAAAGTCATGGTGATTTTAACCTAGGTTTTCGCTCGCCAACTCTTCGTCGTGATCAGTCTGCTCAACTTTTTGGCCAACTTTGCTTTGCATCCAGTGCTGGTGATGTCGAGGACAATCTCTGGGGACGACTCTCCATTTTCCCTCGCGAGTGGGAACACAAACCTGTTTCGTCTGGCAGGACTCCTCGATTGTTCACAGATTACAGTGATGATCTTGTATTGCCGACCACATTCGACAATTCGGAAGCTGAAGCGTGGGAAAAGCTGAAGAGCCTTCAAACTTGGCGAGCAGAGCATGAACATTACGGCATTGTGTGGCCCACGATATTTCTGGCGGCTACTGCTGCATGTCTTCCCGGTCAGACTCTGGGCTTTCCTGCTCGGCTCATGTTACGGCCATTTCATGAATTTCTACGTCAATGGGCGGAACAAGTCAGAGATCGCTGTGGCCTACCCATGGAACCAGCACAGCGCAGAAATCTCAAGGTTTCCGAGTGGCTCAACCTCGAGCAGCTCCAGTTGCAAGACCTGTGCATAGTGGATTTTGGTGGCTCAGCAGCGGTGAATAGTGTATGCGAGTTGTCCTCGTGGGCCTTCTGGCAAATTGGAATAGAAACGTTGCAAGAGGTGGAGTTCCAGCTGTGCCAGGAACGTTATACCATGGACAGTATTGATACGTTAAATGGGTTCGACAACTATTTTCAACAACAATATGCAACTTCAGGAGATGCACAGGAAACGTACAGGATCCTTCCCGAAATTACATCCTTGTTCGCTGAGTACGACCCAGATTCCTGGTCTGCTGGACTTGGAGATCTGCGTGCAGGTCTCGGGCCAAAGCGACCACAAAATGTACTCTGGACACAAGTCATATTACTCGATCTTACCATTCGAAAGTTGCTCAATTCATGTCCGCCAGGACCTGACTCATCCCCGAAAGATCCGACAAATCCGCAAAAAGACGATTTGCCCCATCTTTGGAGGATTAATGCCACCAGAGCTGTCGTTGGATCCTGGTCTGATCCAAATTCTGAATGGCCACTGCAAAATCTAGAATCTTTTCTTGTAAAGGCCTTCAATATCGATGAGAACGACACTGAGAATCGATATCGCATGACGAAGCTCTCCGGTCTGATCCAACTGCGGACTCTGTGTTTCTTGGCTTACTTGATGGTTATACCTGACTCATCCAGCTTATATCTTGCAAGGAATCAAGAAATGGTTGTGCTCCCCATGATTTGACAGTCTCCGAGAATAGTTCAAAAGAAGGTCATGACAAATCCGATTTCTGATTACTTGAATTTCTACATTAATATTCGTGACACAAATATGATCAGGACCCTGAGTCGGCTCGGATGCGATCGAGCTCAGTGACTACCTTCTCCGTGCTCCATCCGCCTTGCAGACCCTCCCACAAGATATCTATCTCGCTGGTGGGCGCCATGCCGTCCGGACCGGGTGGCCGCTGATCCAAGTTTGACGGGAATGGGTATCCTTCTCCCAATGCATTGATACACGCCTCCGTGCCTTGGCCACTGCCCTCTTTCTGAGCAAACTTTTTCAACTCTTCCCAGCAACTCTGCACCATTTTCGGACCATTTACGGTCTCCATGGCTCGACCAAAGGCGCTGCTGATCTGGAGCAAGTTGACGCTGCGCTCAACGGTCTTGGTTGTATTCTCTCCCGCGGCGTGGAGTAGTGCTGGATTGAAGAAGACGGCATCTCCCACCTCCATCGGCAGGCTCACCCAATTCTCATTAAAGTACTCTGTGACTTCGGGGAGTCGCCAAGCCATGTATCCCTCTGGAAGCAATTGCGAAAACGGTAGCAGTCTGGTAGGTCCACTGTCCAATGGCACGTCGGAGTGAGCGATGCCTCCTTGGAGGGTTAGATACTGGCTAGCCACTTGTATGGATCGCGGAAAGCGAGCACAAGAATGCGCCGTCTGGAATCCTAGGTGATAATCGCGATGTGCTGATTGAGGCTTTCCGCCCGGCCTGACAACGTTGAGTTGGGCGGTCACCTGGTACGCTGGCCCGAGCCAGGCCTCGCTCACCCGCGCCAGCCACGGATTGGCATAGTAGCGGACGAAACTCGAGGGATCGGCCTCGGCGTGCTTTTGAAAGGAGTTCCAAACGCGCGAATTGGATCCGGCAGCGGCAAAGTGGTCGCCCTTTGACGACTTTTCCTCGCTCTTGATGATTTTGTCAAAGGTGGCATTGGCCTCTTGAATGAGTCCATGGTCGGGAAGAAAGTTTTTGAGCACTACAACGCCCGGGCCCGTGCCAAGAGCATTATACCACTCGTTTTGGAGCCCGGCGACGGCCTCTGTGTCTGTTGTTGAGGTTGTAGATAGATCGTATACTGGTATGTTGGACTTGATGAATTTGGCGCGGGTATAGTCCTTTTGGTCCACTTTCTGCTGGCATAGCTGCTTCAGGGCGTTCAACGACTCGGGCATCTGGACTGAGATCGTCCTCGCCGTCGTCCGGGCCAAACTCGGTAGCTCATGGGCGATAGAATGCAATGCAGTCATCGTGAATTTCGACTCTGTGAGCTGGAAAGATGAGACTTTATTGTCATGAATTGACCTAATTGATGCCGACTACATGTTGACAGCTCTCGCGATTCTTAAAGTCTTCAACCGCAGTCCTCGGAAATGCTGTGATTCAAATCTGATGAATGACACTATCGTGTCTCTTTTCTCGGACATCAATTCCGTTCTCCAATTCGAGCTGCTGTAGAAAAGATGGCCGGATCGCGAGCACATGACTGAGAAAAAGGTTCACCACCTCCATCTCCTCATCATTCTTGTAACGCTGTGCGACGCAAGTATCGCCGATGATCACCGCCGGCGACTTTTACCCCTTCTGGGGACTTGTACGGGGGAAACTCGCGGGAACTCCACACGCTAAAAGTGGTGGGTTCTCTCAGGCGCTATACCAACCCAATTTGAGGTGCATAGGGCTACCTGTAAATCCCAGTCAGGCAACTATCTCCATTTTCCTCAATTCAGTGGTTCAACGCTCATGTTTACATAGCTTGGGAGTCTGTATGATTGGAATATATCCTGCCTTGTATGGGTAAATCTGGCACAGCGCTCAAAGTCAAAATGCTCACGAGTCTCGGTACGTGGAAAGTCTTGCAACGAGCATCGTCACAAATTCTACCGAGACGTGCAGCTCAATCAGAAATCCCCCACGTTGGGGCGTCTAGTCATGTCACGGCGGACTGGGGAACCGGGATATTCTGGGGTCGTATGACGCTAACAAACAACGGCAAAATATCCCGATCTTGATCCAAGTACGTCGGTATTCTGCAGGGGAATACAAAAGGCAGTGGGTTTGACTTTACCTGTTGTATGTCGTGCGTTTCTAATACACATTGGTTTCTCTTGACATCAATAAATCTCTTCATGATACCAGATAATTCCTATTAGTTTCATTCGTCTTGTCCTCTTCAATACCACCATTTACACAGAGAAATCCACCATGTCGCGACCAATTGTGCTACAGCTCGGAGACGATATCCGCTGGAACCATGACCAATATGCCGCTTTTACCTCCAAGTTTGAGATCAAGAGGTCATACAGCATGCCGCGGGCAGAGTTCAAGCAAGCATTAAAAGACAAGAAATTCGGTGATTTCTTTGCCATCTACAGGCCATTTTGGAATACGGGTGGTGAAATGGGCAACTGGGACGACGAGCTCATCTCTTTATTACCACCGTCTTGCAAAATCTACGCATCTGCGGGCGCAGGTTTCGACTGGGTTGACACGGCCGCCCTGGCAAAGAGGGGTGAGCATTCATGATGAGCCCGGCGATTGCTGCATATTCACATACTGACATTCTCTCAAAAGGCATCATTTATTGCAACGCCGCAGCAGCTTGCACAGAATCAGTAGCAGATGCAGCCATTTGGCTCATCATCTCCACCTTTAGATTGTTCTCATGGTCTGCATTGGCCGCCCGCTCAGGCAGCCCGGAGCAGTTTGCAGATGCCAACAAGAACCTGGCGGCCGTGACGCGCAACCCCAACGGGTTCAGCCTCGGCATCATTGGCTACGGCCGCATCGGCCGGCGCATCGCCGAAAAGGCCCACGCCGCCATGAACATGAAGATTCTGTACAATGACGTGGTCGAGATTCCGTCGTCGGTACCGGCCACCTTTTACAAGGACATGGACACCTTGCTCGCCGAGGCCGACTGCGTGCTCGTCGCCACCCCCTTTGACGGAGATACCCTCATCAACGCCGACAAGCTGGCCAAGATGAAGAAGGGATCCCGCATCGTAAATATTGCCCGCGGCAAGCTCATTGACGAGCCGGCCCTCGTGGCAGCCCTCCAGAGCGGTCACCTCTACTCGGCTGGACTCGACGTGCACTTTGACGAGCCCAACGTCAACAAGGAGCTCATCAAGATGAAGAACGTCGAAGTGCTCTCGCACAATGCCGGAGCGTCGCTAGACTCTCACATTGGCTTTGAGAGTCTTGGCATGGAGAATATTACTTCCTTTCATGACAATGGCAAGGCCGTCTCGCCTGTCAACGCTCATTTGATCAAGCAGAGCCGTCTATAATCGGGATAAAGAGTCTTTCACCTTTTGCATGGGCAGGTGGATTAGCATTGTACAGCATGAAAAGGATATTTCAAAAGGATTATTTGTTCATTAGTTGGTCTATTGAATATGAGTTGAGTTTACGCATAGATTTGTCCATGCCGGCTAGGCAGGAACTTGTGAATCCTCGAGTATTCGTCTGCAGCACCGTCATCAGAAAGTCAGGCTCCAGAATTTCCTTTGACAAGCTGCCAATCATTCCCACGAGATGCCCAGTGACTCCTTGGTGTCATCCAGGATACTTTCGTAAATATCCCGCAATTTGATGCCTGTGATATCAGGGCACAGCTCATTGAAGTCCAAGTATCCGAGGGTCACGGCATTCTTGGGGTCATTATCTCCCCGTACACCCCAAGAGTTCTGGTACTGGTTCAGAAACAAGGCCAGCGTGGCATTCATATCATTTGGGTCCTTTCCAAATGCCTCGGCGGCCGAGATGATCGCCTCAGTAATCTCCTCGGCAGGCAGGTACGAGCGGATGCTCTTCTCGCCGCTCACCTCGTCCAAGAGGTCGGCCGCCTCGTTGAGCGTCATGGCCTCGGTGTAGACGAGCACCTTGCGGTTCAGCGTGCGCGGGTCGGCAATGACGCGGGCGACGTGGTTGCCCACGTCCTGCAGCGCCGTGAGCGCCATGCGCACGTTGCCGTCGGCCGGCTTGGATTTGAAAAAGGGCACCACGAATTTGTCGGTGCGGCCCGACGGCAGCGGCGGGATCACCTGGTTGGACCACCAGCCCACGTCGATGACGGTCCAGGGTAGGTGCACGCGTTGGATGGCTGCCAGGACATCGTCTTTCTATACTTTTGATTTAGCATCCAACTGTCATTTCTCGTGGATTATCTTCTGTGTGATGACTTACCCAATCAACCAGCTGCATTACACCTCTGGGCGCAGGTGTCTGGAATGAGCTCGGCACAAAACGTTTGACTCCAGCCTCTTTGGCAGCCTCGGCGAGAGGAATCTGATCTTTGAGGTTGCGCCAGAAGATGCAGGATACAACGACATCGATTCCCGTCAGCAGCTTCACCAAGACGTCCTTGGGCCCGTTCAGGTCCGCAGTGACGATCTTGACTCCGCGTTCCTTGAATGGCTTTAGGGTAGGGTTTTCTAGGGAAGACTCCCGCGTGAGAGCTGTTACTTCCTGGTTTAAATGAGCATGCCGCTTTCAATATCTTGAGGTTGGATTCAACTCACAAAGTTTGTTGAAGAGTTGAGTAGTCCCTCTACCACGGAGCTACCGGTCTTTCCGGTGGGACTCACGACGAGTACCTTGATTGGTGATGCCATAATGTTTCAATATGGATAAATTAGTATTAAGGAAGTAAAGGGATTTGATTCTTGTTGTCGTCTACAGTAATCAACAGTTTGTTCATAAATGTTTGGGCACAAGTGCGGGGGGCGGGTAATTATAGGCGAAGAATAGCGTCGTGCTACTTGAAGCCAGCGATGTGTTTTGACTCACTCACCGGATAGCCTACAATAATCGCATTGTCAATTCGATCCGCGAGCCCGTCTGAGAAGAGAAATGACGATATCACGTTGCTCGTAGAAACCTTGCGCCGGTGACGCCGATGAGAAGAACCGGCTGAATAATCTTGTATTACGGTCAGGTAACAAGTTTTGGTGTGTTTCCAAAAAGTCTCCGGATCATCGGCCAAACGGAGGGACTTCATTCCAGGCCATCCACTATACCGCACAACTTGTTGCAGCGACGGCCTCCTGTTATGAAGACTGCCGGAGACTTGAATGACGCCAGCACGATGTATATCAAAAAGACATTATACTTTTCCCCGTCGAATCCTTGCCAAACCACCTTAATCTGGTATACATGTACCCATTTTTGGCCAACCCGGCAAATGTGATCTAGAGAGTGCTAGCGGGTGCGTACGGAGTATAGACAGACATGCCTGTTGCACCAAAATCGCGGGGATTCACTAGCACATACTCATTTTCCAATGCTCCAACCCATCAAACCCAAATACCGGGCTATATGATTTAGTCACAGTACAAGCTATAGGCGAAAAAAAAAAAAGCTTTACAGACGCCATGAAAAATTCCAGGCCCGTTTCCCCCCCCCTTCTTTTCTTTTCTTTTCTTTTTTTTCTCATTGAATCTGGAAATGCGAATAGAGTGACACTGTGATATGTCCAAAGCAGCTATCACTGGCTGGCGGTCTCTAGGTAGTGATGTACAATCAGAAGGAATCATACACCCATGCTGACCTCCCTGGGAGGCAGCTAACCGTTTCCTTCAGAGCAGCCCGCATCTGCTAGTCCGAGAAAGCGAAGATGCAAATTTGATTGGTCTACGGTGCGCCTCGAGGGCACATTGCAAAGACAGGCCTCTGTCTCTGGCTCAGCCGCGTGCGGGGTCTGCCTTGTGAGATTTGACTCTGAGCACGATCTTTGACCGTCTGTTCATGATTTTGCTCAAAAGCGTGCAACTCCACATTACCATGGACCCTTCCCCGTCGACGTTGTGTGAGAGGTGTCAAGTTCTCGAATTTGATGATTCTTCCATTGGGTTTCAAGGTGGCACCGAAGCAGGTGGATATTACTTGCAAACTGATAGCCGGGAAACTTTTGGCGGATACCAGTTAGATTACCATCTTCTGGATTTGTTGCCTGATCTTCCTACCCTATCAGAGTCTTCTCGTCGTGGATGCAGTTTCTGCTCTATTCTCCGTCAAGCCATTCAAGGGTGCAACTTGTCCAAGCAATATGTTTTCATACAACTTCACTTGTATTCTTGGGGTCGTGGAGAGGAAGAGTATTATGGTGTATCTACTTTGCTTGTAAAAGTGCTGGCGGTGGAAGACAAAAAACATGGTTGGTAATCTCCGTTGCTGTTATAAAAGCCAGGCTAATATTTCAAAGTCAACCTATTATTTACGCTTGACAGCTCGTCTGGTGCGTGGACTTTTCATATTCAATTTGCATAACATAGTAGTCCCTTAATCTGGGGTGCCCGTGAGTTCAAGCTTATCTTCTCCACCACGCAGGTCTTTGCAATGAGTGGCTCCTCATGGACCGACCCCCAGAAGAGAACGTCTTGTGTCCCAAGAACATACAATGGATCAAAGAGTGCCTTGCAGAAAGTGTGGACACAGGTGATCCACGGGGACAAGATGCTGGGGATCTGCATCGTTTGAAATACCTGCCGTTGCGTCTATTGGATTTGATGCCCGATGGAGATTATGATTGCAGGCTCGTCACAACCGACTCAGAAACACTTCCGCCTGACACCAAGTACTTGGCTCTGAGCTATTGCTGGGGCAGTCCTGAAGATGCAGAAACGCAGTTCAAAACTGAATCTAGCTCATTCAGTGATCGGAAACGCGGTTTCATGGATGATCAAGTACCATCAGGTATCCGAGATGCTTTCAAGGTAACGAGAACGTTGGGTATACGATACCTATGGGTGGATGCATTGTGCATTCTTCAAGGCGACATGGAGGACTGGGAAAAGCAATCGGCGCAGATGGCAAAGATATTCCGGGGCGCATTCGCTGTTATATGCACAGCAGGCTCAGATTCGTGTCACCAGGGATTTCTTGAAAGGAACATGGATACAGCCTGTATCCGATTCCAGTCACGAATTAACCCAGCTATACATGGTCACTACAACATACGATGGCGCTCTGTTATTTTAAACCAGTACGATGCCAACCTGGACACCAATGGGACAGACATATGGAAATGTCGGTGGGGAACTCGTGGATGGACTTTCCAGGAAGAAAACCTGGCACAACGAGCCATCATATTTGGCAAGACGAAAATACACTACAGAAGAACGACGCTGTTGTGGACCGAGAATCAAAAACCACTGCCAAATTATACAAACCTAGAATACAGCAGCGCTTCAATCCAAAAGCTCGATGACACTGCGATTTCGGGTTGGCTTGAACATCTCCAAGGCTTTTTCGGGCGGCAATATACCAACTCCCAAGATGTGCTGCCGGCAATTTCTGGATTTGCAGCACTTGCCTCAAATGGCGACTCTAGGAACTATCTCGCAGGTGTTCGCAAGCCACATCTGCACCGCGATCTCATTTGGTTGTTACGCTTTGGGAGAACGGATAAGTCATCACTGCTCTTATCGCTGCAAACATGTGATCCATACATAGCACCGTCATGGAGCTGGGCGAGCCGTCAACAAGGTGTAGTGGTGGGGGGCTTCTTGGAACAGTTTTTTCTTCATGCGCTCCCTACCGATGTGAGGAGGGAATACAGTTATGTAGAAACCCATGTGTCAGTGGTGGGCCATAACCCCTATGGCCGAGTGTCACAGGGGAGACTGAAGTTTTCTGCAGTGGTTGTACGACTGTCGCAAAGGCTGAGTTCACCGCGGAATGCGTGGGATATGCGCGAGTATAATGACGAAGACTTTTATGCTCGAATCGTACTGGATTGGAAAACAGAGGATACCGAACCCGGAGCAGCTGATGATCTTTTCTTTATGCTCCTAGGAAGCTTTGAGCCGATTGATATTGACAGCGAAATCGGGAGCGAATCTAGCATAAGTGATCACGGGGATAAAGGCCAGGGTCGCATGCGCTTGCTTGTCCGTATGGATGTCGTCCCGCAACCAAAATTCAAAGGCGGGGATGATGAGGATGATGAGGATGATGAGGATGATGAGGATGATGAGGATGATGAGGATGATGAGGATGATGAGGATGATGAGGATGATGAGGATGATGAGGATGGGGTATACACATCCGATCAAGGTGCCAGCACGGCTGCACTTATTTCGAGTTCCGATACATCATCTCCTAGTCCGCAGGCAGTGTCTTCCGACAGCACTGCACGAGAAGAAGGCGCCAGACTGCCAGTGGATGACGATCCCCCAGGGTCAGACTTCTCCGAGGACGCATGCCAGGGCAGAATGGCTTATGGCATTATCATTCATCCAGCCTTAGAACCGGGCGAGTTCTACCGGGTTGGCGTATGGGCAGCCCCTGAAAGAAACGGGAGCGGGGGTCTCTACTACTTTCGTGATCGTCAGGAATCGACATTGACATTGGTTTGACCTAGAATAATGGAGATCAATGGTTTTCGGAAGACAAGAATTGAATCAAACAGGCAATTTCTCAAAATCTGAATCTTAATAAGAGGCCCTACCAAGGATAAGTGCAGACATTTATGCAAGACTTGTTGTTCCTAAATTCTTGGTGATGGCTTCCAGACTAACGTCCACACAAGCAGCCGTGGTCCGTATCCATGGAGAGCACTGTAATAATCATTCATCGTCAGCATTCATTTCCATGGGATAGACGAGGCGCTACTAGAAGAAAGTCGAGACTCTATAACACAATAATGCCTTCAAACGTCCAATGCTCGCATAACTTCAAGGGAAGTTAGGGATACACTATGACGATTCATCTCCCCTCTTTCTCTTCTTTTCCAACAAAAGAAAATGTATTAGTCACTCACAGACGTGTCCTTAGCTGACAAGTGCTACACGACTCCGTAGCAGAGGGTAACGGAGCCATACATTCAGTGCATGTGTCGCTCCAGTGGCCCAACAAGCCTTGCCAACTCATTCTCTCGATTCGTTGCTCTTCAGCGCTGAGATGCCGGTCCCCAGAAAGCGGGAACTTCCACGTCTTTGCCCAGTCCACGATAGCCTCGAGCTCTTCCCGCTTGTCCTCCGTTACCTCAAATTCAATGGTTACAGACTTGATGTTTGGCAAATGCTGGAACGCCATGCCCCAAGCACGGTCATCAATTACCATGTCGCCAGTCCTTTCAGCCATGAGTTCCTTCATGTTTGTTGATTTGGAGATACGGCGGAACGGGCTAATGACGTACGGACCGTTCTCTCGCCAGAACCTCCAGCTTGAGCGGCGAATGGTAATGCGCAAATGTTCGATAGGCACCTGCAAAGCGCCAAAATCCTTGAGCACGGTGTTGAAGATGTTCCTTGGAAAAGTCCAGAGCAATATACTCGATGCAAATATACGCACCCGGCGCACAAGTTGATACTGTTTCGTTCCGAGTATAGAACTGCTCCTGCCCAGGAATTTCGAAAAGTAGTCGCTATAGCTGCAGCTCGGCCGCCCTCCAATTTTCTGACCGGATCCGAATGCAAATGCATGTTCCTTCAGCATGAGTGGCATGGCGTGCGTCTCCGAATAGACACGCCGGCAACTTAGGAGCAATGCCGTGTCGGTCCTCGTGTATGCCGGATGACCCGGCCGCTCCCATAAGAACTCGGGGGATGCAGTGCGGAACCCGAGCGTTGACTGACTGGCTGGTCTATGCTGTATGATAGTGGCGAAATCGGTTCGTGGTGCCCCGGTGTCCATATCGGGTACGAAGCCGGGTGCGTGATCATGGCGAATGTGGAATCCATCATTCATGTCATGTCCATGCGGCGGACGCCCATAATCTGTCAGGGCATACTCGAATATGTGGATGCGGATCTCTGAGGGTATACGATTGTACAGAGGCGAATCCGTTTGGGGATTGACTGCCTCTTTTCCCAGACGCTTCAACACGCGGAATGTTCGATTCCTGTGTGCTTTGCCCATCTCTGGTCGGTAGCAAAGTTCACACGGGTGGACTTGATCAGTGAGGAGAACAGTTTATAGCACAAAAAAAAAAAAAAGAAAAAAAAATAACATGGGCTCTTGGGCGTTATGCTGAGTTGCAAATCTATAGAAATGCAGGTACTTGGTTTCAGATCCGAATGGCCAATCAACTCCCAAGACGTAAGTATGGGTATTGGTCAAAAGGGTTTCAATCCTTGCAGTGAACTTGAAGAACATGTTCTGTACTATATTGAAAGGTCCAATGAGAATGTTTGGAGAATGAACTTTTCTTTTCTTTTATTCCCAGCAGAAGTCCTATATTGGGTAGAAACATCAATCTATCTGCAGAACATGTCTCTCAATTTCATGCTTCTCTCACGTTACACAAATCGCGAAATCGGTGCACAAACTTGAGATCTTTGGATGCGGTTGCTGCATTAGCCGATTCGATAGGGCGCGATGTGAACCCATGCAATTGCTTCCTCCTCTCGATGCATGCATGCGTCAATGATCAATATCACACATGGTGAATTTCCCGGGCTTGCCAAGTTATATTTATCTTCTTGAATCAATAAACGGCGCGGCTCTTGCGACACTGATGATAATGGCAAGTTCCGACGTGGCGCTGCTCAATATGTCATATGATGCAGCCAGCAGCACATTGAGCCCAGGTGTTAATCACTGCCCAGAATCAACCCCTCCCGGAGAGTGATTCAGATTGGCCCATGGTACGGACGCTCACCTCGTGTAATTGGCGCATGGAGCTGCAGTCAGCTCACATCAAGGCTCGAGAGCTTTTTCTTTCTATCTCCTTCTTGCTTTCAATCAGGCTGTCAGTTCAATTGAGAGAGGGACTTGATTACTTGGCTTTTTTTCTTTTCTTCCCTCTCCCCTTCCTCTATCTCCGCCGTCACATTTTCTCATGTAGATCCAACGGCGTTTGTCATAATTCGGGATGGCGCAGGATTCACTAGAAGAACAGCAAGGGTCCACGCACAGCGGCGGCGGCGGCGGCGGCCCACTGCCACAAGCAGCAACGCTGCTGACGAGCAGCAGCAGCCCGCATCACGAGCTGGAGCCGTGCGACGAGCAGAGTGGTAGCGGAGGCGACACCGTGGCAGCACCGAGCAATGGCCTGCAACTGGAGCCAGAGATGCGCCCCGAGGCTCACGATCTTGAAAACGATTCGGCATCTGTCACGACTTCATCAGACGACCTGAGCCGCTTCTCTACCGGGCTGAGTGTGAGTTGCGCAGTACTTAATTTTTCTTGGCCCGCGAACCACCGCCAGCTGACAAAGCCACGATAGGTTGATCAACAATCTGACGATGACGCCGACTCGTCACTGGGGGAAGAAAGACCGTAGGTGCCTGCTTCGCTTTTCAAACTTTGGGTATATGAAATTTGAAAATTAACTTTGTACCTGCAGTTATTCGACCCTTTCGGCTACGTCGAGTATATTTGACTTTGTCGAGGAGCATGGCCGAACCTACCACAAGTACAAAGAAGGAAGTGAGTGTCAAAACCTCCAAAGTGATTGTATTCGACTAACACCAAATCAAGAATATTGGATGCCTAATGATGAAGTAAGTCTTGCAGCCGAGACATTTCTTCTCTTTTGACTAACTTGCATCGCTTCAAGCAAGAGCAATCCCGTCTAGGTATGCCAATAAAACACCCTCCAATGCAGTCATTTCTAACTCAATGGGCAGATCTCCAGCATGCGATTTGCACCAAGTTGTTCAAAGGAAAACTAGCCCTCGCACCAATCGACAAGCCGAGTAGAGTGCTTGATATAGGCACAGGAACCGGCATATGGGCATTAGAATTTGGTAAGTACGGTTCTGTAAAGGTCAAAAGCCATCATGCTTACTCTCGTTTGAAGCCACTGAGAATCCACAATCTGATGTCCTCGGTACGGACGTGAGTCCTATTCAGCCCTATTTGTAAGTATACCACCCTCCTTGACGCATTTAGTCAGCGAGAAAGGAAATCTAATACGGCCCAGTGTTCCGACCAATTGCCGCTTCGAGGTCGACGATGTGGAAGATGAGTGGGTATATTCGTACAAATTTGACTATGTCCACGCACGGCACATGGTCGGGTCAATCAAGAACTTTCCGGCCCTCTTCAGCATGATTTACGAGAACCTCAACCCGGGCGGCTATGTCGAGTTTCAGGACTACTACGTCAAGCTGCAAGCGATTGACGACTCTCTGAACGGGACAGCCTTGCAGCGCTGGAACAATATGCTCAACGAGGCCCTGGCCTTTACTGGCCGCAGTGGCATGAACAGTTCCAAATACAAGCGTTGGATGGAGGAGGCCGGCTTCCAAGATGTAACGGAGCACAAGTTCTCGGTAAGTGACCACCTGGGCACGCCATGTTGCGCATGCGTCTTCTGCGGTGTCTGACTTGCAATTGTGTCATAGGTTCCAGGGAATCCATGGGCTAAAGGAAGGGAGAAGAAAAGCCTAGGACTGTGGCAGATGCAAAACATCCTTGACGGTCTTCACGGAATCAGCATGGTGCTACTTACCAAGTTTCTCAACATGAGCCCCGAAGCTGTAGAAGTGTTGCTTGTTGATGTGAGGAAAGACATACAGAATCCTAGGATTCATTTCTACTATCCAGTGTAAGTCTCACACTCGACTCCTTCCAAGCAGGACAAGGTGCTGACGAATAGCATAGGTTGGTGGTGTACGGTAGAAGGCCCTGATGACTCACGAACTTCATGTCTTATGAACCTGCGATATTCTTTTCGATGATGAGATTATTCCAAGGGGACTGTTGTTTTCATGCGATATACAAGTACTTAGTAGTAATAATGTACAGTTAGATACCCGACACGCTATTCTCCGTTATTCGTAACAAATGACTGTAACCATTTGAGGTGTAGAAGCATCGGTCACTGCACTGTATTTCTAGAAATAATCGTAGTTTTCGAAAAATTGCACTTTGGAACGCGGCTGCGAATCAATCAAAGTTGAGGCGATCTGGTGGGCAGTCACGGTCACGGCCGCATCTTTGGTTTGACTGGTTTCTGTATTTTCTGAAAAAATCAAACTCGCATCACTCCTCTACTGGGAATGAAGTCGCTGGTGAATCGCAATGATATGCCGGAAGATTGTCAATCGTTCTCATCCAGGCGAGCCAGGGTCTCAGTCGGCCGGCCTGGTTGGCTTCATCCGCCCTCCGTTGTTTTTCTTTAGCAAAGGAGCTTTTGCCATACGCGACACCTTGAGCACGCCTTGCCGTGTCTTTATTTTTGGTAAATGACGATTCCCGTTGAGCACTTCGTGGGCAATCGGGCGGCATTGCCAGGAATCAAAATTTCGTCCCCCGTCTGTCCTAACATCTTCTCTCAACCTCGGTGTTCACGGTCGCCGCCGCCGCCGCCGCCGCCACCTATTCTTTCGAGCGCTTCGAGCATGACGACTGAGTTTCCACGAATGACCTGCAAGACGCTGTTAGGTGACTATCGATCGATTCTACGGATGCGATGAACTTACAACCATGCCCAGGCGGACCTTTTCGCCGCCGTCCTTCTCTTCGACCGCATCATCGAGAACAATGTTCAGGAAAACCTATACAAGTATGAGTCGAGCCTCAAACGAGCAATGACTGGGATGGCTGGGTGCAACGTACATCGTATCCTCGCAGGACACCGATGACCTTGCGGCTTCCATTAAGCTGGACAAACAGCTTCTTGTCGAGGTACTGCAATAAACACGGTCAGCGCGCTGTTGCGCTTCTTCAAGCTGGAAAGGATTACCGCTACTGTACCTTCTTGAGTTCTGGCTGTGCGGGAGCCATTGCGTATTATGTGAATGCGGAGAAAAATATGTACCTCTCGCAGTGTTATGATTGTCGCGGAATTCGAAGCTGTTTCTGGGGGTCCTGGGATTGGATCGCGGAGCCGCGACAGAGTGACTGACCCAGGCTCATTGGAGCTAAGTTCTGCCTGGCTGGACGGCCGTTGAGGGTCTTATCGATAAGGCCGAGCTTCTGGGAAAACCGACGTCAGCCTTCGAGCTTCCGTTCCTAGGCCGCAACCTGAAGCTTTACTACAAACATTATGTTTTTACCATTTTAAAAGGCCTCAAAAATGAGCGCATTCGCAAATAAACGCAAGGCGCGTAAAATCACCATTCACAATGAAGATGAAGAAGAGGGAGGCTCAGAATCGCCGACACCGCCCTCTGTAGCTTCAGACTTCGACCAGGGGCCCGCTCTACAGCCAACGTTCAAGACGCGGCCCATGAAGCAATCGCTGTTGCGCAAAACGATAAAAATATCAGATATCGATGAGCCCCAACCAAACAACTCAACAGAAGATGACGAGGAGGGCGGCGCACCAGTCGTGGTGCGGCCAGCACTTACCGGAAGAGCTGGTTCTTCAAAGATCAAGAAACGAACTCCAGCAGCCTCGAAGCTCTCCTTTGACGCCGACAAGCAATCTACAGACGATGATGGCGCCTTCATGTTAGGCGGTGACCAGCCGGCCTCAGAGGCCAAACAAAGCAACCCGGTTGCTTTGGCGACGACGAAATTTCCACACCGCAAGGGACTTACGAAAAATAATCGACTACCGATACGATCAGAGGAGGAAGAGGAGGAGGACCGCCCGCGGTATAGCAAGGAATACCTGTCAGAACTTCAAAGCGCAACACCCAATACCCCTGCAAATCTCGAGTCACTACAAATCGCCGACGAAGATGTGGAAATGTCCTTGGATCCGTCGGAGCTAGAAGGAGCTACTCTAGTAGAGCAAACAACGGCTCCCGCAGGACAGTCCACGGCCATCTTGACCGAGGCCGAGATTCAGGAAAAGAAAGAGCGGCGAGCACGCCGGGCTCAGCAGGCAGGAGCAGAAGATTTTATATCCTTTTCAGACGACGAGCGGGGGGCGGGGGATTCATATCTATCCCTGCTCGCAAAACGCCAACCCGCCGTCATATCCCAGAAAAAGGAGAAACGGCTAGTGAAAGACGACAACCTCGACGAAGACGATTCATTTTTTGTGGAAGACGGCGGCCTTTCCCTCGGCGCCAAGGCCGAGCGGGAGGCGCGCAAGAAGAAGCGCGCCGACATGGCCTCCATGATCGCAACCGCCGAGGGGGCCGAGGACGACGAAACGTCCGACGACAGCGAGGCGGAGCGGAGGGCGGCTTATGAGAGCGCGCAGACCCGGGCGGGCATGGACGGGCTCGCCGAGGAACGAGAGCAGCAGAGACGCCGGCTGGCCCGCGACGGCACCACGCAGGTGCCGCCCAAGATCACCCCGCTGCCGGACCTCAGCGTCAAGGTGCAGGAGTACAAGACCAAGATGGCGCAAAAACTTGCCGAAATCCAGAGGGCCAGGGCCGAGATTGACAAGATCAAGCAAGAACGCGAGGAGATTGATCGGAGGGAGCCAGAGCTTCAGCAATTGCTTAATGAGGCCGGTGAGAGGTACCGCTCGCTAATGGGTGGCAACGCACCAGCTCCTCAGACCGATGATGCCAACGGCACAGTTGCGGCGGCAAGATCGTTGTTAGACCATTCAAAGAACATGGACACCCCCGGCCGAGGTCTGGAGAGCATGGGCACGACGCCCCTAAGACAAACAGATCAAATGGAAGATGTATGAGATTGATATTAATGATACCCCTAAACAATCTATATATGATATATATGCTATGCACATGGGCAGACCGAGTACAATAACATTGGCAGGTTTCCAGTGTTGAGAATTACACTCAGGCGATTCAGCATGTCAATACGTGTCATGCAGGGTTGATTGAACTTTGTAAATTTCACAAGTGCTAGTAATGAGAAGCCTCCCGCTCGGTCACCAATAGCCGAGATGCAAACCATCAGGCAATAAACCGGAACCAGTACACTATGATACACCAGTCTGGACACCAATACCATTTCTGCCGTTTCTGTATACTACCTTACGGCAGCATTTCCCATATTCTTCTATATCTCGTAATCCTTCTCGCCGTTTATTCAACAAGTTTATTTCGAGCCCCTAGAGACACCTGCGCCAATGACACCGGGCAGCTTCTCCTCACCGACATTGAACAGGAGACTGATGCTGAAGGCAACAGCTCCAACCATGAAAATAGTGAAGCCAACAAACATCCAGAAGGGAACGCTGACATCCTGCTTCTGGCAGGCAGCGCCACCCCAGTACCAGATACTGTCGCTCCCCTTCTTCTCACGAGTCTTCTGGCAGTGGCAAGCGTAGCATGACGAGTCAGCGTCAGACTTGAACTTGTTGAGGCAGATTCCGTGACCGCTGCAGTTGGCGGTAGCAGTCTCGCATGAGTTCTTGGAGGTGAAACAGGCAGGAATGGCGCCAACCTTGGCGACAAAGGGGTGAGGGTTGAATGATTGGTCGTCATTCTTGGTCGCTGCCGATTCGGACTCGCTCGAGGTCGTCTGGATCTTGAACTCCTTGTTGAGGACGGCCTCGGACTGTTGACGCCGGCGGAGCTCGCTCGGAGTGCTGCTCGTGGGCACAGTGACAACGACCGTCTCCAAGGTGTTGCCCTGAAGCTTGCCGATGCTAGAGGCGAGCGACTTCAGAGCCTTGCTGTCCTTGGCCGCGTCGTATTCGAGGTAGGCAGACTTGCCACGCCAGCAGCCGCTCTTGAGGGCGATGGTGTCCTCGAGCGAACACTGTTTCGATACCTTGGGCAAATAGCTCGATGGAAGCTTATCAAGACCAGGTGCTGTGAATGATGGGCCGTAGCTCGAGATGGCCTTCTTTAATCCCGCCACATGGGCGTCGTCGGCGTTCTTGATGACTACAACGAGGGAGCTCAGGTCATCGGCAGGTGCATCTGAGAACAGATGCTGCGATGACTTGATGCCATATTGTGCAATTTGATGAATGTCCTCCTCTGAGATATCCTCCGGCAGCTGCTTTGCATAGCCTACACGCTGTTGCAGGATCGTCTGAGCGGCAGACGACGATATCGAGGATGCGGATCCGGCTTGTTGCGATCGTAGGATGTAGGCCTCGATCTCTGACTCTGCAGCGGCGGCTAGACCAGCTAGAGCCGGTACTAAGAAGCCCCAAAGCTTCATTGTGTTGTGATGCGTGTCCCGTCAACCAGCCTGCTGCAATGTCTGGTGTTTTGGTTGTTGAGCAGGGTCACCTTTGGAGCTAGTTGCCTTGGAGCTGGAGACGTAATTGCACAGACGCTACCTCCAAGAGCTACCAGCAAGCCAGATCCACGTGATGAATCGCCGATAAGCGGCAGCGCCTACCGTACGAAATAGTCATTTCTGATGACCCAAACACTGTATGCTTACTCCAAATGACTCCCACTTCATACAGTTCATGTCGTAAATCCGAGACTGTGTCATTCTCCCAACCATTAGGTACCTGAAGACCCAAAATCCAGGCCCTGTTCATTGTGTATTTTAGGCTTCTTCTAGCGGTTTGCCCCTGCTACTACAATGCCTTAGACGCCGGTTTATAATTGACAAGGCTACAACCAGGGTCTTCGTCATTTTGAGAAGCACTCACCTGCAGAGAATCTCTCTTCCTCACCACGAGCAGAGTCGACGATCTCTTCGCCCGACCAGACCTTTCGATATATTATTGAAACCAGAGCCGATCAAGTTTCATTCCGTAACCTCAGGACATTTTAGGCTTATCCTCAACTCTTGCAAAGACCAGTGGCGCATCGCCCTCCATCGCTCCCCGCGGGCAGCCGCCGTCTTTGAAGACGTGCGAGCCGCTTCAAGACACGTTCACCATGTTGCGATTACTACGAACAAAACCGGCGCAGTTCCGACCTGCCCTTTTCCAACGTTTCCGCATCAGCAGTACTCGCCCCGAACCATCACAAATACAGTTTCAAAGAGTGAAAGTGAGAAGGAAGTGGTTTCGGCCCGCCGCCTTCTTTGGCGCCGCGATTATCTACTATGCTTGCTATGAGATTTACACAACATCGGTTTTTGCCGTGATAGGGCAATGGCTAGAGGGGGAGATTTCTAAAATGTCGCCCAAGGAACGGAAAAAGCTGGAAAAGGAACTCGAGGAGACCGACCCGGCCATTTACATTCCGCTTCCCGGAACCATCGAGACCGTAGCCTCGCCTCCGTACAAAGGAACGGACCCCGAATGGAAAGCTTTTGCCAAGTTGAGCAGAGATCAAAAGAAGATTGCCAGCATCAAGGCTACGCTTGCCGAATTCTCCAAGAAGGCTATTGAGAACAACCCACAGATTAGTCTACAATTCGGCAAAGAGTGGAGGATCACACGCGCTTGGTTGGATGTCACATATCCCCTAAGGCCGCCACCGACCTTCCAAAGACAAGTGTAAGACGAAGCACAATTCATTCCCTCGTGCGTATGCTAACCTTGGACCAGGATATGCTGGGACGATGACGGTCTGTCAGTTGTGACTCAGCCAGTCGATTCCGATGTCGCGTTCAAGCTGCAACGGACGCTCATGCCAACTGCCATGACATTATCCATGTGGAGCTTTAGCACGACCTTGGCTCAACATCATTACAGCTCAGTCGCCAGATACTTTGGATTCCAGCCGAAAGACGAGCAGGAGCAGAGTGTTCAACAGGTACTTGACAGAATGAGGCAGCACATTGTTAAGGGAACACCGCCCAAAGCCTCGGGTATGACTTCAGATCCGACTACGCTGAGTCCCAAGCCGGCAGAGTCAAAAGACGAAAAAGCAGTGAGTCCGACAAGGCGGCAGACTGCTGATGGGTCGCCCACAGATGACTCAACTACATCCCAAACGTCGGAAGATGCGCCGCCGGACAGCTCTCCAGGAAGTAGATTTCCAGGGGCGGTCAGCCCCTTCTCCAAGTCGCAAGAGACCCCAGAGAAGAGGCCTAGCGCCAAAGATATTCACGGCGTCAAAGAAGTCTCAGGACATACCGTTGGCGCATGGCAGGCTCTCAGGCAGAAATGGAAGCAGGTCTGGAAACCTAAGCGTCCTTATCCGCCACGTGGTTCTGTTCACTTCAATGGTCTGGTCGAAGTTGCAAGTCCAAAGGCTTCACTTGTCATAGATGTTTCAGCGTGGTTTGACCCGAAAACCAATTCGATTGACGGCAAGACATTATCATTGGCTTTAAGAGCAATCAGACCTCGGCAGATGGCCCCAGCAGCAAGATGATGGAGAAACTATCTAGCACAACGTGTTGAGGGTTTCACTCGTCGCCAGCTCTCAACGTCCAAGCCAAGGGGACGCTCAAAGCGATCGATCCAAATTCCCATGATTAGTGACTATGGTCAAATCGCACATGTGGAATGCACCCATGGTCCCCACATTCGCAATTGATGTGAGCTGGCAGGAAAAGTGATCTGAGCGTTTGTGCCAACGGGCACGATATGATACTCAAAGAGACAAAAAAAACAAAGATCAAGAGGCGCTATTGTTGTGGCATGGCTTCTTGATGATGACCTACGGATTCGCTGCAATCATTAGCGACGTGAGCGATGGTTTTGCAGTATATTGGGCTAAGAAGCGAGCGAGTATTTGGATTCAAGACTGCATATTGCGTATAGAGGCAAATATACTTTCCGTAGAATGGCTCCATGGGGGACGTGCTCGTCACCAATTCAACCCATCAGTATTTTTTGAAGAAAAGAAATTAAGAAAGTCACTCAGCGAACAGGCACCACGATCTCTCTAGAGCTCAGTCATTCAATATATTGACGAATCACGTTTGATTGAAATGTCAGACCTCCCAGTTTCAATAGCGTACAGCAAGGGATGTTGCCAAGAGAGTCGAGCTTGATCGAAAATAGTCGAGAAGGGGAGTTATGGCCTCGCTTTCTCTTCTTGTCTTCCAGATTTAAACTAGATGTCGATGTTCTAGAAGTTATGAAGCCGGTTAACGGAGTGATGTTACAAGCTACAAACTCAGCCATTGCTTAACGCAGGCTGGCAGCTTCATGGTCGACGATGAAAAGAAAATTTGACCTCCACCACGTACCAGGCTAAACCATACATTGCCCCGTGAGCCCTCCCTTGTCAGAATCAATCGCCTTATATTGGTCAACCACTGTCTCCGCTGCCCAAAAGGTACCCAAAGACTTGTCTTGGGATCTTGATCATCCAACCTCTTTTGTGAATTTGGGAAGTGATTGAGGCTGGGATTGGCAATAGCGGCTGGTAAACTTGTTCGCTCAAGTCTATTTGTTGTAGAATGATTCGTAGAGGTTCCAAAGTTGTTTCAAGAATTGCTCTCCATTGAGATGACTTGCGAGCATTCAACTAATTCATCTGCCTTGGAAGAATAGCTTGTGCAGTATCCGTACTTAGATTTTTCTAATATCACGTCTTTTCATCCTTGTGCCCTTTGTGGATAATCTGTGACCATCTTCAATAGATTGTGAATCCAACTCATAGCGGATTCCCTTGGCAACGGCAAAAGATGCCCGCAGAAGCATATTATTCTAACAAGAACCGATTTGAGTTCGTACTAGCCAGCACTCACTGATGGGTTCTCAGCACTTTCACAACGGAATCCATATCTGGCTATTGCTTGGAAGGTGGTGGATTCATCGATTATTCAAAAAATGGTTCTTGATTTCGTACCGCAAGCTACTGCAATAATCGTGGTTGGAGATCAGAATGATCTTCGGGAAACAAGTTTATTCTCTTCTTTCCTTTTTCCTATATTCTCTTGTTGTTTGAAGAAGCAAAGAGTCATGGTTAGAAATGCAATTATCTTGGAGATTGTATCAATTATTAATTGGAACTATTGCCGTGACACAATGCTACTGCCCACATTGTTTTGTATTCCATCTAGGAATCAATATCATCCGTAGTCACCACCAAAGTATTAGCGAAACTGTTAGGTTCCAACCCTGATTATTATACATTAGCTGCGGCAAAGAAATCCTCCACGCTCTTTAGGTTAAATTCCTCTCTATTCTTCTGAACGTCAATCGTGCTCCCTGTGGCGTTGTATATGCCCTGGAATGCCACCAATCTCGGGCCCAAGGGCCCCAGCTTCTTTGCAAGATCTTCCATTGTTTCGTGTGCCACCTCGATCTTGACCCCCCTGGCCTTCCCAATCTTGGCCGCCAGCTCACTCGCCGTGACCGCCTCCACGGCAAGGGGAACGACCCGGGGCCGGAATTCGTCGGGCTTCTGCAGCGCCGCGGCAACTACAGCACCAATATCCCCAGCATCCAGGACGTCGAATTTGGTCTCGGGCTTGAAGGCCGTTCGGAGTACGTTGTCCTTCCATAGATCTGGAAACATCACAGAGGCAAAGGGCGGCACGAAGAGCTGCAAAAACACGGGGAGCTGTATAACTGTCCAGCTCGCAAACCCCGCACTTCGCACCAGGTCCTCCATCTCTTGCTTTGACAACCAGTACTCGTACATGGGATGATCCGGGCCGAAATCGGGATAGCTGTCGTGCGAGCCCGTGCCAGATACGCCGCTATATATGAGCGAACGGACAGACGGCACATTGCCAGCAGCATCGACAACAATGCGCGCCCGGCTGAGCTGCAAACTGCCGGGGCCAGGCGGCAGGTTCAGGAAGAGCGCCGTTGGCTTCGTCTGCTCCAGCGCGGCCTGCACAGACGCCGCATCATCCAGATCGCCTTTGACCAGGGTCGCACCCGATGCTTCGAGCTCTTGCGCTGCTGCGCTCGAGGGGTCTCGCACCAGCGCGTAGACCTTGATTGACGCTGAAGCCAGGCAATGCTTGACAACGCCGCGGCCCTGATTGCCGGTAGCGCTGGTGACGAGGATGCTTTCTAGGGACATTTTTGACTTCCAAACCCCCGTTTTGATGTTTGCGTAACGATTGTAAGTATTTGTGACTGGAAATGAACTTTTTGTACATGAACTCATATTCGAGACAACTTGGCATCTTATAGGTTGCACTATGGAGACTGACTGCTTATCGTCATGGCTGCGCCCTCTTCCAAGTGCTTACATCTGACGTTGCCGTTCGGGTATATCAAGTGTCCGAAACTCCATAACTGATATAGCTGCATGGACAACAAGCAAGTCTTACATCATTCGAGGGAATCGCAGGTATCTTCTGTAGGACAACTGACAGTTGGGCATGATTGTTGTGGAGACAAAATTATCGTAAATGCTCTATTGGTCTACTGTCTTTGAACTACATGATCCACCTTCCACCGCAGCCGAATGGTTGGCATATTCATTGTCATTTACTACTGCCAGCATTTCGTTGGGACGGCAGTTAGTGGAAGCACACATTAGTGAGCAAATCTAAAGTCCAATCTGCGACTGCCTTGCAGCTTGGTGTTTCTGGTATAATCACGTCTCGCGTCCTCGGTCATTCCGTTCCAGACCCTGTCGCGCTGCTTGTTTCGCCAGACATAGTAAGCCTTGGTCAAGAGGAAGAGGATAATGACGAGAATATCAATCCCCAAGAGAACGCCATTGCCGCGGCGGTACTTGGGCTTGTCGTCGTCCAAGTAGATGAAGTTGGAGATGACACTTCCCATCTGGACACACATCTGCCAAAGAGGTCAGCAACAGGCTTTTGAGATGACAGGTGTTCAAATGGCACGTACGTTATATAATGCCGCAGACACAGAGCGAGTTCCGACGTTGTTGGAGTTCTTTGATGTCCAAGCGACGAGGATAGCGTCTTCAAACCAGTCAGTAAGCATCTTGGTATACTATCGCCATTCCTGGTGGGGGACTTACGGCAGTAAGGGTAGGACAGCAATACCGTCACCACGGCATATGTGCCCCAAGCGTCGGTGATAATGTTTCCCCAGAAACGCAACGCAAACACGCAAGGCAGGGTCCATACCGCCTGTAACATGGAGACAAGGGATCGCTCATTCAAATATTCCGAAAGCCTTGTGATGGCAAGGAGGGTAATGATGTGCATAACGCTCTGCGAAATGTCAGATCAATGTAATCATGGGGTCACGCATTGATCCCTTACCGATGGAATAGTCAACAAATTGGTCGTAAATGTGTCGAATCCGGCAGAAGTGAGCACCAGGGTGATATACTTGGTGGGCGGACTCTGCGGGATATAAGCCACAAGACCAAGTATGTAGATGGGCCACAGGTCGTAGTCCTTCATCGACTCCCAGAGGAGTCGCGGTGTAATGGCTTGACGGTTGTGCATGTCGCCTTTGCTAGGGTCATCGCGCAAGACGCGGTTCACCACGATGGCTTCTTCCCTGTCGGTGAACCATCCGTTCGGGCGGAACCAGGTCTTGGTCTGCACGGCGGAAGCAGGCATCATGAAGAAGGAAGCAGCGCCGACCTAAGCAGCTTGGATTAGTCTTTGTTCACATGCGATCATGTAATAGTCATGGGTATCTCTTACAATAAAGGTAATGGCACCCTCAATGGCAAAAAGCCATCTCCTGTTGAAGATAGTCAGCATCGTACATGAGTAGGAACTGAGTTTTGTACGACTTACCATCCTGCCCAACCGGCAACACCGCGCATGTGTAGCAAGCCATAAGCCATCAACGAAGTGATGATAGTAGTTGCCGAGAGGGTCGTCCAGAAGTAACTAGCAGGTACCCAGATTAGTTATTGTTTCACCATGGTGAGTTGTCTACGCATACCTGAGACGAATCGGCAGCTCCTTTGATGTATAGAAGTAGCTCAGCCACAAGACAATGTCGGGAATGAAGCCTCCCTGTGCAAAGTCAGTAGCTGTGCGACATGGATACTTTGGACTTGGCCTACCTCCAATACACCCAGAAGAGCACGAGTAACAAAAAAGGAAGCTCTGCCGGTTATGAAACTCTGAAACGTGGCTACCAGAGACCACAGGCAGATTTGCATGGGAATCCACCGATCAGGACCAACTTTCTTGGAGATCAGTTGTGATGGCAGTTCGGCAAACAAGAAGGAAACCAAGAAGATGGTGTTTCCGTAGTTGTAGTCTGAGTCATAGGGTTAGCGCGAAGCTATAGTCTTTGCATTGCAGCTCGTATTACCATTGGTTGTCATTTTCAGATCAGCCAAGAAGTTGTCTGACACGGCTTGCACTAGGTTGCCACGATCGACTTGGAGGCCGAAGAACATGACGCACTGGCATAGTCTGTGGTAAGTATACTGTTTCTTCAATACTGGAGAAAAGAATGTTGGTAGCTTACTGCCCAGAGGCATACGCGCCAGTCCAACTTGCGGATAATCTTCTTTTCTTCCTCGGCAGTCCAAGTCAAGTTTGGGTCGAAGAGGTGACGGCACTCGTAGCTCGACCCTTCGTAGACGTCCCGCCAATGGGCCGCCACGTCGGGGTCAATGAAGGGGTTCTTCTTGTCGTATCCCTCATCGTCGCTGCCCGAATGATCGTTCGAGTACGTGGTCGGGGCCGTCTTGAGGTCGGAGTCGGTGAACTTTCCCTCCTTCTCGGCACGGTCTAGGACCGGCAGGTCCGCTTGGATCGGCGGAACCGACATGTCGTCTGGAAGTCTTGGAATTATCAAGCAAAAAAATGCTACAAGTTCGCCAAGGACAGCAAGAAGAGACGAGTTACTAGTAGTCTGCCAAGTACGACTTCCAAGAACGCCGCGCCATCTGGGCAAACGACAATGCGTGCGCCACGGGACATTCTATTTATTATTGATCGTATCATGTACGAGGGGCGTTCGCAGTGGTTTCTGCATTTGATTGATCTCATCGATGTTCGAATAGCTCCTATAAATTGCGTGCTAGCGAAGTAACCAATTACGAACAACGGATCCGAGGTTGGCTGGTACCCAAGTGGGGGGTTGGCCAATTGCGTGACGAGGATTTAATGCATCATAATGCCCTGGCCTGGCGCGCAGGAACGGTTCCTAGTGGACATGTGCCCCGAGACTGATAAGAAGGACCGGATAGACCCTGACGAACCTGGATAAATATTGTTCATAATGTTCCAATTATCGGGCATGGCGGCGTCCAGCTGAGCCAGGTCTAGCTGCAAGCTCGTGAGAGGCGTTGCGTTGACGGCGCATAAGCGAACCAAGCCCTCGGGTCTACGAGGGTCTCGCCAACGTGGCCATCGGTATGAGATCTTGGTTAGATCAAAATGGACAGCAAACGGCGGCTTACGGAAAGTAGTCGGTCAAGACTTCGCTGGCGAATGAGCCGCGTATTCAGATTCCAGCCAGCAGGGACCACGGTAGTATTCTGATCTTCGCTCGCGCACGCCAATCAAAGCCTATTTGCCAAGGACGCGTAGGTAATTGATACGCCTTATGAAAAGAATCGAGATTGTAATAAATGAGCGAATTTTGTATGGGATTACGTCAAATTGAAACACTGGGAGCAGACCCAATACATCGATATTGCCCCGAAAATGGTGTCATCGTGAAGATTTTTTCCTCCCCTTCAAGGTCCCAGCGATTGGGCTGAGAAGATATTATTAATACTTTCGATCTGATCAATTTTTATAATAGATGCCGCTTCTCAATGAGGGTGATTGAAAATTTGTCCCCCATAGTAGTATACCAACCATAAATCACTTATGAATTCATACTCAGCTGTCTTACGGTATGCAGTTCTGTGACACAATTATTATGAACTGTGTCTCCATAGTTTCAAGTAAGTCGCTCTAGTGAAGATTTAGATGATGACTTTCTTGTGGTTAATTGATAGGTAGCTGCCAGTAGAGCAGCGTGCCGTCGTAAGACTGCTTTGCAATTGAAGATTTCATAATCACCGATAAAGGCGTGCTCCGGACTTCAACGGATGAAAAGAAAAAGCCATGAACTAGAAAAATACATCGAGGACGTTGTATTTATAATTTTGACTCAAATTACCGTTCGACATTTAATGAAAACGGGCTAGACTGGGACAGCGCTCTTGCAGTACATCAACCTAGCCACAAGTTGCAGATAACATCGAGTTCATATTTGAAGTCGGCTATACTGGAACTGGAACGGCAGGAAATTAATATTCCAGGCAATTCATGGTACAAAATTCGACTTCAACGATAGATACTGAGAAGCTGGATGATATTGTTCGTAAACTATGACCGTGCGGCCGGGTTCGTCGCCTTGATCTTCACAAACATTGAAGCCGTCTTGTCCTTGTTAATTGCATGGAAAGACTCAGGACAAATAAGTCGAACACAGACTCGGTAAGCTGTCAGTATATACTTCTGGGCAAATGTTTTAGTTTCTGGCATGTTAGTGTGGCTTTAATGCCTACTGGGGTCTGTACTTCCATGAACAGTGTGATAGGCCAATTCATGCTACAGCAAATGTTATACCTATGCGAAAAACAACTTGCTAGTCTCAGTCTATCCCGTATACCATAGCTTAGAAACATGTTATCAGTCCTCTCCAAGAAAGCAGCAGGTCATTCTCCAATCGCATGAGACAACTTTTTGCAGCAGAATACAAAAAGTGGGCTCCGAGTCCTCAATTCTCAAAAGCCGCGGTGTTACTCCGCAGCGGTTAATTCTTCCGAATTGGTTGCAGCGATTTGCGTCGCAGTGCAGTATCTTCCTGCGGGGTTGCAGATGAACAGCGCGACTCGTATATGAGGTATAGGCTCAATGCATTTTGCAGCACAAAAGTAATCATTGCTGCACAAAAGTGATGTCTCTACTTGAATAGAAAAGGGAAAAGAATAATCAGTCTAAACGGCGAGTTTACGGCTAAGGACAACTACACAATGGAGCGGAGTTTCAAGAAGGTATGCAAACCATACTCTCAATGCCCCAAGTACGGTTACTGAACCAAGAACAACAGGTTATTGTCGTTGGCGCCGGCCCATCCGGATTGCTCCTCTGCCTCCTCCTGGCAAAACATGGCATCCCGGTGCTCCTCCTCGAGGCGTCGGATGACCTCGATGACCGACCCCGCGCAGCCATCTACGGGCCTCCAGCAATCCCGGATCTGAAGCGCGCCGGCATTCTCGACGAGGTGCGCCGCCAGGGCATGACGGCCGGTACCATGGCATGGTGGCGCATGGAGGACCACAGCCGCCTGGCGCGGCTCGACGGCAGCGTGCTCGACGACGTTGACGGCGAGGATCTGCGCACCACGTGCCTAGTGCTGGATCAGCTGGACCGCCTGATGCTCAATGAGTTCCTGACCAAGTACCGCGGCGAGATTAAATGGAACCACAAGGTTGTCGAGGTGCAGCAGGATGACGGGGCAGTCTGGGTCGAGGCCGAGACGCCTGATGGCCGGACCCGGATCACTGGAGACTACGTTGTCGGCTGTGATGGAGCAACGAGTCAAGTGCGCAAGTCTCTCTTTGATGACTTTCCTGGATTCACCTGGGACAAGCAGATTGTGGCAACCAACGTGAGGTCATATCGGAAAGATTCGATTCTGGCTCGTATCTAACACTGAAGCAGATTTATTACGACTTTGAGAGCAAATTCGAAGCAGCCGATTCCAATTTCTTGATTCATGAGAATCATTTCGTGGTAAGTGAAAGATCAAGTCTAGATGATGACAAGTGAAATTAATATTGCGTTAGATGATTGCAAAAATCACAACCGACGGACTCTATCGGGTCACTTATGGCGAGTTGCCAGGACTTTCATGGGAGGAAATCAAAGAGCGCCAACCTGAGATATTTGAAAAGATCCTACCAGGCCACCCCAAATCCAATGAATACAAGCTTGTGAGCATGGCACCTTACAAGATGCACCAGCGATGTGCCCCTTCATTTCGCGTAGGAAGAATCCTTCTTGCAGCGGACGCCGCGCATCTGTGTAACCCGTAAGTCTCAAACCACTCTAGGATATGTCATAGACCATCAAATAAGCAGCCGAGGTGAAGCTAACCAGAACAGATGGGGAGGACAAGGCATCACTGGCGGATTCGTTGATGTCGGAGGGCTGTACGAATGCCTCGCCGGCATCTGGGACGGCAAAGCAGACGACAAGATCCTGGATCTCTACAGCGAAAAGAGGATTGAAAAGTGGAAAGACATTATAGACACTGTTTCGCAAGACAACTTCAGGCGCGTGTCGGACTCTGCATCGAGCACCATACTGGAAAGAGACCCTCTGCTGATCGAGTGCAGAAAGGCAGAGAACGACAAGGAGAAACAGAAGGAGATGATGTTGCAGTCTATGCAATTAAGGTACGATTTTACGCAGCATTACACCAAAGGTTGAGCTTCTCATAGGTAGATACAGTATTGATCGGCCCGATTAAGATGGACTCACTATACTTCGCGCCACACATAATGCATGCACCTCCTGTGATGAGTATTGTCACTATTACTATCCATATAAGATACGTGTAAAGACAGATAACCATGATAATAAGAATGAATACCCTAAAGTCAAAGAGCCTAGTTCAGCATCAGTACTCCTTATAATGTGAGTTTCCGCCAAGATCAAATTTGGGAAGACACCAGGCAAGGGGAGACGCAGCATTTGTTCTGCTACGAATCAAAGTATATTAGCTCGAAATCAAGGCAAAGACCAGTCAATATCGTCCCAAAGCGTCGGATTGCATACATTGCTTCGTGGTGCTCCTCTTTCTGCTGGGCTTGAGAGCGACGGCTAATGCAAGCCACTGCCGCGAGCACGAGGACAAGGATCGGGACGAGGCATGGCGGCTGCAAGAGTCTATACACTAGGACAGATAGATGTTATCGGCCCTACGTGAGCTTAGATCCATGGCCCAAGGTAATTGAATTCAACAAAATGGCGAGCCTTGGGCTTGTCACTTATGGATTGAAAATCTCGATCACGTCGGTCTTGGCTCATTAAAATATCATTAATGGTTCATTTCATTTGGGTTTCTGAAATCGGGGTATCATAGTAAAATCTCATAAGCAAACCTTTCCTCCAATTGTCCAAAGCTTTTGGTTCGGTCATCAAGACCAAAGAACCCAAAACATGAAAAGGCAAGATGACAATTAACGTGTAGGCAAGAAGTTCTTAGAATCCTCCTCCTGCTGGGCGAACGATTCTGGGAATGCTGCAATTCCAGCAATGATGCCGGCCACCATGAAAAGGATTGAGATGATGGACCAGATGACACCCCAGCACTGAGAAGAGCCGCCGTAACGCTGGGCAAACACGCTGGCGTCGGAGCTGTTGACTTTGCGGAGGATTAGATCATCGCACTGCAGAGTATTAGCACTTATTCAATTCCTGTCGGCATGTTATCTGGCTAGACTTACGATATCCCAGACGCTGTAGAGTGATGACATGACACCAATAAAGAGCTGCATTTCATGGTCAATTAGGGTTATATCTCGTAAATGGCAATTGGACTTACGACGACAAATCGCAGCGGCTCAGCATGGACGATGAACCAGCAAGCAACAATCAGGCCCACCGCCAGCAGGACGGTCAAGATCGTCAACCAATCTCTCTTGCCCCACCACAGCGTAAGCAGGAAACAAACGCCAAGGACCATACTGGCGACTTTGCTGGCGACAATATCGAAGCCGCAAAAGATGAGCAGAGCTCCAATCAGGGAGGAGCCTAAATAGCCGGCAGGTAGCGTGATGGCGCTTTTGCCGCCTACCATGTGGGTGACGCCTCCCTCACGAGGATCCAGCGAAATTGACTTTACGCGACCTCCAGTGCAGACTGCAGTAATGGCGTGTCCAAACTCGTGGAATGCAATGACGAGCATCTACGGAAGCGGGTTAGTAAGCTGCGCATTCGCTCTCATCCTCTTCATGATCCAGACCTTGGCGTCTGTCTCCCATTGCCTCCCCCCACTTACCTTGAAGGGCCATAGACTCCATCGCACATATGGTACATTCCATAGAATTGCAATCACGACGACATAGACGGCAATTATGCCGAGGGTGACTTTTTGCGCATCGCTAGATACACTGAGGCCGCGACTGGACAAGACGTCGCGGGTGGCGAGCTTAGCGACCTGCGGACCGGCAGCAACCACGGCTGCCCTGGCGCTGGCCACTAATTGGCGGCTGATAACCCCGTTGGCAGCGTGTACGGGGGCCATGTCGCAAAGGTGCGCGATAGAGTTTTCAAAGACGGAGATGGAATTATTAACAACGAATGTCGGATCGGAACGAGCGTGGGGTTGTGGTATGCAGATGCAGAAGATATGCACAGTTTGCGCTTGTTACCCAGATGGAAGAGATAATAAAACAGAGAAGAGAGAAATGTAGGTTTCACTGTTGAAAAAGAGGCTGGCATTCTTTTGTTTTGCATATCTACCCAACGAAGACAGGCAAAAAAGAGCACTAATAACACATGGTCGGCACTGCCGCTGAGCTGACGTGGACCATGATGCTTGATCAGGTTGTTAATGGGGTACCAAAGCTCAATGCGGTGCCCCCAATTCACCCCTGTAATCGCCCGATGAAACACGTTCGCTGCATCAATGCCGGCGCTTCAGTGCCGGTTGCTGCGCCTTGTTTTTCTTAGTCCATGGGTGAATTGAGTGGCTTGGGTGGTTGTAGTGGTGGCCAGGGATCTGCTCTTAGTTTACCCCACGGGCCACAGCCATCGGCTAATCACAGCCTAGAACGAAGAGTTTGTCGCGTCTCTCTGGTGCCCCAAATGCCGGTTTCCGCTCTCCATGGCGGCGCGCGTTCCATTGTACAAGTGAATGGAGACAGACCTAAGAACTTTACTGTGACTTCCTACCAACATCCATCATCTAATTTGTTATCATCAGCTTACATTATCAAAGTATCGAGATATGGTCAATCACTACCTAAGGTAGTCGTACCTTTAAAGTGACGGACGAAACAACAAAGCATTTCTTGAGAAAAAGACATGCAATCGTAATAAATATACCAACCTAGCACTTTCACGTAACTCACAGAGAAGGAGCGGCGCATGTCGCCTTGTCCAGCATATGTATGTAAAACCTACTGCGCGTTCGCCGTATTTAGGTACCTACTAGTAATTCTTGATTCTTCTTCAACCGAGATGGTCGCCATTGCTGCACAAGCTGCCAAGTTGTACTTAAACCAGATGCAACGCCCCAGATCGCGCTGCTCCCGAGCATTAACAACACTGCAGCTCAACGCCCCGAGAAGAGCATGGCACGAAAACAATGTTTTCTTCGTTCAGATGCCGCATGCTGACCCCCTAAAGCTCACGCCCTTCTGCGCCGAGGAACGACCTTGATTCTTGCCCACAGATCCTGGAAAGATGCATCTGTTCATCTGCGCATTTGATCTAGCCTGACGCTTCTGCGCAGCCGCCCTCGAGAAAACATGGCGTATTCTCCTAAACATGGCCGACCATGATGCTGCGATTGGCTGCTTTCAATACAGAAAACCCGTCCATTCTGCGAGAGCTGTTCTGTGTGGCCGTTGTCGCCACCTGCGTCCAGCGGTACACGGTGCTTTTGCTGTTCCATGTCGCCAAAGAGAGCTTCGATTGCAGTACATAACAATGATCAACCATTGCCCGCCAGAGTCTGCTGGCCTCATTGAAGATGGTGCTTGGTCACATGATCGTCTCGTTTTGGGAAACACGGTACGACGAATCTGCAGCTGACAAGTCCCAATTGCCTGGACATGATGCAATTGGCTCTTCTATCGACTCAGTATCGAACGTCGTCTGTGCATCGAGGGTCGTTTTCAAGCTATTGGGCCTACCACCCATCACCGCCAGCCACGGCACTGCATGAACTCGTCAGGCACCGTTCAGTCCCGGATCGACAACGGAGAAGCTACCGAGGCGCAAACAAAGAACAAAGGGATGCTAAATCGGGCGTAGATTGCGGGAGAAGCAGTCTCTGAAGATCTACATTCACTCAGAAATCTGCAATTTTGAGCTTGCAAACTATCACTGCGATTATCTTGTAGAGGTAAACGGCGGAATATACGAAATCATGACGACGGCATGGCTTCAAGAATATCCCCAGTGAACAAGACATCTTCCGGCCACGACCTACGCAGGCAAAGTATGTTGGACGTGTGTTTACGGCGGGCATTTGATTTTATCCTGCAGGGCATTCGACCTACGCAAGTTGCACGCAGTGCCGTACATAATCTTTGACCAGCGCATAGTGAGTGCCGGGGCTCTTACTTCTTTCCAAAATGAAGCTACCGCCCTTCTTTCCCAGTCCTCAACCGGTATACCGCACAGCATTTCTTGGCCACTTTCTCTAGTGTCTTGGCCTCGCGTGGAGCGTTCTCTTCCATGTCTGTATACTCTACTTTTCCGAGATCATTAGCTGCCTGTCTAGTGTCATCCTCCCCGCCTTGATACTCTGAAAAACGTGCATTAATGACGACTACAGGCTTCTGCAAACATACCAGACGAAGCTTATAAGACTGGCACCGAACTGGTGGTACGCCTTAAGATTCTGAAAGGAACAGAAGCGGACATCATTGACTCGAGTACCGCACCACGTAGCTCCACCAGGTACACATTATCATGCCTTCTTATCTAGAAGGGCATACAAGAGGTATGATTCACCCCAGGTGACCTTGAAACACAGTCTGCCTGAAATGCGGAATTGCCCGCCAAGACGACTCGGTCTGCGAAGCAAGGGATATAAAAATTGCTACCAATCGGTGCGAACGATACCCCAAGTTAGACCAAATCCACCTGCGTGATGAGAGAGGAAAAAAACACATGCACCGGTCTTATTCCGATAGCTTGTCCGACACGGATATTATCACAAGACGAGATTATTCAAATATCACATGCCCCGTGATCAAGCTCGCATTGACTCCTATGCAATCGTCATCAACTTAAACCTCGTCTTAGTCAATAAGGTCTGCAGGCCACCGGACCAACGGATTAAACGACAATTATTGCTTTTTATTTTCATGCACGCTTCAATATTTTGTTTTGGACCATTGAGGTTGGCTATGCACTTGCGTACTGCTTGCATTGGCCGCGGCGTTGTTGTAACTCGGAAGCCCAGGGATCTCAAAGTATTAGGTATGTGGTTGTTTCTCTGATTAACAGAGTGACGTTCTCCGACATGCATTTCGAAACAACAAAACCAATCAAGACCGCTAACAACAGTGGTTTCACAGGTAAGACATCGAGGGGTAAGGGTGGGCGGGAAGACCAGCCTTCCAAAGCCACCCGAAATTTTATACTACCCGCCCCCAGGTCTGAGTGACGGGTGGCGCCAATGACCAAGACGACACACAATTCTATGTCTGATTGAAGAAGTTCTGATGTTGCTCTTGACCGGCTTTTTCGCTCTGGAGATGGAAGAAAAGCAAACAAAAAGCAGGGTCCGTTCGCAAATTTGACCCTTCCACTATTGTGCATTTGTGCTGCCCTCAACTACCATAGGCCGTTTGTTGATGCCGAGCATCTGTTGTGCAACATGTCCTCCTCGGAGGTCCGGAACATTGGTGATGAAAACAACACAGACTCATCGGATCCTTTGTCGAGCCAACCTGAATCTGTCTTGGTCGCGGCCGCATATAGTCATCATGTTGATCACAAATGCGAACCCGGGGTAAAAAGTCTATTTTTACAGACTCTCACCAGCTCGTCTAAGCTCATCTAAGCTCGGGTCAGTTTAATGCAGGAATTTATCCTTCAAAATGAAAAGAGTTTGCCCCTAAAAGGGTGCAGTTCCAAATCATCACCTCTATACGTCTGCAACGTGGGTACTGTATGTTCAAAACAGTTCTAGACGGTACACTCCGGCCCGAGCACTTGCAACGGGGTCAACTCTAATCAATCTGGTCTCTCGAAGTACCGTCAATATTCCCGGAACTAACCCCCCCTCCCCAGAGTTCAACGTTAGTGCAAATCTCACATGCGGGCATATCTGTGAGACTTGGCTCCTCCTAGAATACCTCGCTCATTGGTTGTGCAGCGCCAAGCATCCGTCTAGCTGCCGTAATGCTTTGAGTGTGTGCTATACTCAACCAGGCTTTGTTTTTATGCTAATACAAGCGCTGCTCCGGAGCCGCCAGAAAGCTTGGCAAATGGTTGGCAGCATGGAACACACAAGGTACGACGTATTGGTACTATCTTTATCCAGCGATCTGCAGCATGGATCCTAGAATCTTGAGCTACGTACGAAGGACTTGCAGGCCGAGATTACCCTTACATTCATCTGCGACATTTGAGATGCTTCTTGCCAAGCTTCTGCCCGTGTCGGTCCACATACATGCCGCGGTACCCCTCGTTACCAGCATCGAGGTCCGTCTCTGGATGTGGGACTATGTAATGGACTTATTTCCCTCCAAGGGATTGGTCTTGTCAATACCCTTGAGATATCTGTCCCTTACTGTGCTCTCCATCTAATGACCAAACACGACATCTCTCAACTGATTGTATAGAAGTCAACGCGGCCAAGCAAAGGGGCTAGCCATGGCTCTGCTTTCTGCCCTACCTCTTGAGTTGGGCATATTGCCCCTGGGGAGTCTTCTTGTGACGGGTGTCTTAATCTCATTCGCTTTGGTGGTGGTATACCGCCTCACCCTTCACCCACTTGCCTCCTTTCCAGGACCAAAGCTCGCGGCGGCGACAGGTTTATATGAGACTTATTATGAAGTTTTCAAGGATGGAGGTGGTAGATACTGGGTAGAGATTGAAGAGATGCACCGAAAATATGGTGAGTAGGAAACATTTTCTTGTTCTGTCATTATCCTCGACTCATACGGGCAGAAGGCCGCCATTCTGCCATTGCTTTCTTTTCCTCTTCTTCTTCTTTTTTCTCTTTTCAGAATGACGATTGACAATATCTGTCAGGACCCATCGTCAGGATCAACCCATGGGAAGTTCATATCAATGATTCGGAATGGAACGGTGTATACAAGTACTCGTCCAAGGCAGCCAAGCCAAGGTGGTATTACCTTCGCTTCTTTGGAATGTTCCCAAGCACCAACTCGGCCGAATCACACGCTCTGCACCAGCAGAGACGGGCACCGCTTAATGCCTATTTTGCATCAACAAACATTCAGAACTTCCAGTCGCAAGCACAAGGTCAAATCGAGAAGCTATGCGACCGGCTCCGGGCTGCTGATGGCCACGTCGTGAGCCTCTCGGACGCCTTCCGCTGCCTTGCTACGGATATTGCCACGGGCTTCTGCTTCGGCAAACCCTTTGGCCACCTGGACGAGCCCACCTTTGATCATGAGTTTAACCAAACCGTCCGGACTGTTGTCCGAGCCAGCATGTGGAGCCGTCACAGTTTCGGTCTATTCATCCCACTCATGCACAGTATTCCCGAGAGTTTCTCGATCAAGATGAACCCTTCGTTCCGCCGCGTCAAGTGGATGAAAGAGGTAAGACAGCTTTCCTGGTCCATATATCTCAGGATAATCTCCTTTTCAACGAGCCCCTAACATTTTCTTCCAGATGATGGCTGGCTGTGTCCACCGCTCAATGCACAAGCCCGAGCCTGCGCCTGGTCAACAAGCAGACATGGTCCAGACCGTACTTCAGTCTCCGCTTCCACCAGAGGAAAAGACATTTCTACGTCTTCTCTCCGAGACCCGCAGCGTCATCATGGCGGGCACCGAGACCACAGCCAGTGTGCTCGTCTGCATCACGGCTAGCCTTCTCAAGGATCCAAGCATGGTTGCGCGGCTAAAGTATGAGCTCTTCGATGCAGAGATCACTTACGGCGGCCCTGTGCCATACAATAGGCTCAAGGAATTGCCATTACTGACCGGCGTGGTAAATGAGGGCTTGAGGCTCGCCAACTCGACGCCGTCACGTCTGCCCCGCGTGTGCGAGAGTCAGGATTTAAAGTATGGACAATGGATCATCCCCAAGGGCGTAAGTTTAGATCCCACCTAACCTCCCAGGTCTCACCCGATCAATACAACTAATAATTGTCAAACCAACCAGACCAGCATCTCCACAACCTGCCAAGACGTTCACAATGACCCCAAGATCTTTGAGCAACCCTACAGCTTTATGCCCGAGCGCTGGGACACGCCCGAGAAGCGGCGCGCGCTCAACAAGTACCTGATGCCTTGGGGCCGCGGCACCCGGCTGTGTCTGGGCATGGAGCTTGCCACCATGGACCTGTTTTGCACCGTGGCGCGCATCTTCAGCCCCAGCATCGGGTTCGACATGACCATGTCCAACACCACCGATGAGGACTGGAAGGCGTATCACGAGTGGTTCGCCTGCTTCCCCAAGGGCAAGGGCCTTGATGTTGTCATTTCGCGGCCCGAAAAGGTCTAATCATTTGAGATGGTGCGCTTCGGTTCGAGCGGGTGGGGAGGAGGAGGAGGAGGTTAGACCAGCTGGATAGAAAGAAAGTATAATACCTTATTCCTGGAGAAAGCGGTCTTCTTTTTACGTTTTACTAGTTGTAGCGCTACACTTGGGAAACTCTCCTTTACATGGACTAAAGAAGAGGTAAATAGATACCTACCACGTAATCAAACAATGCCAACGAGATTTGTTCTCAAGTAATGTCATCATCCTTGTATAGGAACCACTGAACACCAATAACAAACACGTCACGGGGCAACAAAATCATGTGGAATCTGTCTCGTTTGCTCTATGAGACCTATCGCCGAGTCAAGAACATTCATTCATCCAGTGCCATCTATGCAGAAGCATTGTCCACTGCGCACTCTCTATGGCCTGGAGTCTTCTCTGTGATGATTTCCAAGCACTTCCTCACAAGGTTCCATTGCCCAACTGGGCAGGGGCAACACCGGCCAGAGGCTTGAAGAGTGCCCACTTGGTGGTAGTGTGAGGCTGCTTGGGATCATCGCCGCCCTGACCGTTGGGACTGTTGCAAGGCATGCTGCCCTCGAACTGGACGCGGGGATCGCCCTTGCGCAGCTTCATGGCCTCGATCACGACGTCGCTGATGTCGTTGGAGCCGATGAACAAGCCAAAGATGACGGTAGTCTTGACGCCAAAGACGCACTGCAAAGAATTGATGTCAGCATTTGTAATCTCCTCCACGGGTATGGGAGGTGGAAGGGGGATTGTCTACTTACGCTGCCGTGGTAGGCGACGCGGCACCAATCTCCGTTGGCGTGGAGGTCGCCGCCCTGGAGAAGCTGCCAGTAGCCGGGTCCAGAAACCATCTGGTTGATGATGACCTGTGAGAGATTGTCTTTGATTAGCTTTTTCTGATATTTCCGTTGCTAGCGAGTGATTCTAACATACCTGGCAATCGCCCTGGTCGGGGGATCCAAGAGTGGTCATGTCGGTAAAGGTGCTTTCGCCGCACTGATTGGGGTTGCCATTGGGGTTCCACTTCATGCGACCCTCGAGATGGGAAGCCTGGGCGGGACCGGCGACGGGCTGGAAGGCCTTGTGAAGCCAGACGACCTTGACGGTGCCATCGGGCATGGTGGTGTTGACGGGGACCATGCCATCAGTGACAGCAAGAGTAGTGGCGGCGCTGCTGGTCGGGGCTCCACGAACCATGCCGAGCATGGCAGCGACGACGCTCAAGAGGTTGTTAGCGAGCATGGTGACTTTGTAGTTGCAGACTCAGTGCGCTCGCGATGGTTGCGTCGTTGGTTGACGAGAAGTGCGCCGATGGGTGTCAAAGACGGCAGCCAAGTGAAGTTGACAAAACAGTTGAGAATTGGGAGAAAGCCAAAAAGTTCTCAAGTTAAGTGCAGAATCGATCAAAGAGAATTAGTCGCCCTCCGTGCAAACGCAGAGTGCAAGAGGCTTGACAACAATCTCAAGCGCGTCCAGCAAACGGGAGACTGGCTAAGAGATTTCTTTCAACCATAGCAACAGCTCTTGTTGACCGTGGCAACGGCGCGACTGGACGTTGAACACATCTAATTATCACTGATTAACTTGAAATAGGCGTCCATATCTAGTAGACACAATCACTCACCTCAAGATGCACACGATATCTCAGCGACGCACATCATGTTTGCAAGACGGTGTGAATAACTTCATCAACAATTCCTATCCACACCTTGTACCTCTTCCATTCACATTAGACCACAACTACATAAGGCATTTGCATTGAAATTATGCGGTTGGGCTTCCCCTGCACAATTGAGAAGTACTTTGCCAATGATCAAGGAAGGATGTAATGCCCAATGGTTTATCGTTGTTGCTTGGAGCGTGGTAGGTGATGTGCTGGTGATTGTTTGCTTGTTGTGTTCAACACCGGCCCGAAGAGCATCTTTGGCTGCGGTGCTTGCCTGGACCTTCTAGAACGGAACACCGAAGGAGAGTATGTGAGTATCTGGGCATCTGCACCTGAGTGATTGGATTACAGATTGGAGATCTAGAACTCGCAGATTCGTCATAATGTCGATGAATGAACATCTGGACTCGAGTCCAGATGCGATGATAATGGCTCCTTCCATGTGATACCATCATTCTGTTGGCCAGATGTGATTGCCTCGACTCTGGCTCGGCAAGTACGAGAAAATGGACAGGTAAGAGCCATGCAACAACCCGGATGAATCACTCCATCGCTGCCAATTGAACAAGTATAAGATGCCGCATAATCCCCTCGTAGTTCCATTTGTTCCACCCTGTCATTGACCCTCTCCCCACTCAGAGTTGACTCGAAAATCCACAAAAGAAGCAGACAAATCCCACATACCGTCAACTCGACTTCTGCCCAATACATTTCTGGCCGCAAACCACTCCACTTACCGCCGGTTCTCTCTTTCCATCAGCCAATTCTTCGATCCCAGAATACAAGATGAGATTCTTCACTACCCTCGCATATGCTGTCGCTGGCTTCACCATGGTCACAGCTGTAGAGAGAGACAGCTCGGCCACGCCAGCAGCAAACCCCTCTGGCTGGGACTATGGCAGCACCTCACTTGCCCGCAAACAGAAAGCAACCGTGACCAGCTCGGACTACGGAAGCACGCATGCTGTTCGAAGAAATGAAGACAAGTCGGCTGACTGGGACTATGGAGCTGTCACGTCCTCCAACTCCATTGTTCGTGCTGCTCGACGAACAGCTTCGGCTGCTTGGGACTATGGCTCCAACACTTCGGAGGATTCTAGCGCCAAACGTCATTGAAAGATCACACACGAGGTACATGGATTTGTATGAATGAGTGTACAGAAGTCTTTGGTCATTTACATTGCTATGCAGGGGAGAGTTACAGTAGACGGTTGCCATTGCTGATAACAGAGATTGGTGTTGAGGAATAGAATTGTCATGGTGGCCGAGTAGAGACGAAGAGGACGCAGCCACCTCGGATTTTGGAACAGAACAACTTAGATCTGAGAAAATCAATGACTGATTCCAGCCAGCCGTCCATCTTCATGTCTTGACGAGTAAATTGCCAATTGTGACTTGATTCTCCAAGATGCCGATTGATTTCCAATTCACCGTGAGTCTGCATCTTGCCACAAACAAATACTGCAGTCTTTTGCAACAGTCGGCAATGTTCAAACCAAGACTCAACAGGAGAGATAGCCTCTGAGAGAAACCATCATACGGGCCAATTTCTTTTTCTCCCAACAACAATAACAACATGAACGTCGAATCTGAAACGAATAGCTACGGAATCGCACAATTTTCGCATCATTCCCTGTCATGTGAGATTGTCGGTGCAAGCATTGCTATATGCGATGCAATTTTGGCAGTTGGCAGCTGCTGGCTGACTGCCTGGATCGAAGGTTCCATCACGGCTCCAGCTTAGTACTATTACTAAAGTGGGCAGGGGGGTGGCTCGCATGAAGCCAATTATTTCTCGACTGAACCACCATTCAAGGTCGCACTTGGAATCGTTACCTCACATTTCTTGCTCCTACTGTAATGTCGAGCAGAATTATTCAGCATTCATGAGCTGCGGCATTCGTCAGAGTTCTGCTTACCCTTGATATTTTATCGGTAGGAGGCTCACTCTTTTCGCTATGAGCGTCGAAGATCCGCCCTCACGTTCACCATGTACGAATCGTCCGCCGCAGCCTCGACGCTGACCCGGCCAAGAATAGTTGTTGCCGCCATCTCAGTAATTGCCGCCGTTTCCGCTGGCTATCTCTTGTATCAGAGCCGAGTCGCTGAGCCGCAAATAGACGTGGTTCCCGGACCAGGCCTGCATAGAAGCAACGCTGTACGCCGCAATCGACGCCAATCTCTGCGACAAGAAGACTCCTCAGATGCAGACAGAGACGAGAACGTCGACACAACTGCCACCGCAGCTCCAATCCACGATGTCGAGTCGCAAAACGAACCCGCATGGTACACGGAGAGCTCGAGGCAGCGCACAGGCGAGAACATAGTCACCCTCTTGTTTCGCGTTTCCGAGGACAATGCCAGGCGCAATGCCTACGTGCACCGAGGCTGCCAGTGTAATGGCTGCGGCATGGTGCCTATCCGCGGCATTCGCTATCGCTGCGCCAATTGTGCCGACTTTGACTTGTGCGAAGTATGCGAGAGTCAGGGGCTGCACAATAAAACGCATGTCTTCTACAAGGTCCGGATACCTGCACCGCCCTTCTGTCCCCGCCAGGTTCAACCGGCATGGTACCCCGGCGATCCCGACAATGTCTCGCGAATGGTACCAAGAGAACTCTTAGCCAGGTGGTCGAGAGAGACTGGGTTCGAGCGCGTGGAGCTGGATGCTTACTGGGAACAATGGACATTCATGGCCAATACGGAGTGGAAGGACGACCCAGATGGCCTGTGCCTTGCCATGGACCGCAAGACATTCGAGCGCTGTCTCGTTCCGTCGGGAGGCTACCGGCATGCCTCGCCCAATCTGATCCATGACCGCATGTTTGCTTTCTACGACATCAACGGTGATGATCTGATCGGATTCGATGAGTTCCTGAAAGGCGTTTCCTATCGCAAGAGAACGGACAAGCTGCGGCGAATCTTTGAAGGCTACGATATCGACGGTGATGGTTATGTTTGCAGAAGGGACTTTCTTCGCATGTTCCGGGCATACTATGTTTTGTACAAACAGATGCATCGAGATATCCTCGAAGGCCTCGACGAACACATGATGACTACCGCCGAGGCACAGCAGCTCGTCAATGGCCGGGCACCTCTGAGCAGTTTCTTTGGTAGAGAGGGCAGAGTACCCCCAGCTGACCAATCCAGACCCATGGAAGGCAAAGTCTTTCGTTCGAGTGGGGAAGTCGACATACACGACGGGAAGAATACCGTTGTAAACGAAGACAAACCAGACACATCGAGCCGCGAAGATATTCTGAACGGATTATTTGCACGATCTAACAATCGCAGCTTTTTCACTGAATCGTTTGGTCCCTCCTCATTCCAAGGTCGATCTTCCACAGAAGAGCAGTACATTTCTAGCATCATCAATCCGCCAACTACCCTGAATGACTTGTCAGCACTGATCAGTGGTGATGCGTCTTCCCGTCTTGATGATATCATTGCTTCGATACGACACGAGGTTGCAAACAGGCCGGCACGCGGTCATTATGATGATACCGAGAGCAACGCTTCGGATGAGGCCCACGAGGAGAATGAAGATTTTACTCATAATCTCCCGACACTTCGCTCGCAGCCCTTTCATGTGCACGACCATGGGGCTCCCCCACGCACCAGAGGGCTTGCTCGTGAGCGACGGAATGGAACCACATCGGCTAGGTCTCAACGAATCCGTGATGAGAGGCGCAGGCGTGAACAATTGCTCGACAGATGGACACGACGCCAGTTCTATCTCGATGAAGAGGAAGGCGCCCAACCTCCCCAAGATTGGACCGAGGATGAAGACGTCTTACGCAATTTGAACGGTATCGCAGGATCTTCCAAGGCTCCAGCACAAGTCCTGTCACCACGGTCCAGATCTTCCTCCAAGGTTAGATTTGCGGAGGACACAGATGATTTTGATGTTCGATCAATTAGGTCAAACCACTCAACGTCCACGAGAAGCATTCCGGAAAGGTGGGGAGGTATGGAGATACCAGATGCCGAAAGAGACGCTGGAAAAGAGATTCTTTATCAAGTGACGCAGCAAGCTTTCAACGAGCTACTTGATGAGGTTTTCAAGAAGAAAGAAGATCTTGCTCTTGCCTGTGCTGAAACCGTGGATGAGCGGAGCAAATATCGACACCTGTTCCGTCACCTGGAGCCCGATGATCTCACTACCACGCCTCCGCCTCGCCTGAGGAGAGCCAATAGTGATCGGCCTGTTCGCGAGCAGAGCTTGGATGAGCTGCTGTGGACCAGCGGTTACACAGTCAGCCCACCACCAAACGATACTGAGGCAGCTGAGCAAGCTCCCTCGGAAGATAAAGAGAATGATCAGCCGCCCCCATCCCAAAGCCATGTCGGCAGCCTCGAGAACGAGACACAGCTGCATACTTCCGGGCATGAGTATCAGAGTAGCGTTGGCTCTTACGATCCCACAATGCCTCAGTTTCGGCCAAACAGTAACGAGACGGCGCAGTCATCGCCGAGAACGTCGAGTCCGCTGCTGGACTCAGTGTCCAAGACCACACAAAGGCAAACGGACAAGAAGTCAGCTCGTAAAAGTCATCAAAACACCTCGACCAAGTCTTCGCAGAGTTCCGACACGCAGAGCACGCACGAAGAAAGCCTACCAGAAAATGTTCTCTTGCAATACAAGCGTCTTGACATTGCCGAAGAGGAAGCCAAGTATCGTGGCGGCTGGGGCCGACTTAGTTTCGCAGAATTTGAACAAATCTATAAGGAGCATGAATTTCAGGATAGCAGCCGTAACCGTCTGGACTACTTGGGCAGCTGGATAGATTTCTGTATTCCGTAGGGGGGAGAGTGTTTAGTCCCGCCTCAAATACTCTTGCTGAATATGAGACGGCCAGATAACGGCTGGCCATACTTTCCACATCAACATTCTTTCTAATACTCTCATGGCTGACGCCCTCCTCCACAATACTGACTCTTGAGGTCTCTGATTTGGGGGTGCAGGGTTCCCTGAAGACTCTTATCACTTGGATGTTAAAAATCACCGAATAATGGAAAGGAGTTCAGCATGAGGCTGGGTTGAAGATTCCAGTACCCAACATGTACATAGTTAGGAAGCGATTGTGGAAACCTCGACGAGGAGTGGGATAGAATCGTTTTGATATAATTCATGGCAAATGGCTGTAGCGAAAAAGAAAAAAAAAATCAATTTTTTCGAGCCCAAGATCCACCGCAGCCATTTGGTAAGTGACCATACTCATGTGACCCTCATGAGCCCCGAACCATAAGACACCAAGAACGCCTTTACCTAATACTCCGTGAGTAGTTCTGTTTGTCATTTATGGCCTGTCCGTGTAGCCCTCCTTTTGCGGCGGTGCGTACGCTGGGGTTGGAGGTTCCTGGGGCACGACCATCATACCCTGCTCTTGCTGGTATGGCGTGTGTACGGGGCCGGTGGCGGGCCTCAGACGGGCCTTGACCTCATTATCCTGCTGAATAACGGCGCAGCAGTGACACCAAAAGGCAGTGCAGCAGTCGCCAAAACTGCTGCCCGGGATACCAAACCGCTCCCTGATCTCTGTACGCTTGAGCATTGTGTACACCCAGTGGAAACCCGTGAAAAAGCACAGGCCGCCGTGAATCAAACAGTCGTTGTTGAGGTCCTGGGCTGTCTGCATGGTTGGATCGCGGAGACGTTCTGAGGTCTGACCGACGACTACGTTTAGACACTTGTTAGTTCATTTGCTTCCCATATTCTTCTTTTTTTCTCTTTTCCTTCTAGAGATGACCGCAAGTGATTGCCGTCGTTTGTAAAAGGAGCAATGTGGAGCTGGGAACCTTACGTAGACACGGGATGCAGAATGATACCATACACGATGAGCAGGGCGAGCAGTTACATAGAGAGCTCTTCCACTCGCCGCCCATGTCCTGCTCAAAAGGCTGCTGCATTGGCTGCATTGGCTGTTGAGGTTGGTACGCCATTGTGAAATGTGTGTGGGGGGTTTTCTTTTCTTTCTTTCTTAATTTGATTGTTTGTTGTATGCGATTGCTTTGCAGTCGTTGACGATTGGGCAAGGAAAAAGTATGGAAATACTTGTTAATGTGAGGTATCACTCCGGACTCGATGACCAGGAAAAAAAGGGAAAGAACAAAAAAGGTGCCAGAAAATAAGGAAGGAAGAAAAAAAAGTATTTTATTTTTATTTTGCAAGTGATGATATTTCAGTTTAGGTACACAAGGCAGACAGACACGTGTGTGGATCTTAACCATCTTAGACCAGAGGGATGGGCGCAGCCAACAGCTGAATGACGATCACAACTCGAGGATTGGGCAAGATGGGGAAGTACAAGAATCAGCCCACTACCAACACTTTCTACGGCTGCACACGGTGACACACCTTGTGCTCCCCCTCCCTAAATCCAAACACGAGAGACAAGAGTTTCTCTTGTTCAGATCTGGAGATGGTGTTGGACGCCGGGCATTTACCTTACATAAAAGTTCCCCTGTTCTAGGCCTCTTGTGTTGGGAGCTAATATCGTAGATTAGGAATGGGCGCAAGTACTATTAGCACATATTGCCATTAAGCCGTGCGCCCGAAGGGGAGAGCTATGCTCAAAAGCACACCGCACCCTTCCTTTTTCGGACGGGAACTCATTGGTTGATTCTTTTTTTTTTTTTTTTTTTGGGCAAACGATCTTCAATGCCGCCCAGAGGCCGAGCATCCATCTGTGAAAATCAATCATGCCCCCATCAATTTACAATTGCCATGACGGACTTCCCCCCCAGCTTGGCAGACGTCAAAAAGAATTGAGATGAGCCCCCCTGTTCAATGATTTATGGGGGTGCATTTCAAAGGATGCGCTGCGCCGCTCAACAGGAGGGCAAATAGGGTAATTTAAGGATTTAGGGCTGATGGGGATCCCCCGCTAGGGGAACCACTTCTAGCAGGCAGATGGATACGCTATGCCGTACTGAGCGCACCCAAGGTATGCGCCAGGCACAGGCAGCAAACCTTCTTCTCCATAATATATTCTAGTCAAAGTCATGTTCTTCAAATACCTAGGTAATGAGCTCTGTTTTCCTTTTTGCCCGAGTTTACCTCGAGAATTGAGCTTGTCCACTGTGAGTGGCAGTGACATTTGAATGATCAATTAGTCGATATCCGGTGGGCTCACATGTTTGAAACGGAAGTAATGTGAAGTTCAAGGGGAGGCCCCCCAAATCCATCCTACTGCAAGGACAGCCATGCAGCCACGGAGAGAGCCTCGAACAATCAGGGCCTCCCAAATCACAAGTGTACCTTGTCGATTAATCGTTGAGCGGACAACTGAAATCTGTCAAGAATCTCCATCAATCCTCATACAGCAATTGAGTCATCCAACAAGAGGTGAATGACAGTACTTGAGACCGCTCCCGTGCTCTAGACGATCTATGATATGGGAGGACAGTACCGACAGCTTTGAGCTGGTTCAAAGAAACAAAGTACGAGAAAAGAATCAAGAAGACGGTAGCGTGTGCCTGCGCGATTCTGAAGACGGGCTCGATCGCAGGAATATCAGCACTGAGCAATGTGAGCTGATAGACACAAGCCTGATCATGAACCCGGCCAAAATACATACCTAGCGATAGAGGGCCGCCAAAGGTCGCGGTGGTGGCACTAAAAAGTGCGGGGAGATGGCGCAGTGTGAAGGGCATCGTGCTTGGCAACCTGCGAAATTGTAGTTTGGTAATCAAGCAATCGAATGATGAGTTATAACTTATTTAAATTTGAGAAAACTAGTTGGATACTTTCTCAGCATCAGTCAATTCGATGAGTGTGAGGTGTCAATGAGGTATCTAGTAGGAAAGCAGATGCAGGAAACATGCTGGAAATATTGTGCTCTGACACCTGTATGAGGACCATGTCACTCCATTGCTACATGACTAATACCATTTGGCAGACCCGTCTGCGACAAACATCTTGCAGTCATAGTCTTCATTAATTCACTTGATAAAATTTCGAGGTATTTACTGAGACATGATCTATTATACGGAGTTCATGTGACTTGTCTAGATCATATGCCGGGCGCAAAGTATCAGGGATTGAAAACGTCGTACACAATTCCTAGAGATGATACCGTTTTGAAATGACTTGATTACTGTCTGAATCAACATGCGTGTGCCTACAAAAAGTGCCTGATGTGTAAAACCATGTTCTGAAACGCTCTTGAACACTACATGTTACCACGTATTCGATTCATAAATACGTCGGGTCATATAAAATTGAATGTGTGAGCAACTACCGGTATAAGTAAGCTACATTTCATCCAAACGATTACAGACAAACACAATGCATACCGTACTGTACTAGGGTCGTTACGGCAGATTGGGACCTCCTTATCTGCTGTAGGAGATATGAGGAGGAGTCTAGAACATGCTGAGGCTGTCTCAATAGTATAATGTCTAAAGAAACCCAGACATGGCATGCTGAGTTCCATAATTAGTTCACGTGACATATTTTCTAATGAACTGTTGTTATGAAAGTGTAAACAGATGTATCAAATGAGCCTCTAATTCTCTGAATTGTTGATACATCCTAAGCGAGGAATGATCACGTAAAGAGTCTGTTTTACCTCATCTGCATCTTGTGTAGGCGTCATGTCTTTTCAAGTAAGGCAAGACCAGAAAAAGAATGCCAACGAGGGTGAGAAGTTTCCTTTGACGTGGTATGGTCTCAACCAACTCGAAACATTACTGATAGTAATACGATGACCATGCTGTTGTTTGTTGCATCTTTCCATGTGAGTTTTCCGGAGTATCCCTATTCGACAGTCTCACTACGGCCGGAAGGACACGTCCAAGACGGAGTGGCCACGATAGTATCAACGTCGTCTGATATTCCAAGTTCTCGAGTCCAATAAATGATTGCATGGTCGCTGTTTTGTACTAATAGAATTTATTTGTAATTAAGGATATCGTATCAAACAACGCTTTATTTGCTGCTTGAACTTATTGATTCTTCTTTACAACCAATCTTTTTTTTTTTAAAGGAAAAAGTGACTTCTTACAAGTATGTTGGGTTTTACTCTGCTCTTACTTGCCAGTGTTCGGCTCATTCATTCAGCTGCCATTGCAGCTGTTAAGTCGCTACCAGAGTGCGGTCAACATGCCGCTACACCAAATGCGACATGCCCGCTAAACGTCTGCTGTTCGCAATACGGGTTTTGCGGAACCACGCCAGAATTTTGTGGTCAAGGCTGTCAGTTTGCTTGTGAACAGCCCAAGCCCCATGGAGCCGAGAGCAATAGTCAGAAGCGGGTCATCGGATACTGGGAAGCTTTCAATTCGAATCAACCATGTGTAAGTATCACGGGTAACCTGTGCGCATTGAGCTTCAGAAGAATGACTATTTGTAGGGCATGATGCCGATTGAGTCCATACCGGCATCTTTGCTGACACACCTCAATGTTGCTTTTGCCTACATAACTCCCGACTACCAGATGACAAACATGGCTGGTGTTGCTGAGAACATCTATTCTGAGTACGTTCAAATTGACCCGAATCTTGCCCTCCTGCCGACGTGTAAGAATGACTACGCAGCTTCTGTCATGCAGAATACCAAGACCCAGAATAACTGACAAATTATTACAGTCTAGCCAATGTCAAGTCAAGGAACCCACGCATGAAAATCATCATCTCTGTGGGTGGCTACGGATTTAATGATCCCGGTCCCACACAGACATTGTTCTCTGATATGGTCGGAAATGCCAAAAGCCGTGCCACATTTATCTCCAGCATTCTAACATGGCTGGCGCAGAAAGGTTTCGATGGAATCGACTTTGACTGGGAATATCCGACTGCGCAAGAACGAGGCGGACGTCAAGGCGATGGGGCGAACTTTACGCAGTTCCTGAAAGAATTCAGAGAAGCCATACGTGAGATTGAGAGAGTCTGATTCTATTTCTTGTCAGGAATTCTAACTTCCCATAGATGACAGTGGCAAAGACTACATCGTCACTTTCACAGCGCCTGTATCCTACTGGTGGGTCGTTCCTATCTTTTATTCCTGGACTTTGGACTGACTCTAGTGATGACAAGGTACTTGCGAGGTTTTGATCTTGAACAAATGATGACATATGTGGATTGGGTGAACGTGATGTCTTACGATCTGCATGGCACTTGGGACCAGCAGGACCAATCTTCCATCAGTGGCCAGGTTCTTGCGCATACAAATCTTACGGAAATTGATAGTGCGCTGAATTTGGTAAGTATCACGCCTGCGCAGTACTGTGTTATGAATTTGTCACTAAAACTGGCATGTATCGTAGTTCTGGCGCAACAATGTTGACCCTGCCAAGGTGGCCCTGGGTCTTGGCCTCTACGGACGCACTTATACACTGAGTGACCCCTCATGCTATCACCCTGGTTGCGCAACCACGACGCCAGGGAAAGCAGGTCCTTGTACTGCACAGGATGGTATCTTATCCTATCGTGGTAAGCAGAAAAACCAAAGGGTGGCTTGGAACAAACAGGGACTCAATTTTAACATAATCTGCAGAGATCATGCAGGTGATATCAGACACTGGCGCTTCACCCCACACTGATGAAGCAGCTCGCGTCGAGTAAGTGCAAATATAGATCCTTAGGTTTACCTATCAACCTAAAAGCATGGATCACACCGGGCAACTAACCCGTTCATTGCATATATAGGTACATGGTCTACAATGACAATCAATGGGTTTCGTATGTCCACCATTTGCCCCATCTACGCCAAGTACATGTGTACAATGAATTTTCAACACAAACTGACTGTAGACAACAGATATGACAGCCCTAGGACTTTCAAGTCCAAGATTGAATATGCCAACAAACTGGGCCTTTCAGGCTTGATGGTGTGGGCAATTGATATGGACGATGACAATTTTAGTGCTTTACACGCTATAGCTGATGGCGCGATATCGAATACCACCACTGATTGTTAGGCTGGAACGATTCTACACCGAGTGAATGGTTGACTGGGCAATCTCTTTACTGTGGCAGCTGTGCGGGTACGAAGGGTATTAGCATGTCTAATACAAGCCAGAAGACCAGTAGGCAGGGTTCTCATTCTAACACGAACGATTTCATTCTCATAAATCTGGAACACGCCAGTCCTACAATGGTGATTCGGACTCATACTTTTAGATGCATAGCTTCCAGAACAGCTAGTATTTGGGCGTCGAGTCTAAAATCTAACAGCCGTGAGAACCCATGGACGTATTTGGAAGCGTGCTAGTCCGTAGGAAAACTTGACAAGGTGACAATTTAGATCCGAAATTGAATGACTCAACAATAAGGCATTACTGGTCATGCATAAGTATCCCCGGAAGCGATTTCGGTATATCTCACGGGCTCCTCGTAGTGTGTTATTAGACGCCCGGGTATAGTAGAAGAAGGTTCTTCATTGAAGAACGGTATAATGGAGCCACCAGATGAATGCCGTAACTAAAAATAGAGCGCGAGGTCTGTTGTAGACTATACTATATTGGAAGCTTGGCAGGTTCTCGATCCACTACATACTTGAAGGATCATGAAGCTTAGCACTAATCTCACCTAGGCCAAAACCTCTGTTGCTCTATTTCTTCATTTGGAGTTTGACAAACGCATACCAACAATGGAATTTGCGAATGCAAGTGGGTCGCTCGCATTCGATGTTCGCATTTGCATCCAAGTTGATGTTTGTAACGGAGAATAGACTAGTTTTCATATGGCATACAAAGTCTTTGCATTGTGATGTTGATATTGAAAGAGTTCGCGACAAGAAATAGATGCTATCTAAGCCCATCACTTGACCAAGTCTAGTTAAAGGGTTCATCCTACGATGCCAATCTTGCCATATTCAACACAAGACCAAATCTTTTCATAGCGAGTGTGCCTGCTCAAGTATGAGACCACGGCATCATCCGTTCTGATCGAGAAAAACGGGAACTGGATGAGGATGGCCTCTTCAAGAGTAAGACAAGCCATTGCGATCATGGATTTCTTTTTCACTATAAAGCTCACCTCTCGGACGTCTCGTATCCTGCTTTCTCTTCTCAAGCACTACATTACTCCAAGAACAACTTTCATCTACTTGCTCACCCTCAAACAAAACGACATCATCAATCATCAAATCATCACGCCTCGCCACCATGAAGACCACCACTACACTTCTGATGGGACTTTTCTCACTACTCCCAAGTGCACTTGCCGACGCCCCCGCCTACTGTGTGCCTCTGTATGAGGTTGATCAGGCCAATACCTACTACTACTACGATGAATCCACCGCCTGCAGCTCTGCGGGAGTGGGCACCAACTGCTGCGTCACTTTTATCACGGGGGGCACCTGTGAGCCCGACTCGTTTACGAGCGAAGAGGTCTCCAACCTGGAAAGTGCAGTCGGGCAGCAAGTCGCCAAAGACGGCCAGTTTGAGACAAGCACCGTCGGACATTGGCAGGCCACCTTTGCGACGCTCACCACGGCCATTGCCAACCAAAACGTCCTCACGGAATGGTTCCATGGCATCAACTCGTTCGCCGCCAAACCAGGTTCCATGCCTTACACAGTGCAGTTTGTTCTGGACGGAGATTATATGCAGGTCAACTATCAGTGTTGAGGCGCAGCTTTGGTCTTTTGGACTTTTAACAAGATGTTCGCTATTGGTTTACAGAGACCTTGATCAGCGTGGATGACGATGGTAGAGGCTATGGATAGCCGCAGGATTGATATGTGGCTGCGATTCATTTTGTCGATAACCGTGTAAAGGATCAGTGGCCGAAATAGCTTGTAGTAGGGACGATGGTGATAGTCAATATACAGATATTTGTGCTTTTTTTTACTATTAAAAAAAACGAGAAACGATAAAAGAAAAACGAACAAGATACAGCTGCGCATCAATTTTGTCATATACATAAATCCACGAATACCCCGTGCTACTTGTGGTTGTCGAATGTCAAATGGGACGAGAGGTGGTGGCCGAGACTGGAGTTGTGCTTCAGATTTGCCCTGGTAAGCGGCACGTCTGATCTGATTTCATCTTTGATATTAAGCGAGCCTCATCATCACTCAGATCCTAATAATGTAATTTTCACTGCTCTTGGAAATAGTTGGGGGGCCGTGTATCACGACCCCAATCCGAGTTCACATTGTCGTTCCATCAGTGCTACGGCTTCGTCAAACCTCTTGTCTCACCCTCCCTCTTCGCAATTGAGAGACGTGTGAGTGTGCAGTCACTAGGAACCCCGCCTGCACCCAGGGCGAAGCGTCGTATTGTACAGAAACATCCGCCCCTCCCTTTGAAGACGTGGGTTGATGAAATGCTTGGCACGTATACAGCTGAAGACTCTGACAGGCGGCTTGAGACAGGCTGTACTCGTCATTCGTCGCCTCTTCATCCTGCCTGGTCAGCAGGAGAAGTAGTATCAGAACGACCTCGAACTGCATTTGGCCCCAGGCTTCAGTTTTCGCCCCAAAACCCCTTGAAAAAGAAGTCACAAGATCAAAATGAACGAAATTAATGTTTGTGTCTAGAACTTCAAAAGGCCATATTCAGTGGAATTGCAAGTGCTGCAAAAGTCTTTAGACTGGCAGGAAGCAAGAAGTGTGGTTTGTAAAAGCAAAGCCCAATACAGGTGCCACAGACGTATATAATGTGTGTCGACAAAAGAGAGTTGTGCCGCACTGATGCATGCGATAGTGTCGCTATCGGATCGGTCGAATGATGCGTCCCCCTTTAGATGCAGAACAGGATTCAAGATTAAGGCCCCTTCACAATATGTAGCCAAACTCCTAAAAATAGACCCTTGCAGGTTTTTGACATTGAATGGCCGGGTGGTAAGGAATATAACACTCGAAGACCCAGCATGCCAGAGCCTGCTGGTATATGCTTGCTTTTTTACAACGATCTCTGCTGTTCTCAATCATGGTATTTCGTCCAAATTGCTCGTTGCCAGAATCGGCTCCGAGCGGGTTTGTTTTAAGCCCAAACGTTCGCTCGACTACCGGTATCGCCTGGAGCTGTGTGAGCATTATAATCCTCTCCACCTGGTCTGTCCTCTTCCTCTCTGTACCGCCTGATATCAACACGACGGGCTTTCGCCAGGAAATTCGAAGACAACTGTATCTGGCAGGGCGAAAGCTAGCTGGTATGTGCATAATGCTTGCATTTCCAGAGCTTATAACCGCCAATTGTATTGCAAACCTGCATGTTGCTTGGATCAACTGTGCTCAGCTTCGGCAATGGGCTGAACAGGACAATGTCCCCTGGTCCATGGCTCATACTCTTTTGGCCAATATTGGGGGCATCGCTGTGCAATTTTCAAACATCGATTGCGAGCAAGGTGTACCGAAACAGTGTTCATTGCAAAGCCATGAAGTCCCGGCAATAGCTTTGAACACTACAGCCAGTAATGATAACAAGGGACCGGGTCGGGTTGAAATCAAGTCAAATGCAGAGCCAGACACAAGATTTGCATCCAAATTAGAATCTGCTGGATCCCAAAAATGCGATCAGGAGATTCTCAACAGCACATTGAGCGTTAAAGATATCCCTAGCTTTCTGAAGGATTTCCAACGGAAGCAACAACGACGACTGGAGGGACATGGAGAAACCCCATGGAGACCGTATACACCACACCAAATACTTGCCACAAAGGTTGCAAGCGAGATGAAACTGAGTCATGGTAACACCAGGGTGTACAACTCTCAAAATATTGCACCATTGCAAGGCAATATCTGGATTCTGGACGCTAATCAACTGTGTCTTGCGCGGAGGCTTAACATTATCCGACAACTGCCTAGGATCACGCCAAACGAAATTGATGACAGGAGCAAAAGCGATGGCCTCATGAGATTCCTGGCAGTGATGCAACTTTCATGGCTCGCAGTTGAGCTCATTGCCCGCGCGACAGGCGGCATGCCCTCGGCAGCACTCGAAATTAGCACGCTGGCTTTCGCCAGCATGGCATCAATCATTTATGTCATCGAGTGGCGGAAGCCAAAAGACATTCGGGTTCCATTCTATGTGGATGCAGACAGCAACATTTCACAGACGGCATTTGCACAGGTCGCTCAGGTAGCGCCTATGCTCTACCCAACACCCAATCGACACTATTACATGCCAACGTATGTAATACATCAAGTCATTGACAACAAGTATTCTAAACGATATTTGGATCGAATTTATATGCTGTTCAGTGCCATTTGTACCTCTATATTCGGTGGAATTCACCTTTTTGCTTGGAATTTCCCCTTTCCCAGTCACATCGAGACGGTTCTTTGGAGAACTTCTGCCTTGATAGTTGTCGTTGTTCCCATTTTCAGCGTTCTTTCCATTGCGATTGAGAGTATTCTGAGCAACCATACGTCGCAAAAGACATGGAAATGGCCCGCCATGGCACTTACACCCATCTACTTAGCTTCTCGGATTTACATCATGGTGGAGAGCCTCCGCTCGCTTTATTATCTTCCACCTGAAGCTTTGGCTGCTACTTGGGCGCAGGAGGCTCCACATCTGTGGTGATGTCAATCTAGTCTTGTCAAGTCTTTCTTGACTTGTTGTGACAATGAGTGAGATTTGGGACGTAAAAATGCATTGCAACATCGGCAGATCAGCCAGGTATGGACGCAAAGGTACGCAGCCGATAATAATAGATAAAAGTCTACATACCTCCCGCGTCTTAATCAAATGTTAATTTGGTAGTTTCCGAAAGAGAATCGGAGTCCACTCAGGATTTCATGTAGCAGAAGAAGGTAAAAATTTGCATTGAAGGCACGCGAAATATGCTGAGGGGTGCTAGAAGGTCGAAGCCAGCCTCATGACCACACCCTAACCCGGACACGAACTACATGATGCTTGGCACTAACCTTGCGACTGACCCTTCTCTTGAACGCAGACCAAATGGAAGCTATGCGATCTCTGAACTGTATGCAAAAAAGAAAATTGGAAAGGAGGGTTTGGGTCTCAGGTAAACCGTGTACGTGATGTCATCATCAACGCCCTCCCCAGAGCTGACCTTCAGTCAAGCACCTCAAGCAATGCAAAAGAAAACAAGAATTGTATGATTCAGTAAATTAAATACAGGTGATATAGTTTGAGATAACTTAAAAGAACCTCGGGTTAAACAAAGAAGTCGAACTTGTCCACCTACATCGCAATGCCTTGTCTCCAGCAAAAAAACATCGACTCCATTCACTTATATACCTAAAGCACCTCAATACTAACGACGATAAAAGAATATAGACAGAAACTCTCTCCAAATCAATTCAAATGTTGCAGCAAGTGCCAAGTAAATCGTAGCTTCTTTCATGGAAAATGCCAAACGTGTAAGCACAGTTTCTGCGCATCTTGTGGCCCAGCACAGTAAGTGGTTTGAGAAAGTTGGCTTTCAAATTTGTACTGCACGTAATGATCACTATGAGAAGAACGGAGATAATATCAAAAATTGTATTCAGGTACAACAATGTGGCTATATCAATAGGCAGAAAAGATAAAAGGTTTTGTAGGTAGTATTCAAAGAAAGGCGAAGGTTGGCCCGGTGCAGATCACCCCCTTGAATGATTTTTTTTTTCTCCGGGGCAAAGATATTTGTAACTATAATCTGTCTACATTGTATGGTGAATATGGATGTTCTCGAGTATTTGTGACGGTAAGAGCACTCAACCCATCTCTAGAGACTTGCAGGAACTGTCAGAGGTCAATCTGGACTTGCCAGAACCTCTGGAATTTGTTTATTTGGCAGAGTTTAACATGACTGGAAGTCATAGAACTGTAAAAGAAGAGGAATGAAAATTTATTAAATATGTTAGTGAATTCATGCTATATTATGATAGGATGTAAAATTACTGAATCGTACCTAGGCAGTCATGATAACCTTGTACGCTGGCTGCAGCCTTTAACAGAAATTCTTCGGACTGTTATGCAGTATCAGGCAAGATATTATAACCACCAGGTCTATGTTACAAGGCTTGATTTATCAAAGTTTTGCATGGCATTAATGATCCTTTTCAAGCAGTCCGAGACTCTTGCCATGATAACTCTGAACGCACAACAATACCCTGAGGCGTATCGCTGCTGTTGTCGTCAGAGTCATACTTCATCACGCTGCTCGATACATTGACTGTTCGGGAGCCCGAGAGTTCGTTCATGGCAAACTGGTCATTCTTGCTCGTAGCCAACCTCTCGAATGATCCCTCGCCCCCCAACTCGCTTGTGCGAATCTTGGGCCGGGTGGTGCTCTTGAGTATCGTGGATTGGTTTGCATTGGAGAGGTATCCTTCCGAGCACGAGACGCTGGTGGTCTTGAGAGGGTTGTTGTAGCGTATGCGCCGGTAGACGGGGACGAGGGCGGGGAGGCAGCCGCTAATGATGGCCACATAAATTTCCACCACGGTCGCCATGGCCGAGGCGACAAATTGTTCTGCTGACGTTAGTTTTGGCCCTTTATTAGATTCATGTAAAGCCAAGTGTTCATAACATACTGGAAAAGTTGGTAACGCCCTCGTTATACATGGTCCCAGTGAAGACGGTGCGCAAGAGACTGGCAGTAAAGGCCCTGTATCGTATGGTTAGCCAGTGCAGATATTATGGCATGGTTCATTTGGATACTTACATTCCACCAAGGAGGAAGACACCAGCAATTCCCCACTTCTTGCTCTTTGACGTGTGCAGCTTGAGGATCTCTTGGATGGGGAGGAACAAGGTTGCGAAATCGATAACGACATTGACGGCCGAGTTGGCGAGGAAGAAGAGCACGGGATCAAGACATTTTGTACTCGGATCGGCACGTAATTCAAAGTTCCAAAAGGCCTGGAGAGGTACGCATTGAATCAAGTTAACAATCTGACACGAAAGCGCCCAGCCGAGAGTTACAAGTCCAAGTATCCAGCAGCCCAACTTGACCCTGTGAGTTGGGAAGATTCGCTTGTAAAAGGCAAGGAGAGACAGCTTGACTAGGGCGGAACTGAAGACGTAGAATAGTTCCGCTGCAAGGAGGGACTTCAAAATGTCAGAATATATAACCTCAAATGTGATGCGAGATGCTCAGCTCTTACTTTGTATAATTCTGCGATATCACTTGGCTCCTCAGCGACAATGACTCGAATATCTCGTCCGAGGCCACCACGTTGCGTCATGAATCCAACAGTAACAACGACGGCATGATGTGCCACCAGCGATGCCAACGTCAACCAGTCGTCGAGGCCCCATGGTGTACCCACCAGCTTTCTTGACCAAAACCGGAGGCCCACGATGACTGTCGAAACAAAGCCGAGGACACACGAACTTATCAACAGGGCTGGGCCATCATCAGAGTAGTCCATCGAAGAAGTATTATCTGTAGACATGATGGCAAGTTGTTTCCCATTGGGCAGATGGGGTTTCGTGGCCCGGATTGTTTAGACAAGGATCTGTCGGAGAGATGAACAAGGAAAGTGGGTTGCCGAATGCATGATCAGGATGAGGAAACTCGATTCTAGCAGTTATATGTTAATGCAAGGATAGAAAGTTGTACTAAAAATGTCAGTCGATCGACCCCTTTTCAACGGCCAATCTTGGGCAAGATGTGTCATCCTCATTTCGGTTTTCAAAGACTATAATAATCATGGGAAAGGCCTTGTAGATGTCAACCAACCATTTGAGTCGAGACACAAAAGGTCGTATGGTAGCAGTGGTACCCAGCCATCCTAGTGGGCGCAGGTGAGATACCAAGGGAGGACCAACATGTGTCAAGTGCATGTCATTGAACTCTATTTGGAAGCCGTCTCCCAGCCTGGAACAAGCACCAATCCAGTGCTTACTAAATGCCGCGATCTTGACATGATCGACGAACTGGTCTGATAGGGCTAAGGCTTAGCTGGGCCCGAGCCCCTGTACGACCTGAAAGCGGCGCCTTTCAGCAGAGGGCTAGAGCTCCGTAGCGTGCGCTTCCCCGCGCACACAGGTGAGTCGGTGATACTGTCGGGCCATCTCCCGGTCTATAATCGGGGGCCGCGTCAATGAATATGTGGTTCCAGACGGAAAGTACCCGACGGCCAAACGCCATCGTACGGTTCATCTCCTCTTAGTAAACAGCTACGGACGCTCTGAGATTTGCGGATGCCAAACGCCCGCTGATACCAGCAGAGTGGTGCAACAATAAAGATAAGGGCGTCGATAAGTGTCGCGGGTGAGTTGCACTGACTCGTGGGTCTCTTGAGGGCGGAGTAGTTCATGACACGCTTTCGGCGAATATGGCCAGTGTCAAGGATCATCGTTGTCGCTAATTCCATCAAGATTGCGGAGTAATCTTTGTCCATGAATGACTGGAATGGTAATCTGTAGTCAAATTGTGCTTCGTTGCCAGACATTGATTGAAAATCAGAGTCTGCGTGGTACGGACTCAAAGGTCCCTTGATCAGCCCGCCGATACCTAGTTGAGATAGGCCGGACCGTCTGGTTGGTGCCTCCCCCTGCGCGTGGCTTGACGCCTCGTCGCGGTACTCATCTCACTGCCGATAGCTTTTGTGCGAATTCGAATTTGACGTCAAGGCTAGTTGCCAGACTCGTTCGTGGCTTCTGCGCTTGGGTGTCCTTTGCAGAGCGACGGTTCTATCAACATTAATACTGCGCAGGCTAAGGTCTGCTGATTGCAATATCAGTGATAGAAGTTGTTCTTGCATCGCGGCCGTTGAGACGACAATCTGGGACAACCCCATATCGTCCGCCAGGTATCACACCCGACTAATCAATTCATTGGACATCCTCCCTGGCCTTTGCAACGGCACACCGACCAAGACGATTCAGTTCCTGCAACAAATCGACAGCATCATTTATTTGGTCTTCGGTCCTCTCTGAAAAACAAGGACCTAGTAAACTTCGAAGTAGCCTGGTGGCCGTGTCAAGATGCTCTATCCATACACTTGATCGAGGACTGCGGGGATGGCTGAGCATGTCGGAAAATAGTGACAGAGCTGCAACAGATGTGTAGAAGCCTATATGACTGTGGCCCATGTTAGCAGAATTTGGCAATAGACTGTCTTATTTCTTAAGGCTTACGTGGCGTTTTCCTTTGCTAAGACAGCAGCTGAATTCGCAATGTAGTCCAACGTCGAGCGGCTAGCCTCCAAGGAGATGTCACAACTGGAGTGTATGGCGCTGTGAAGATCGTCGGGAATGTTCCCGGAAACTATGCTGTCGGCACCGCACCTTCGAACCGTGGTGTGGACGACTGTCATCATGTAGTGATATTCCAGCTGCAAGTAGACTCGTAGCGTATCCTCTGCGCTGCCTGGCAGCATAGTTGGTGCAGCTACACGAGTGGTGATGGAGAGTTTCGGCCGCAACTCCATCGTTATAGATGACCTCCAAACTTCGATCGCGTCGTCTAGCTGGCGGATGCAAAGCAGCACAGCTGCATCGGCCAATTTGGACGCACGGTACGAAAATAGCTCTCGGTAGACCCTCTCTTTCAAGAAGCAAAGATTCAAGCGATGCGGAGAAAACGAGAGGAGAGCAATTTGAGTTTCGTTCCCATAGGATCCTTGACTTTGTGCAGAAAAACAGGCAGGTGGCGTCAAGTCACAATGTTCCTCTGTTAGAAGAGGAGGTTGTCCTGAGCGAAGGGATACATCCTTGTCCGACATATAGCACAACCAGAATAGCCTTCGCAACAGAGGCCCATCATGGTCCCATGCCAAAGAGCTGCCAGATGGGCACGGCAAACATACATGTCCACCAAGGGCGCAGACCATGCGGCAGGCAATGGAGTGCAAGACATTGACGCTGCTGTTTCGCTCATTTGACCAGTAAAAGCGTTGCTGTTATCCTGTGTGAGTATCACGAGGATAAAACGGTTGTGAATTGTGTGAGACTGCACCTACAAGCATGAGCACGGTCTGAAGGCCAATAAGACTTGGCTGCTCAGTAACGTATCCCAGGAGTGACTGCACTTTAGCTGCGTACATGCGCCGGACCATTTCATCACCACAGCCCATCAATGCAAGGGCTGCCATGACGAAGACTCTGGCCGCGCTTTCCGACGGTGGGAATGATCCGGAGCGAGACGATGCGTTCTGCGTTTGCTCGTAAGCCCTTCCTAAGACCATCTGGAATGAATTCTCATCAAGAATGGGAAAGGCAGAGTGGAGAGACGACTTGAAAAAGGCGGCGGCCATTTCCTGGACTGTCTTTTCGGCAGGTAATCTCCATAGCTCCTCGTTGGGTACGCGTGATGGGAGGGATGATTCAAGGATACTCGGATAGCATTTGAACAAACGCAGCATGCTAAAGGTAAAGTCTTGGCCCGTCTTTGATTGGATCCATTGCTCGCCTCGGTCGGATAGTAGAGGCAAGCCCATGCAGTACCAATTTTGTCCCAAGGAGCACTCGACGGTACTATTGTGTGCCGGAACGAGTGGTGAATTGATTGGAGTACTTGGAAACGAAGGAGTAGATCTCTGCACAGCAGTCAATTCGTCTGACAGGCCACGAGAACTACCTGAGAATCCAGACTGAATTAGGGGTACGGGTGTTGCAACAATATCGAAAGATGCGTTCTGGTCACATTGCACTGAGGCTTGACTATCAGAGCGACTATTGGCCACGGTACTCTCGAGTTGCTCGACCCTCTTCAACAACTCCTGCACATCTCTCAGTTTAGCTCTGAGACGAGAGGCGAGAATTATCAGTCATTGCGCGCGGAGAAACCCATTGAACAGCCTCTCACCTGTTCCTCTTTTTCTTGACTTGTGTTTCTCGTGTGTATGTACACGCTAGGTTATGTTCGCTGCACCAGTCGCAGGCAGACTTTTCGTCTCCGACGGAACATTGAATCTGAAGGGCGAGAAGGCGTATTAGCGGACATGTCGACATTGCAGCAGGCCAGGGCGGGCAGCACACCTTTCTTCTATAGCACGCATCACAGGCGCGCTTTCGAGCCATGACTTGAGGCTGGTATCGAAACCAATATCAAATCCGGCCCCAGAAGTCGGTCAGTGTTGCGTCAAGAATATCTGGCCGTACTTGCATGGATCGGAAGCTTCTAAGACGCCGCTTACAAAGGACGCATTTAACTTAACCTGAATGGGGAAAAATGTCTCGCAGGTCGCGCACAGGGACCCAGGGCAATCCAAGCTAGCGCCCCGGGGGAGGTTCTCCAGGACCCTGTCGCCCACAGAGATCAAAGCTACACTTAGTCATCGGAGGCTTATAAGTCGCCGTGTATGCATACAACCAACAATGCACAAGCTCACTGACCAGAGTATAGAATTATTTAAAGATCTCGACTTGGGTCATTGATCGAAATGAAGACAAAAAAAGTTTGACGGTTAACCAACATTTTCCCCTTCCCAATATTCTATTTTTCAACATCCATCTGAACCAGCCAAGGTATCATGATGGCACACCTTGAAGCGCAGTGGACGCAACTCACAGCCAACCCACGCCTGCAACGATCTTCGCAATGTTTGTCAGTTATTAGTTCCCAGGCTTACATTTTCGGCGGCGAGTTGCTCCCGAGACAGCCCGTTTCGAATGAATTTGATGTAGTTACACTCGACAAGAACAATGGTAAAGGCCCATCAATACTTTGTTATCTCAATTTCAAAACTAATCTCATGACCAGAAGCTGCTGCTACAACATTGCCCGTACCTCGTGGTCCGGCACCCATCCCACGAGTTGGCTCCACTACGGCAACAATAGACGGTGCCATCTACATGTTCTCCGGTCGGGGTGGTCTGGACATGGCACCGATTGAGGAGAAAGGTTCATTGTGGCGATACGATCCGATCGGATCTCTGTGGGAGCTGGTCGAGCCTAGTGACCCGGCTGCTGCATACCCGCCCGGCCGAAGCTACCACGCAAGCACATCGGATGGTGCCAAGAACATCTTTATCCACGCAGGGTGCCCCGAGAACGGCCGGCTATCTGACCTATGGTCTTTCAATATCCAAACCAAGACATGGACGGAACTCGAGGCTGCTCCATCACCACCTCGGGGCGGTACCTCGCTAGCTGCACATGAGGGAAAGCTATACCGCATGAACGGCTTTGACGGCAAGACGGAGCAAGGCGGGGCGCTTGATGTCTACGATATCGCCGCCCGCAGCTGGTCCACCATCTCTTTCAGCCCTGATGGCGTGCAGGGCCCAACTCCTCGCAGCGTCAGTGCCTTGTTGGTCGTTCGCATCAATGGGCGGGAACATGTAGTGACGCTCTTTGGCGAAGGCGACCCCAGTGCACTTGGCCATGCAGGTGCTGGAAAGATGTTTGACGACGTATGGGCATTTGACCTAGTCTCCCAGAAATGGTCCAAAGCCACTCCAACTGGTGCTCAGCTGCCAGCTGCCAGAGGTTGGTTTGACGCAGATGTAATGGGAGTGGACGCGGATCAACAGTTTGTAATTGTCCATGGTGGGCTCGCAGAGGACAACACTCGGCTCGGAGATGTTTGGAAGTTGAGTTTGCAATTCAGGTAATTGGGTATATTCCTAGACAAGTGGCTACATTGAACATATGTTTTCGCGTTAGTAAAGTCATAACTTGAAGCCGTTCAATATTGATCTTACATCACTGGTTGATGCTTGACAAATAAGTTACCCATAGTTTCTTAATGTAAGGTTTTATTTGTCGTTGCAATATTCAATGCGACGTCAGACCGAACAATGAGGCTCCAATGATGTTGTCATCGCGGGATGTCGTTGGTCAGACCTGCATACTTTACGCCCGAGGAGTAAACCCCATGTTGCATTGCGTGGAGCTAGGATTTATGCGCTGGGGGCGGTATGGGATCAAACCCCCACAATGTCGGGATTTTATATCTCGTGGTAAGCATTTCGGCCCCAAAGTCGTAGCAAAGGAGTTCGCTGAATTATAATTCGAATAACTCAAGGCTGGGTAAACCAGGAGAATCGTGAATGAGTCCTACGCTAGTAGGATATAATAGTTTGCTTTGACGAAATTTAATTCTCATGACCATGACCGTCGGTGATTATCTCAAAATGTTCAATCATGAATCGGGCCTCGAAGTTGCATCACACCATCAATCTAGATCCGGTGGTCTCGAGGTAATCCCTAATGAGCTTGAAAGCATCCCCACGGCACTCGATTCATGGCACGCAATTCATGGGCCCTCTGAGAAAGAAGGCCAACAACCTCAAGCCGATACTGGACTTGGGGCAGAACCATCTAGCTCGGGACCAGCAAACAGTTCTCATGTCCGCAAGACTCGGAGGTTCTGGATTATCTCTCTGATTGTACTTATCCTCCTGGTTGTTGCTGCGACTTTGGGCGGCGTGCTTGGCAGCCGTGCGCGAAATCAAGCGCCAGGCACCTCGGACACTTCAAACTCCCTTCCCAACCCGGGCGAAGGAAACAGCAGTACGCCACTGACAATCCGGAACAATTCGATGCTATCCATTACTGGGCACCTAGAAGAAGACGGTGGCTGGACGGCCAGGTTGGTCTTTGAAGGGCCAGACGGAAAATTACGGTTCCTGGACCGCAGTGGCCCCGATGGCTTCTGGTCTGCCGTGACAATACTAGATCGAGTGCCTTTGGCACCTAATGGATCTTTCACTATTTCTACATACCTCATTGGAGGGGTAAGCACTTGGATCACGAACAATGTGATATTGAGATCTTGCTAATGACATTGTGGATACAACTAGCTGTCGGCGCCCCAATATCAATTATACTACGCGACAACCTCTGGCCAAATGTGCGGACAGGTCTTCAAAAATGGGTCAACGCCGATAGACGGAAGTCCAGACAGCATCAATGCATTGAACTTCACAGCCCCCGATGGAACGTCCATGGCGTCATACTTTCCTTATATAATGGTTCAAGATCAAGCCAGCAACCAGATGATGTGGTATGGATACAAGTATCAAATACAAAATGGCTACTTTGACTTGACAGCAGAGTCCCAACCTGTGCTCGCAAGTAGCCACACGTCCATGGTGGTTCTTCCAGTAAATGCCTGGATGTACGAAAACATCAATATAACTTTGCTGGCTGGATTCTTCTATCGGACGATGGAGGGAACACTGGCTTTCGCCTTGGGTCAACCCACGGTGCCCGGTGATCATCCAAGCTTTTTGCTGTGGAACACGACTGCGGGCGGTTTCCCCAACGTATCTCTGCCGGAAGGGGGCGCGATTAGCGGCTTTGCGTCGGGGAGGGTGATACGCAGCGAGCAAGTAGACACGCATCTTCTTTACCAGGACGGCAACGGCACCATACAGGTTCTGTGGCAGGAAAACGGCAAGGATTGGCAAGGACCCACCACCTTTGACGCTTTTGACGGTGCAGATATGGGAACATCGATTGCGTGTCTAACCTTGGGGGCCTACTCGCGAGACGGTGGAATGCATGTTAATGTACCCAGCAACTCGGACACAAACAGGTGTTACTTTCAAAGTCAAGGTGGTTTAAAGGAAGTTTGGTACGATGGATATACTTGGCGAGATTGTGGATTTATAGCAACCGGGTGAGATATTTGAGAAAGCATTTTATTCCCAGTCTTTTATTTAAAAGTCATTGTATTACTCAGCCGATTTACGACGCATCATTAAAGCGTATTTCTCATCTGAGCCAATTTGAAAATCAGCTACGTTTTCCCTTTCACGTTGGCTCAGGTGAGAGAAACTTGAAATTGAAACCTGGAAAGCCATGATTCTATCTCACCTGAGTTAATGTGTGAAGGGGAAGATAAAGACGAGATGATTGAAGAAGCATTGAAAGACATCTGAATTGATCTCTAGTCTACAAAAGAGAGGTGCTGAAGAGCTAAATATACACCCAATCAGGTGATCTGCGGTGGGTACTGACTACGGCAGTGCAACAATTTACATTGTCTACAGATGTGTTGCTGCCTTAGATAAACGTACTTGAACCTCATGCTTCTTTGGTCTTCCCCTCCATCCTTTTCACATGGTTTCCTGCTCGCTTGAATATCTCGTCACAGAAAGCCTTGATTTCAGGGTCTTCTTCTGTTTCGTCTACATACTTTTGCGCCTCCAACAAATCATCCAAAACGTTTCTACATATATCGTTGAACTGTGCTAGTGAGTAATTCTGTGCCAGTTGCTCTTCCATTCGCAGGCTCTCCACCAGCCTCTGCGCTCGTACCTGGGGGTCTCGACGCTTTGCTAAGAGATGCTCCCTTTCTTCCGTTGCTGATTGACCAATGGCCACTGCCGCAGATATGTGGCAAAGGCATGTTTGTAGAGTTTGTGTCCTGTACGACCCGAGACTTGGCTGCTGCCTCGAGATCACGTTTTCAAGGATTTTGAATGATTGCTTTATCTTGAAGTCGTGGATCTTGCTAATCCTCATCTTTGACAGAGATACCACTCGCGCTTTGCTTCCAGAGCCAAGGGGTGATCTCCTCGGAGATGAATCTCAGTACCAGAATACCTGAAAACTTTCTCAAAATGCTGAAAAGCGTCATGAAACAAAGTAGATTAACAATCACGAGAACTATATATGCACAAGTAAAAGTCTAAGTAACCTCTAAATCCTGAATGCATAAAAAGAAGTTTCTTCCCCCCCCCCCCTACCCAAAAAAAAAAAAAAAAACCGGGCTGTCAAACAGAGGAAATCTATCGCGAAGTGACAGGTCGGAGTAATCTCGGCTGGTCTTGATTCCATATCTCCAGCGATATAATGTAGGTTATTCATCTTTCGGAACAATTGATAATTCATGTGCCAGGGAAACCGTTCGAGTGAGAGAAATTGATTTTCTTTTTCTCTTCTCCATTCCAGGTCTTTCTCCTTTGTTCTTCACTTGAGTCACACCAACCATTTATTCACCTCTTCTATGTCGACGAAGAACTTGGGGTGGGATAGATATATCTCTCGTACTTTCGAGGTTCATCTCGGTAACGTGGCTGTCCTCGGGAAGGAACCAAGGCACGTTTGTTGTCATAGTCGGCATAATTCCCCGCCCACCAATCGTCCTCATCATCCCTAAGCTTTCCAGGAAAGAATTCATCCCTGAGGGCCACACCACAATCATAAGTGCGATGAAAATCCATTATACCATCCATCACCTTTCGTGCTACAATATGTTCCTTTTTACGGAGAGGAATGTTTCTCATTCGTGGTGACAGCTCTTTCGAAGCAAGCCATGCATTCTGAAACATGCCAATTCCGCCAACGGAGAGCAGACACCAAGAATCAGGAAAGGCTTTTGCGGCTGAAACATTGATAAGAAGGAGAAGCCATAGAACTGAAAGGCATCCATATGAGATCTTCGTTATGGCGAATCCCAATGGAGATTTCCCCAAAGGCCAGAATCTGCGAGCGAGTGGCTGGCTACGCCAGGTGTCGTTTCTGCCAGCGGATTCAATGTCTTTGCTGCTCAAAGGGAGACGGCGCTTGAATTTTTCCCACGGTCGGCTATTCTGTGGCGTCTGCGGACAGGCAAGTGACTCCAGATCGAGGCAATTACCGTAGCCAAAGATAACCATCACATCTCTCGAACCATTCCCTCCGGTAAGTGCGTAAATAGATCTGGAGTTCTGTCGGTGCGGCAACTTTTCAGCTGTCCATTGAGGCAGCGCACCTGCCCATTGAACGAGAAATGTGCCGATGAGGACAATGAGAAGAATGTTCCAATCTTGATTCACTCCGTAGGGAATCATTGATATTCCGATTTGAAGCGCAGTAACGCCAAGCCCAACTAGGTGAAGTTTTGTCCATGAGAACCTGGAACACCCATTCGAATTGTAGACGGCCTCGAAAACCGTAATCTTGATGGCGTAGTCGCGATCAGACTCTGAGAGCTGGCGTGTCTCATGGGCTTCCAAATCCCTTAAAAGGCGACCGACAATAAAACTCTTGCTCTCCCGACCATAGCCAGACCCCAAATTGAATACTTTGCATTCGTAATCGGGTGGCGGGAGTAGGCGTCCGTGGCTAATGATATTGACCCAGCCCATGAAAGCGTATGCGACGCAGCCAAATGAAAAGCATACGGGGACGTAGAGCTTTCCTGTACCCTGCGCAAAGGCGCGCTGAACGACATCGCCACCAATTATCATCAAGACGCTGAGAATATCGACGGGATTGGTCCACTGAGAGGCTAGAGAATTTTGCACGCTCGTGGACTGATTTCCGAGATTTCGAAGCCAATTATCCATGTTCACAAAAGCGTGTCACAAGGAGGTACAGAGTATTGGGGGTGGTCAATTCACCACATTCACGATCTTGTTTGAGATGGTAGGATAGAATGAAGAGATCCAATCCCTCTCGAATCCGGACGACCTGGGCCCGCTCCTAAAACACAGAACTGGCTGGTAAAATTCGAGGCAAGTCAAGGGCCGCGTTCTGGTGAAAAGATTTTGATGGTAATCACGTAATATGATGTTTTGGAGATGCACACTACCGAGCTCATGTGTCTTTGTGGTACGCAAAAGGAAGACCTTTCAGATTTTGCCTTCTGGATAGCTGTTGGCTGCCCAGTAGGACTGTGTTGCGGCACACCAGCTCCTCCTGCAGCCGTCAAAAAGCACCCACACCGAGCCTATTAAAGCGACTCTCCCTACTCCTGAGTCTAGGCGTCTCATCATGCATCCATCCACCCAATAAGCAAAAGCTCTGTTAGATAGAAAACTTGGCATCCTGAGGCGCATTTCAAAGGTGCCTTCTTGGTTATTTACTTCTGTGCCCGAACTGGGCTATGCATTGCCGCAGGTTTTTCCGTCAGCCTGGGCGGGGTCGTGCAGGTTCAGCTCCCGACCTGTAGCTGTCGGCGATATCACGCCAGGGGCCCTGGGGAGGAATCATTTTCGAAATTGTCGGTATGCAAAGACGGGCGCCAGTCTCAGCTGGATCCACGACTGCGGGTTCGTGACCAATCAGACCTGCATTATAAGTAGTGTTGGTAGGGTTCAAAAGTAACCCTGGTGATCGATTTTGTTCGCGGCCAAGTTTTAAATCGTTTGAATGTCTGCCTTTGGAGAAATATGTAGTTTCCAAAAACAGGATCGGTTGGATAACAATCGCGTTATTGGGGAGAGCTAACGTCCCTCAATAGGCATAGGTGAGTTCCCAACCCGGGTATGGACGCAGCACTTAGCCTGACACAAATACTTGGACGCAGACGCAGATCTTGGCTTTTTTGTACCATTAAGTACCGTCCCAATTACAGCCTTCTCATACATAGTACACCTGCATATATCAACAGCCCACAACTATTGAGTTCTTCGACAGAACCCACATTAGGATGAATGATATCATTACAATACGAGAAAGTACGATAGAACTATGAAAAGCAGCAGTTTCAGTGCTATACTTGTCACGAGAAGCGACGTAGTAAAGGAGTCTGCATAATGTAGTATAGATTGATTGTTTAAGGAGGGATTCCTTACTAGCAGTGCTGAAACTGCTAATATGTTTGCTAGGTTATCACTATGACAGCCAACAAGTGCTTGCATACTGCAACAATTAGCAATAATTCAACTCGGGGGCTTTTTCCCCCCTCCTGTTTCCTTTAACCTCTTGCAGGCTTCATCTTCCCGAGTCGCGCACATGGCAGTAAGAAAAAAGCTGAGCGGTAACAGCAATATCATTTTTCCGGGTTGAAATCAATTTGCCCCTAACTCCTTAAAAGTTTGTTGTACTAAGTGATCAGATCGGCTTCAATTTGGCAGTAGAGCATTCTTGGTTGCGCGCTAAATATACCGCCATCGTGTTCTTCGTTAGCATAAGGTTCGGCGCGCTCTCAGCCGTAATGACGATCTCCATAGCAACCCCAGCACGTTGCACATCTGGGGTCAACATTTCATGATACTATTGTGCAAATCGATTTGAATCTCTACCAATTAATAACAAATTCGAGGCAGATCTGAACTACTATTTGTAAAGTTCAAGATGGTCGACGGGAAATCGAGTCTAGCGCCCACTAAAACCCATGCTAGACTATAGTCCATTGCAGCGTATCGAAGGTTGATCTTTCTATACTAGTGCATTAAGCTTAGAGTCTATCGATCTGCTTTTCGAGCCGCAGTGGGTTCACGAAAAACGTTACTATTGGCCAAATTGCAAGAAATAAGATCGAATACAGAGATAGATCTTCATATACTTGGTAGTGGATATAGATGATCGTGAGATCCCATGTCCAGATCGATACGCGACAATCCACAGCAGTCAAAAAACCCTCACGATGGAGTCATGGCTTCTGAAAGTCAAACAAAGCGGGTAGTGATCATCTGCAATCAACCTCGACGCCAAGGATTGAGCATCGCAGACCTGTTTAACACATGTCATTCCTCGACGATCCCTAAGCCAGGACATCGAACGCTGGAATCGAGGAGCTGGGGCGAAAGGGAGAACATGAACTCAGTGAACAATGATGAGTTGCTCTATAAAAGACCTCACAGGGCCTCCTTGTTCGATAACTTTTCTCAGAGCATCTTCCTAAGCCATCGACTCACATACCCAAGCTCTCGATTCCATCCATTGAGCCACACAAACACCATTGTTCAAAATGAAGTCTTCCATGATGAAATCCGCAGTTGCTGCCTTGGCACTATGCAGCAATGCTGTCCTCGGCGCTCTTACTGCAGAGCAAATTGTCGATAACATCAATACCTTGGCACTCAAGTCTCAGGACCTCCAAGAGCCGGCGACTTCCATCACCGCCGTGAATGGACCCCTCCTCGCTGTCGGCCAAGGTCCCATTCCAGTAAGCTTTACCTGGCAGTCTTCAATGTGAAAGAGTACATCGAGGTTGCTGACCAAGGTTGAAAATCTTAGCAAGTTATCAACGGATTCAGGGATATCATTCAAACAGCAACCGATGACTTTTCTGACATGAAAGGTACTGCGGCGATCACTGAAGCCGCTGATCAAGACTCTATCTACGACGCATTTCGCGACTTCGTACGTGCTCATCAGGAGGTTCTCAACACTCTTACCGGCAAAGCTGCTCTATTCTCAACTGTTCCATTCATTGGTCAACCGCTCGCCGCGGTCTTGCGACAGGACGAGTCTGTTCTTGATGTAAGTAGCCTTGTTCTACATGCTGAAACTCTCAACCTTTTCTCCCTTCGTAATGCAAGAAGCCGTCGTATACTAATGCTCATCTCAGACGTTGACGTTCAGCCTGATTGACTTGATCCAGTCACGCGCAGCAGATATTGACAGTCAGGGTCAAAACTTGAGCAAGACGGTCGCCACTTGCATCGATGCGTATTCGGGTCTCTAATTGAACAAATCAAGCTCACCTCAAGGTAGCAATGTTACTTTTGGCAAGTTCCGGCAGGAATACGTGGTAGCAGAGTAATAGAATAGAACAGTGGCCGAACCACTATATGTCCATAATGTTTACATAAATATATCCTTCTCTATAAAATTAAGTGCGAGGCTCGGCCAAGACAGTAGAGAGTAAAGCAAACTGTACGAATAAAGCCACGGTTGTGTTGGAGGTGTCTCACCGATTGACAGACGTGAGATGGGCCGGTCAACAAGATATAGAATAGCTATTAATGCGTGGAGTCGCGTTAGGGAAAAGCACTGACGCCAAACAGCCAATGTGAGGCGAATAAATTTACAGAAGGCGGTGTGATTGTACCTATGCGTGGCTACCTACTGACTATATAGTGTTCGTAGCTACCGCCAATATGGAAGAGCACTGGGCTTGGACGCGTCAAGAATGAGTCGTGCTACTACAACGTTGACGCAGCAAACCCCCGGCATATTACAATCATGAGAGTTTGACGGCGGTGTTGCTATCTTCATATGCTGCATGAGCATATAGTTAGTAGGGTCTCTGCTCCTGCGTCCAATCATTCTAATCTTGATTGGAGCACAACGACGTCGACTTCTGCTGCTCCTACAGCGAGCGGGATTTCAAGAATGTCGCGTTCCCGTATCTCATGGACTTTGATTAAATTGCCAGAAACATAAACTCCGTAAACTCCTGTAGGGAGATTGACAACCTTTGGTGCAACACTAAAAACATTACAACGAATTAGTCAGAGGCATGGCAGTTCCCAATAGACTATGTGCTGAAACAGAAAGAACTTACAGCCTGGTTATATCATTCCAACTCTTCATTGTGAGCACAAGTGTCCCGTGCTCATCCAGCCATTCGCCGCGCAGAAAGTCCACGCCGCTAGAGAGGTCCACGCCTTCGATTTTCGGATACTTTCCGTGGTGCTCTTCAGCCCAGGGTTGATCCCACATCTTCTTCTGCCCATCTCTGACGTTCAAACGCCCATAAGGAATGCTCGCATTGCCAGAGAGCGGGTCCATCACAACCCAGTTACCTTCAGCATCGCTTAGTGGCATGTCCCTGCGTGGATAGTACAATCCACCTTTTTCCCAAGTCGGGTTTAGATATGTGTCAGCGTGGCATAGCAGACCTTCCAAGATGTCATCTCCATCCTGATCTTCAATCGGAGCTACCTCTGAAACCCATTGAACCAAGAAACCGAAATCCATCGATGGACAGGCAGGCCCCATCGGAGTGGGCATATGCTGATTTGAGAGGTCTGTTCGTGCGACTGACAGCGCTCGTTGAAACTCTTCAGGCGAATTCGTAAGCTGCTTGGGGGAGCCTCTGTCGATTGGAATGATTGTTTTTAGCTGTTTGATCACCTTCTTGTTGTTGAAATTCACGCGGCCATCAGGAAACTTGGTCAGAAGGCATCTCAAGTGTCTTGAGAAAACACCATGGACGAACTCGGAGTTCCAAGAATTCATGAACGCAGAGGCCCAGGCGTTGGCTGCCACACCCAGGACATTGTGCACTAGTACGTCTTGCTTGACCATCCAGAATTCGATGAATCCGTCCTCGCCATCCTCGGTCTTACGGGTGAAACCACCTGCCCTGGCAAGCCACGCAGCCTTGTAATTTTCCAAAACTTTCTCGGCGGTAGAGGTACCATCACGAACGTCATTATACCGCATCGCTATGATTGGAAACTGATTGCAGATGACGAACACATTATTCGGCTCACAGCAGACGCCCATCCATTCGCTCTTCTCCATCTCATCGATAATGGCGGCCTGCAGAGAGGCGCGGTTGTATTGGTACTTCTGAGATCCCATCCCCCAAAATACCGGATCCCACTCAAACGTCAAAGAGGCTTCTCTTTCGTACTTGTCAGAGTTGAACAGCATCGCATATAGGCTTACCATGAGCAACAAGTGGCCACTGAACATGATATTCTCCTTTATAACCGGATCAGGCCATGGCTTGCGGAGTTCCATGATGTCGGGATCAATCCGTTTTCCGGACTGCGAAGTGAGATACCAATATCCCCACACGTCCCGCAGCATCATCTTGTGGATTAGCTGTTCGAAAAGAACGCGGAACACGGAGCTCATGACAGGGAGGCGATGATAATGTGCAGCGCTAGCTGCATACGTCATCGTGGCCAGTTGGTAACGGTAGGCTCCAAACACTTCTTGACCCGGATCACAGCTTCCCATATGGTGCCAATCCCCATCAAGTTGACCTGCTAAGTTGTGGAAGTGACGAAGGTGTCCAGCTTGGGCAGGGCTCAATTTCGGAACCCGAGATAGAACATCTGGATCGAGATTTGCTGGAAAAGCTGGGTTTCCAGGCTTGGGCAAACCTCCTGGCTGCATCTCAAATGGAACTTGCGCAGGAACTTCAGCAATCATGGCAAAGGTTTAAAGAGGCTAAGAGTAAAATAGCAGACTGAATTTGGCATTACGGGTGTAGCATTAATAGAGAAGCAAGGGCGGCTCCTCGGATTGTTCATCAGTCCGAGCGGCCGGCGTGCATGCGGCAGATCTGCATTACTGGTGGTTTGTGCGCAAGCGAGTTGTGCCGCGTCGGCTAGTCAAGATCCTGTTGTGTGCAATGGGGAAGTCGGCTGGACAGGAGCATAACAGGATTTATACGATGTACACAGTAGTAGACCGAGCTGGGAAGCGCAACGTCGCGACGATTACGGAGCTCAATTCGAGTCAAACTAACCGCAGCCTCATTTGCGGGAACCAGATCTTTTGAGGTGTAAAGGGATGCAGAATACAACATTGCAGTCGCATTTGGTTAGGGGAGTATTTGGGCAATGTTAGAGAGGGTACAAATAACATTAATTAACATGGTTTCTTGGCATGACCAGCAAAGTCTGAACTACATTCAACGTTTGTGCGGGGATATAATGTCTCGAAGCTCCGCACAAATACCTTCAGGGTTCACAGTGTAGAACTCAATACACCGTAAGAACAAATGAAATCTACGATGCTATGAATGAATCATGGCAATGAGAAATTCTTAAAATGTCGTGAAGAACTTGACATAGGCCACGGTAGCAGATGCACTTCGTGACAGATGTGAGCACGCATGCCCAGCCCGGATGCTCCGGCTTCACGGATGGAAGAGTGTTACGAACATGCATCCCTGCAGGACAGAAGGCCAGGAAAGGATAAGTACAGAATACGGACCCAGGGACATGATGAATAGAGACAAAGCAAATAACGAATCGAGTCACGTGACAGACATATACGCGACCAAGGATCAGTGCACTTAGAAAAAGACGGTTCGGGGAAAGGTGGTCTCATTAACTACGAACTGCAGACCGTCCTTGGACGGGAAATTATGTACCATGGTACCCCGGGGGTACCTTCCCCACAGCTAAAGTCTTCTCACTTGGCTATGCTTCGTTAGTAGTTTCGAGACTCGCATTCTTCAAGGGAACTGTCACGGGAGTCGGGCTGGCATTATAGGCTTGTTATCACGGCGCTACGGTGAACCTGATCTGATGAACCTGCCTAATTAGTGTGAAATTTGCAAAGTCCCGACTTTGCTTACTTCTCTTTTGGCGCGCTGGCGCAACTGTAAATACATGGAGATAAAGCTTGCGAAAGCCGAATTGTGCTCGGAGAGCGAATTCAGAATTCCAGATTATTGACAGCAAAAGCTGTGGGTTCTTATCCAACAATCTTGTTCCAATCACATACGAAATTTTCAAACGTGGCGAAAAGAAGAAAGCGAGTCAATCTTGTCAAACGGGATGAGAACCGGGGGCTCGTAGGAGTCCGGGCCTCCGAGCCCGTGCGTTCAGAGGGTGGCCGAGGGATGCCAAGAGATGCCGAGGCCTTCTATCGGGCCCTTGCCTGTAACAGACTGCCGAGGCCGGTGGTCGTCAGGCGGAGAGACAAGTTAGTCATCGGTGCCTTCAGTTAAGGTAAAGTGATTACACTAAACAAGACATTCATAGAGACCGACAGCAATGTGACCAATTAAATTCAAGTGCAATAAATATTGCTTTTTGTCCTCCTTTAGTGGACTTCCTAGTAGTATTGACGCATGTTTAAATGCAGTCGTTATCAATGTTAAGATGGCTTCTTATCGAATTGCGTAAAGCAGGACGGCTGATGATGGAACGTCTCACTTCCCACTGGCCTTGGACGCTGTCGGGCAAGAGTTGAGAGGAGCTGAGCCGCTCTGTTCGAGATCCTGGGCCTGTCTGTGATACACTTGATTTTCTTTTTCCCCCTGTTTTTGTTTTCCTTTGCGAATGACAGGGGTTTGATAGTGGTCATACGAAGAACGGTTCCTGTTCTTGATCGCAAGGTAGATCCTACTAGCCAGCGCCTCATCCAACGCCGTTACTCGGTCAGGAGTGAGAAAGAAGGTGCCATCGTATTGTTATAGCTCATGCAGAGACAGGAAATGAGTGCGTTGTCAAGCGCATGGTTCGAGCAAATTTCACGAGTAGTTCTGGATCTGTGTAGTAGATGAAATTGACAGGATGTTGGCCACCATCCCAATTCTAGTACCAGAGGTGTCTGACTTTCCATCAACACTAAAGCTCATCAAGGATAGTAGGGCCCATTCAGAGTCGAAGCTTGATGATAGACGCCAAGTACTCCTCCGCGATGCAGCCCCCACCCGATACTTATCCCCCAACTACAGTTCCTCGGATCTACGTCTCCTTACCATGCGTGGACTAAAGCCGATGTCTATGGCGGAAGTTGTCCATAGAGTTAGATGGGACTTAGAGCAAGCCAATCTCAGGATCAAAACTATCGAAGACAGTGACTGGCAGTCACACGCAGCTCGCCTCCTGTGGGGCCTACCTTTCAACGGTCGTTCAGTCTCAGCAATACACATTACTTGGGCCACACTAGATCCGTAACTTTGCTATGGCTAGAAAGAATTGAAATATGCAGATTGGTCATCTTTGCAATTCTAGATCTACTGATCCTCCGCAGCAATTCTGATCTGTCATTTTTGCCCCCGATTTCAGCACCCTCCCTTCATCTAATTTTCTTCTCTAAATCATGCCTCGAAGATAATGTATGGCATCATCCCTGATGGATACCGACGGGTATTCTTCCCTGTTGTTCCCTCTCCCTGCCCACGACTGGGTATCATTCCGGTGTGACACACCTTTTTCAAGAATGCATTCTCCCAGATCAAAGCCTCAGAGTCAGCGGTGAGCATGCCCCATTGATGCGACTTCAAGTCAAATGGGAGTACAGCCTATCGATCGATATCAAGCATGCATGTCGAATACCGAGCTTTAATTTACAGGCCAGGGATTCAAGACGCATTATTTTCTCCTGTCCGATATAGTAAGCTACGACAAAAAGAGTGTCAGAAACGAAAGACATCATAAATCATCATCCGAAGTGCCGACTGCTGCATTACTCTGGATATGGCTCCACGGCGAATAGTCCCACCAGAGTGGCTTCGTTCTAAGGTGCCATAGTCACGACCCTCTAACGGTAGCTGTGATTTTTTTTTTAAAAAAAAAAAATGGACGTATTAAATCAGGGATTATTCCGACTAGGGACTTGCATAAGCTGACTGTACCCAATTCATTATGGAGTAAGTGAAGATAATGCCTATTCTTCGGTGCGACTTTAGCAAACAGATTACACCCTATGAAGCACACAATTTAAATGACATCAACTGAAGTACCTGCACCTAGGTACAATCCAAGCATGGGGGAAGAAAGGGAACAACAACGTGTAGGGACAAAAACGGTTTAAAAAAACGTAAAGATCCTAGCGCTACGGTGGATGCTATCCGGCAGTACACACCGGCAGGCATAGTCCTTTTTAGTACCCGATTTTGAGCCTCTTCCTGTGACTTGTCAACTCTCGCGCTAGCAATGCTAAAATGTATTGTGAATCCACTCAAGTATCGCATATTTACTCCATGGATCCTTTCCCGAGACAAGGTTGATATATGGTGAGCGCAAGGAGGAGTCACTGCGGGCGAAAGGATTCCCTCCACAACGCTCGCCTTTTCTCGCCTCTCTAGTCAAGGTCTATCCGTGGGTGGTCTTTAGGAGTATCAAGGATGAGAAGAGGCGCTTTGATGAGAACATCCATCTCAGACCATACATGCTCACTCCCTTGGCTCCGCCATGTGGTCGGTACTTTTGAGCAGTCCACGATAGAACTTTTGGCAATAAGCCCAACACAAATGAAATCATGAATGTAAGTTTAGCTCACTTTTCGGGTACTAGAAGGCTTTTGAATATAATATGGCTGGTAAAAGTCCAGTGTCTTCACAGTTGCTAGTGCATTGTGATTTCAATTGGTCAGAATAAATGGATAGTAAAAGTTCACCTTTATGAAAAATATGACTCGAGTATCACTGTGAAACCATGCTGTGTAGCGACCAGAGCAGCGGATCAGTGATGCACAAATCCTACAAAAAAGGTATCACGGGACGCACGCAATGTGTACTGTGCAGAGTCAGCCAGACTTCACCAGCAGACTGAACCAGTTATGAAATGCGATTTGACCCTGTCCAGCATGGTTCATGTTTGTTCGAGAGCCCTTGTCATGCTTTTGAAAAGCGTGCGCCCACCTTTCGTCAGTAGAAAGGGGCCTCGGTGCTCAAGATGATTGTAAACGGGCTGCCTGAGAAGCAAGCGAACCTTGATGAGCTTTGCGGCCCAGGCCGCAAGTTCGGTAAGGACCCTGTTTCAATGCTGTCCATTCACATTATTGCCAATCCAAGCAGCGTGGCGTGAGATGAGATGCGTTGCCAGATCATCGCAGCGTACGTATGAAGCATACGTGCTCCAAGCAGTTTGCTGTTGATCAGTTTCTCCAACCTCTGCCATGGCGAGTGGCTACTTGGTATGAGCTTGTTGACATTTTGCGGCTTTCACTCAAGGGCTGAAAGAAAAGCATCTGTAATCATTTGTATGATCAAAGGTACTATTGGCGAGAGACTCAGCCTTCTCCTACAGCATAGAGAGCCGACAGCCTTGGCCCTACACATGTTGTCATGCTTGGTCATGGTGATAAATTATGGGCGTTGATCCAAGGACCCACAGATCGGCTTGTTGTGAGGCTTGGCAAGTCCCGGCCCGCAGACGCGTCAGCCGCTGAGGAGGGCGGGTCTACCGTCTTTGATCGACCAGATTTTCACCACAAGGAGAGTGTGGAGAAATGACACCAGCATGAAAATGTTCAATCACGAAAACAAAGGAGAGAGAGCGTTGAATGAAGCGATGTCGAGTACACAGATGTGATGCTGCAGATTTGATACAAATGGTCATCCTTTTGAATTTGAATGCCTGCAAGTCAAACTCACTAGCCTTGCCGTTCTTGGTAATTTTGCCATGACTGCTGCAAGGCCTAAATGACTAACTTGCCCGATTAGGATGGTACGTGAGGCTATTGTGGAGGGACATTTGCGAGGATAATGCCTCCTAAATCGTGTCTTGAAACGCGTGCATGGATTTGTGCTCTCTGTCTCTGTCTATCTGTCTCTACATAATTGGAATACGGACCTCTAGCAATTGCCCTTTTTAAGCAGTAGAGCTCTCCCTATTGGGCAATTTACCCCGCCAACCAACGGCACTACCATCAGCATAACGCCCGTCTGGCGGCACGCGATTGCATTGCATCCAGGTACTAGACAGCTTGAAAAAAACAGGGCTAACTTGTAACTTGACTTTTTTCCTCAGGGCAATGCTCGTTGTCATATTCCTGGCAGGATCCTTAGCAATGTACTACATGTCACCGTGAAGCCCGACCTTTCCTTCGAAGGGTTCAAAGCTCCTACACATGGATCATGATGCTCCCTTCTAGATGACAGAAAAAGCGGTGCCGTCATGCCCTGGCACAGCTGAAAGCTATTTCTGTTGACTAATACAGGTTGGAGTCGTCCCAGTTTCGATACCCACTACTAGCTTCCGCCATGGGTACGCAGATACCAAGTATCAAATGAGACGACGCTCGAACATAATCTTGGGTTGATCATAACTACGTAGTACAGTACCCTTTCGATGATCGATCAATTGTTGTTGGAATGTGGGTTATACTTGAGACGGACTTGTATCGTGATGAACATCAAATCATATCTGACGCCCCTCTTCCTGTATAAAATTCATGAGCTTGGCATTAACGTCAGAGATAATCCATTTTCTTGAACTGTAGAGACACCTTTCGCAAATGCGCAACCCCTCATACACCGATCATGCTCCCTTGAAACGATGATTCTTGTAACTGTTTGTTCCAAGCTCCTTTGCTAATGAAAGATTATGGCTGGCTTCTCTTCATCCCTTTCAGGTGCGGTGCCAATGGAATGACATCTCTTGGTACGTCTGTCGTTCCCATTGCGGATCTGACGCGTAAAGCACCCCAGATTCCGGCACTTGAATATCCATAGCTCGCTCCACTTTTGGAAGTTGGTATATCCTCACGCGCCAAGACACATCCGACTACCGAGTCTATGTCCGGGTTTATTTCCCGCTGTTTTTGTAAAACTAACTACAAGCCTGCGAATCCAGGCGGATCCAAGTGTTCCATGACAGGTTCCATGACAGGGCTGTGCAGATTTCTTAACTAAAAAAGTCATCTCTGACTGGATAAATGAAAAAAGGAGGTACTCCATAGAGTGGAAGCATAGAAGAAAGTCCCCAAGTCCGTGGGGCCCGGGGTCTCCGGTACGCGCATTTGGCATTCCGGCAGCCCAAACTACCAACGTTCCGGCCCCACGCAAGGTAAATCCCGGACGTGAACTGCCGGAAGACACCCTGTTCGCTGTCCCTGAACTATGGAGTCGTCCTTTCTATGTCCTGCGTTCGCACACCAACCTGCCGTTACGGAACCCTCCCGTACAAGATGGTAGAGCTTCTCAAGGGCCTGTAAAATAAGGCTTGGCTCAAGCTAAACCACATCAATCATTACAACATCTCTACTAGGTTCAATTTTAGTAACAAGTGACAAACGGAGAAAGCACAATTGAAGAGCGAGGTAAAGTACAAGGAGAAGCTCGTAACCAAAACAGTCTCACTCATGTAGTATGGTACGTAAACCACTGTTGGTTGGCCAAGAGCCACAAGCTGACTGAGAATAGAGAAGTGCCGTTCACGAATTTTTACATTCCTATTGCTCCATAAGTGTTGTTATGCGCCTGCAATAATCCTGAACTTTGGTGTCATATGCTGATAATGGCATTTCAACGTCCAAGTGCAACGCAATGCATGCCCCCCACCAGCAAATTAATTCCCCTATGGTAGGGCATATCTCTTTAGGTAAAGGTTGCTGCTTAGGTATACTCACGTTTGAAGCATTGACGTATCCACCAAACCGAATACCCATCTGGAAGATGAAAGAGGGCTGAGAGATCTGCATTCACGAATCGTTAGGTGCCCATGGCTTCGACAGTTACGCGTCACAGTGGAGGCAAGATTTACCCTCCTTATACTCTGCTGATGAGTTCAATTGGATGCTCACACTTTGAATTCGATGTATATATACTCCAAGTGCCATCAGATATGAGCAACTCGAAAAAAACACTCACTCACACAACTCACCTCACCACTCCTTCACTAATCACACTCTTTGCTACACACTCTACACTCTCTCCAACACAACATTTACTTTTATAACTTACACCTTAATTCAAACACCATCAAAATGCGTCTGACTCCTGCCGCCGTCGCTGCCATCCTGGCCTACACTGCCGTGGCTTCGCCCATGTACGCTCGCAACGCCCCCAACTCTTGCGAGTCTTCGTACGACAGCTGCCTGGCCGCTCCCAACGCCGATAGCGCCAAGTGCGTTTCCGACTTCACCGCCTGCGCCGGCCACGCTCCCGACCACAAGCGCCAGCAGGACCCTTGCCAGGACGCCTACAACCAGTGCGTCACGGCTCCCGACGCCAACATGTCCACCTGCGCTGCCAACCAGGCTGCCTGCCAGAAGAAGCAGAAGCGCGATGCCCCGGCTCCGGCTCCGGCTCCTCAGGGTGGACTTGTCGACGCTGTTGTCAACGCCGACGTTGGCCTCCTGAATGGAAAGAGAGACGTTCCTCCTCCTCCTCCCCAGGGTGCTCCAGCTCCGGCCCCGGGTGCCAACAAGCGAGACGTTCCTCCTCCCCGGGGACCTGTCGACCCTACTCTCGCTCCCGCTCCCGCTCCGGCCAAGAGAGATGTCCCTCCCCCTCCTC